TTCAAGAAGCAACGTGTTATAAATTTACCATTTAAGCCGAATGGAAAAAAAGGAAAGAGGAAACTATACCAGAAACCAGCGATCGGTGATGAGATTCCCATTTCTGTTTCGTATTATATTCAATTTATTTCGAATATTTCTTCAAGATTCAATAATTGTTATGGAAGACGATATATTATAGTAGATGGAGACACAACAGGTATCCTTACGAAGGGAGAGTATCAGCCCTTGGCGTCGGTAAACCCTCATTGCAATTGAGGTAGACGCCTGATGGGTTAGATATATATAGCGTTTTTCATTGAGGAGAAAACTGTTCTGTTTCGTTCATTCAAGAAAAATATGTCACATTTCAGCACCGGAATTTGAAAACAGTTTTCGTATACATTTCAGTTTCTTATTCCATGTAACTCCACAATATCAACCGCCAATTTATTTTTAATTCGAGATTTAATGCCAACTATGTTTTAGATTGGAGAATGAACGTGTTATGAATTGACCATTTAAGCCCAACGGAAATATCGCACAGAAGACGAACCCAGACATAAAATCAGCAACCGGTGATAAGTTTCCCATTCCTGTGTCGTATTCAATTCATATAGAATATTTTTTCAAAATTAATCATTTGTTATGGAAGGCGATATATCATAGAAAATGTTTCAGTAGTCACCTTTATGTCTCCATGGAGACACGACAGGTACCCTTACGAGGGGAGAGTATCAACCCTTGGCGTCGGTAAACCCTCATTGCAACCGAGGTGGGCGCCTGGTGGGTTAGGTATATACAGTGTTTTTCATCAAGGAGAAAACTGTTGGCTATCTGTTTCGTTCATTCAAGACGAATATGTCGCATTTCAGCACCGGAATTTGAAAACAGTTTTCGTATACATTTCAATTTCTTATTCCATGTAACTTCAAAATTTCAACCCCCAATTTATTTTCAAATCGAGATTCAATGCCAACTATGTTTTAGGTTGAAGAATCAACGTGTTATGAATTGAGCATTTAAGCCTAACGGAAAAAGCACAAAAGAGGAATCCAGACATAAAATCAGCAACCGGTGATAAGTTTCCCATTCCTGTGTCGTATTTAATTCATATAGAATATTTTTTTCAAAATTAATTATTTGTTATGGAAGGCGATATATCATAGGAAATGTTGCAGTAGTCACCTTTATGTCTCCATGGAGACACGACAGGTACCCTTACGAGGGGAGAGTATCAACCCTTGGCGTTGGTAAACCCTCATTGCAACCGAGGTAGGCGCCTGGTGGGTTAGGTATATACAGTGTTTTTCATTAAGGAGAAAACTGTTGGCTATCTGTTTCGTTCATTCAAGAAGTATATGTCGCATTTCAGCACCGGAATTTGAAAACAGTTTCGTATACATTTCAATTTCTTATTCCATGTAACTTCAAAATTCCAACCCCCAATTTATTTTCAAATCGAGATTCAATGCCAACTATGTTTTAGGTTGAAGAATCAACGTGTTATGAATTGAGCATTTCAGCCTAACGGAAGAAGCGCACAAAAGAGGAATCCAGACATAAAATCAGCAACCGGTGATAAGTTTCCCACTCCTGTGTCCTATCCAGAGCAATGACGGCTAAATGGACTGTCTGACGAGTACTACATGACTGTCCAATCACTCAGTACAGTGTATTCTCCACCAGAGGGGTTTACTTGCCGTCCTTTGCGGAGAAGTCATTTGTTTAGCTCTTAAGGTATGTTCATGCTTGTACGAATTCCGGAAAATTTATGCGAATAAAATGGCGACTGCGAATATCGCAATGAAGTTGAAATATTTGAACTTTTTTGCGAATTCGGATGGAATCATAACCACATGAAATGTATTGTTATTTCGATAACGGACTGCAGAGGTCGAAAAAATACGAGACTATAGACACTAGACTACAGGTAAGTACAGAATTATAATTAAAAATTTCATCATTTCTTCATTTGATTGAATTTTCTTCGCAGAATGGATTCTCTGGTCGAATTAATTTTAAAGTATCATCTGTATCGTCTCTATAGAACTAATGATGCATCCAGAAGCATAAAAAGGAGCTGTACTGTCCGAAGCATTTTTAAATGGTGAAAAATGAATGGAGATTGGTACAGACTCGTTCGATAAATGCGACTGAATGACCCTAATAAATATTTTTACTTTCGTGTAACGTGCCTTCAATTTGATGAACTTCTATCAATGGTGGGACCAGAAATAAAGAAATTGATATCACAACAGAACTCTTATCTCTTGCATATTTTGTCGCATGAGTATGAACGTCAAATTCTGTCGGAAATTTCATATTTTGCGATTCGCATAAATTTTGCGGAATTCGTAAAAGCATGAACATACCTTTATTCGGTTGTTTTCCAATAACATAGGTTATATTGAATTATTATTTTTATCAAGTGTCAAAACTGTGTCACTGTCAGGTCCCTGATGTGTTCTGTTGAATATCGATAAAATTCTTTTACTTTTTCGGATTTCCATTCAATCAAGCATTCTTCTTTGTGTTTAGTTCTGGTAGTTTATTTATTCAGGTTTGCTAGTTGTGTCTTCATCATGTATTTACAGCCTTCTAGCGTATGAAATGAAATGTATCAATAATCGTATCAAATATGGGGTTTGCTTTTTCGTATGTCATACCCAGTGATAAACTCCACAGCAAGAATGGTCGAATTTTATTTTGGAAGACATTGGTAAGAATATGATTTTTCATGTACACTTTTCTGATGGTTTTCAATTTCAGCCTCGATTCCACCATTAGAACACTGGTGTTAATTCTGTTGTTGAAGTTTGTGTCAATGATTTTGGAAGACACTATAGAGTGATGATCAATAGCACTACATATGGCGACTTATCAGGATGGGGACATACATTCAGAAAGGATCGCTTACCATAATTTTCAAGGTATGTTTAGTCTGAATTGTTGTTGCATAGGTAGGTAGGGTAGAAGTAGTATTGTTGAAAACTGTTTCATGTGAGCCTGATGGTTCAAGCCATCAATGCAACGTAATCAAACTTAAATACCATATTCACCTACAGGATGGGCATCCCAAAAAGCAACACTATAAGAATGAAAGAGGAATGGAATTTAAGGTATGCTCTTTGAATCCCAGAGAATCATCAGTCTAGGCCAACATCAGGAGTTTTTTCGAGTGCCACAACTACAATTTGAGGTATTTTGTGTTCCTGCTTCCTGGCAAATATCACAGAATAATTATTCTATCAGAGATTTTCAAAAATGTTTTTCACTGCTGTGATGATTTTGTCACAAAAATTTAAATTAATTATTTGGCCTAAGTTTATGTTTTATGTATGCCCATCTATCAATGAAATCTTGTATAGCTTTCTTGTGTTCTTGATAGAATAAGTGTGCAAACTCAACTTTTGAAATGCATATAACTATTTCTGTCTCCACAAAGTTTTGAAAATGGTTGAAAAATATGGATTGATAGATAGATAGATAGATGATATGTATAGAAAGCATTTATTCAAGTAATATAATAATTTTATTCTATAGACAGTCACCATAATAAACAATTTCCTTTTCCATTAAATTTGCTAATGATGAGCTCATATTTGAACTCAAAACATGCTTCTTCTCTGCTGATTTCTGAACAGATAATAGAAATTGTGGGATACACAATAATATATCATCTTCCTCTTTTATTTCCAGTGTCCAAAGGATCTCCAGGTAACCTAGCTTCATCCTCCAAAGTCAAGAACCCATATCCAAGCCGTTTTATATTCATTGTGTTGCCATCCCCAGAACCTATAAAGAAATGTTGCTATAGAACATTCAATGATTTTGAAGCTGGCATAGTTCTATCAATTTTGCAATACAATTTATCTGTATATCTGATATAAAATATATAAGTATGAAATGATGAATTGATATTTAATTTGCTATTCATGGAGATACCTGATATTGTAGTTAAAATGCCTGATTATTTTTCTGAACCCTCACCTGATTAAACAATTGTTCACAAAGCTCACCTTATATAGTGAATATTCTGGTTATGCAAAGATAGCATCATCAGAATTGAATGTCTCCAGTCATCATTCAATCAAACCTCATGAAGAGCTGCTTCAACATTGTGTTGAGAAAATTCAGTATCTTCCTGAAAATACAAATTAAGAAATATCACTTGAGATCACAGATTTTGTGAAACAATATGAAATGGTGCAGTACATTTCACTTTGAGAATACAGAAATATCTAATTATTAGGGCTACCATGGCTCTTATTAGGCAGTTAAAAATTCAATCAATGGAATAATTGAACATGTCCTTACCTATTCACGAATTGACGAAGATGATTTCCACTTGAATGACATTATTATTCATGCATATAATAGCGTTATTCGGCATGAACACTCCTTACCACTTCTTTTTGTTGGCCTTTTCACAGTTTTACTTGGTATCTCGAACAAAGCTCTCCAATCTCGAGTGACAATGAGTGACAGGCTGACAGTAAGAAAATTTGTCAACAAATAATGCAGGATCATGAATGCAGGTTATGTTGAATAGCTCATTTGACACAGGAAACAGATGACGCCACTTGCCGTCCCTTCAAAGTTTCATTACAGGGCGATTTGCCGATTTTCGCTGAATGAACAGTCATGTATAACCCGTCAGACAGTCCATTTAGCCGTCATTGTCCAGAGACCCAAATGGTGCAACCGGAGCTACGATCACTGAGATACGATCACCTATGATCTGTGCACATGATCTAAGATCTTAGGTCTAAGGTTCGGGTTTTGTTTTGTGGTAATGCGTCATCTGTCAATTTCGTATGGAATAAATTGTCATTTTTGAACATTTGAAGTTTGGATTAACGGTGGTTTGAAGTTTGAAAAATCAAATGACTGTGTTGTTTATTATATTATTATCCATCATTCATCCAATTTTTATTATATCTGGTTGAAATATAATAGATAATTTCGCTATTTTTTTTTCAATTTAGTTGTGAAATAAATCCTTGCATTTGCAAAAGATGGAAACTTCCACACCAGCTCCAAACATTGATATCAGAAGAAAGACGCTTTTGAAAAACACTGTGAATGTTTCTCCTTTGAGAAGATCCCTGGTACTTCATGTATCTCTAAATAGATCCTCGATATTAGAAGTGAGCAACGATGATAACGAAAGAAGTGATAGAAGAAACCAACTTGAAATCCAAAAGAGACTATCAAATTTACCACAAGGGAGAGCACCATTGAACGAATCATTTGTTAAAGAACAGTTTATGATATGTACTCATCTCTTCACTGAAAACGTAAGTAGTTGAATAGACAGGCTGAGCCCTTTATTGACATCTTTTAGTGTAAGGTAACATTTATTACAAGTTCCTACTCTAGTGTACCGGAGTGAAGTTAGCCACATCCACAAAGTACACCGAGAAAAATTTATCGCCGAAAATGTGTTCAGCAATTTCACCCGATTTCAGATGGAACTTGAACGCATTTCATAGAACGACTGAAGAGGGGTGAGAGCCTGAGTCGAATTTGATAGGGAGGTGGCGAATCGATAGTTTATCAAGTCGTCTAAAGGGAAAGAAAAGGGGTTGAAAACGAAAATGACTCATTATCTCAGTTAATACTCGTTTTACATGGATTTTGAAGGCGGCAAACGAATCACTGTTTGTATTTGATAAGGAGGTGTTGAACTCATAGTTTGTCAGGCCGTCTAGAGGGGTAGAAAAGGGGTTGAAAAACAAAAAAAATCAAAATATCCGTTAATATTCGTTGTACATGGATTTTGAAGGCGGCAAACGAATCTACTAATCGAATTTGATAGGAAAGTGGTGAACTCATAGTTTGTCATTCCGTCAAAGGGGGTAGAAAAGGGGATGAAAAACAAAAAAAATCAATATCTCCGTTAATATTCGTTGTACATGGATTTTGAAAGCGGAAAACGATTCTACTGGTTGTATTTGATAGGGAGGTGTTGAACACATAGTTTGTCAGGCCGTCAAAGGGGGTAGAAAAGGGGATGAAAAACAAAAAAAATCAATATCTCCGTTAATATTCGTTGTACATGGATTTTGAAAGCGGGAAACGATTCTACTGATTGTATTTGATAGAAAAGTGTTGAACTCATAGTTTGTCAGGCCGTCTAAGGGGGTAGAAAAGGGGTTGAAAAACAAAAAAATCATTATCTCCGTTAATACACGTTGTACATAGAATTTGAAGGCATGAAACGATTCTACTGATTGTATTTGATAGAAAAGTGTTGAACTCATAGTTTGTCAGGCCGTCAAAGGGGGTAGAAAAGGGGTTGAAAAACAAAAAAAACAATATCTCCGTTAATATTCGTTGTACATGGATTTTGAAGGCGGCAAACGAATCTACTAATCGAATTTGATAGGGAGGTGGTGAACTCATAGTTTGTCAGGCCGTCTAAGGGGGTAGAAAAGGGGTCGAAAAACAAAAAAAAATCATTATCCCTGTTAATACTCGTTGTAAATGGATTTTAGAGGCAGGAAACGATTCTACTGATTGTATTTGATAAAAAAGTGTTGAACTCATAGTTTGTCAGGCCGTCTAAGGGGGTAGAAACGGGGTGGAAAAACAAAAAAAAATCAATATCTTCGTTAATATCCGTTGTACATGGATTTTGAAGGTTGCAAACGAATCTACTAATCGAATTTGATAGGAAGGTGTTCAACTCATAGTTTGTCAGGCCGTCAAAGGGGGTAGAAAAGGGGTTGAAAAACAAAAAAAATCAATATCTCCGTTAATATTCGTTGTACATGGATTTTGGAGGCAGGAAACGATTCTACTGATTGTATTTGATAGAAAAGTGTTGAACTCATAGTTTGTCAGGCCGTCTAAGGGGGTAGAAACGGGGTTGATAAACAAAAAAATCAATATGACCGTTAATATTCGTTGTACATGGATTTTGAAGGCGGCAAACGATTTTACTAATCGAATTTGATAGGAAGGTGTTGAACTCATAGTTTGTCAGGCCGTCAAAGGGGGTAGAAAAGGGGTTGAAAAACAAAAAAAATCAATATCTCCGTTAATATTCGTTGTACATGGATTTTGGAGGCAGGAAACGATTCTACTGATTGTATTTGATAGAAAAGTGTTGAACTCATAGTTTGTCAGGCCGTCAAAGGGGGTAGAAAAGGGGTTGAAAAACAAAAAAAATCAATATCTTCGTTAATATTTGTTGTACATGGATTTTGAAGGCGGCAAACGAATCTACTAATCGAATTTGATAGGAAGGTGTTGAACTCATAGTTTGTCAGGCCGTCAAAGGGGGTAGAAAAGGGGTTGAAAAACAAAAAAAATCAATATCTCCGTTAATATTCGTTGTACATGGATTTTGGAGGCAGGAAACGATTCTACTGATTGTATTTGATAGAAAAGTGTTGAACTCATAGTTTGTCAGGCCGTCTAAGGGGGTAGAAACGGGGTTGAAAAACAAAAAAATCAATATCTCCGTTAATATTCGTTGTACATGGATTTTGAAGGCGGCAAACGAATCTACTAATCGAATTTGATAGGAAGGTGATGTTGAACTCATAGTTTGTCAGGCCGTCAAAGGGGGTAGAAAAGGGGATGAAAACAAAAAAAATCAATATCTTCGTCAATATTCGTTGTACATGGATTTTGGAGGCAGGAAACGATTCTACTGATTGTATTTGATAGAAAAGTGTTGAACTCATAGTTTGTCAGGCCGTCTAAGGGGTAGAAACGGGGTTGAAAAACAAAAAAATCAATATCACCGTTAATATTCGTTGTACATGGATTTTGAAGGCGGCAAACGAATCTACTAATCGAATTTGATAGGAAGGTGTTGAACTCAATTTGTCAGGCCGTCTAAGGAGGTAGAAACGGGGTTGAAAAACAAAAAAAATCAATATCACCGTTAATATTCGTTGTACATGGATTTTGAAGGCGGCAAACGAATCTACTAATCGAATTTGATAGGAAGTTGTTGAACTCATAGTTTGTCAGGTCGTCTAAGAGGGAAGGAAAGGGGTTGAAAAAGGAAATAAATCATCATCTCCGATAATATCAGTTATGTTGATAAAGAAATATAAAGTCATGACAAAATGAACAGCAAGTTCAGAAAATATGAGTTATCTGAGAATTCAGATACTTTGTAATATCTGATATTGAATTGTATTCCTACTGATTCTGCTATTGCTGAACAAACACTCATGTAATTCCTGAGTCTTCGAGAAAATATGTGGAATAGTTTTTCATCGAAAAAGATAAAATGTCATGTTCATAAGATTCTTTGAGTTTTATCAAAAAATAATCAATAGATTTCATTTCAAATGTCATTGATTATCAATATTGTAAGATTGCATGTGAGATAATCTGAAAAAAAATTATAAAATTAATGACAATTTTGAAGAAATGCTTTATTAAAAAATATATTTTGTTAGAATGAACTTCAAAAAACGATCCATAACAGCTTTCAGACCAGAAATCGTATAATCTATTTTTCATGACTCATCAGACAGAAACTGCTATTCTCGAGTCGCGAAAAACTTTCCTCTGGTTAAGTTTCCGCAGATGGATCCAACCATAGATGTAGATTATGAAATACATAGAGCGGCAGAACCTCCTTACAGTTCAGAAACGCCAAATTTGTCGCTATCACGATTCTTTATTAAATTGAATAATGTTCATAGCTTCGCACGTTGAAGGGGGGCTATTATGAAAGAAAAGAAACGAAAAATATTTAAAATTTTGCGTCCTAAATAGATCTTTATTGATTAATTATAAAACTCAACAGATAGAACTCTATAAAAAATGGTAACACTTCGAAAATAACGTTTATTAAGTAGAGGATACACTTCCCAATGTGCAAAATGATTTTTCATGATGAAAAAAAAATTATAAGGTTCTCAATCAGATTATCTAGGTTCCCGGAAAGTGTTATTATGAAAAACTCACTGATTTTGTATAAGAAAATTATAAACGGCATATTTTGTAAATTTTTGGGTACATTCATAATTCTTTTCTGATTGATTAGGTGAGGAAACTGAAATTCCACTCACAGGGAACCATTCATTCATCTTCGAGAGAAGTACACCTGACAGATGATATATTCCCCTTCTATGTTTGAATTGTCCTATGATTTGGTAGCTCGAGGACTATCATACGCAGAGAATATTAACAAAGATATTGATTTTTTTTGTTTTTCAACCCCTCTTCTACCCCCATAGATGGTTAGACAAACTATGAGTTCACTACCTTCCTATCAAATTCGATTAGTAGATTCGTTTGCCGCCTTCAAAATCCATGTACAACGATTATTAACGGAGATATTGATTTTTTTTGGTTTTCAACCCCTTTTCTACCCCCTTTGACGGCCTGACAAACTATGAGTTCAACACCTTTCTATCAAATTCGATTAGTAGATTCGTTTGCCGCCTTCAAAATCCATGTACAACGAATATTAACGAAGATATTGATTTTTTTTGTTTTTCAACCCCTTTTCTACCCCCTTTGACGGCCTGACAAACTATGAGTTCAACACCTTTCTATCAAATTCGATTAGTAGATTCGTTTGCCGCCTTCAAAATCCATGTACAACGAATATTAACGAAGATATTGATTTTTTTTGTTTTTCAACCCCTTTTCTACCCCCTTTGACGGCCTGACGAACTATGAGTTCAACACTTTTCTATCAAATACAATCAGTAGAATCGTTTCCTGCCTCCAAAATCCATGTACAACGAATATTACCGGAGATATTGATTTTTTTTGTTTTCCAACCCCTTTTCTACCCCCTTTGACGGCCTGACAAACTATGAGTTCAACACCTTTCTATCAAATTCGATTAGTAGATTCGTTTGCCGCCTTCAAAATCCATGTACAACGAATATTAACGAAGATATTGATTTTTTTTGTTTTTCAACCCCTTTTCTACCCCCTTTGACGGCCTGACGAACTATGAGTTCAACACTTTTCTATCAAATACAATCAGTAGAATCGTTTCCTGCCTCCAAAATCCATGTACAACGAATATTACCGGAGATATTGATTTTTTTTGTTTTCCAACCCCTTTTCTACCCCCTTTGACGGCCTGACAAGCTATGAGTTCAACTTCTTCCTATCGAATTCGATTAGTAGAATCGTTTGCCGCCTTCAAAATCCATGTACAACGAATATTAACGGTGATATTGATTTTTTTGTTTTTCAACCCCGTTTCTACCCTCTTAGACGGCCTGATAAACTATGAGTTCAACACTTTTCTATCGAATACAATCAGCAGAATCGTTTCCTGCCTCCAAAATCCATGTACAACGAATATTACCGGAGATATTGATTTTTTTTGTTTCTCAACCCCTTTTCTACCCCCTTTGACGGCCTGACAAACTATGAGTTCAACACCTTCCTATCAAATTCGATTAGAAGATTCGTTTGCTGCCTTCAAAATCCATGTACAACGAATATTAACGAAGATATTGATTTTTTTTGTTTATCAACCCCTTTTCTACCCCCTTTGACGGCCTGACGAACTATGAGTTCAACACTTTTCTATCAAATACAATCAGTAGAATCGTTTCCTGCCTCCAAAATCCATGTACAACGAATATTACCGGAGATATTGATTTTTTTTGTTTTTCAACCCCTTTTCTACCCCCTTTGACGGCCTGACAAACTATGAGTTCAACACCTTCCTATCAGATACAAACAGTAGATTCGTTTGCGACCTTCAAAATCCATGTACAATGGATATTAACGAAGATATTGATTTTTTTTGTTTTTCAACCCCGTTTCTACCCCCTTAGACGGCCTGACAAACTATGAGTTCACCACCTTCCTATCAAATTCGATTAGTAGATTCGTTTGCCGCCTTCAAAATCCATGTACAACTAATATTAACGGAGATGTTGGTGTTTTTTGTTTTTCAACCCCTTTTCTACCCCTCTAGACCAACTGACAAACTATGAGTTCAACACCTCCCTATCAAAGACAAACAGTAGATTCGTTTGCTGCCTTCAAAATCCATGTACAACGAGTATTAACTGCGATAATGAGTTATTTTCGTTTTCAACCCTTTTCTTTCCATTTAGACGACTTGATAAACTATCGATTCACCACCTCCCTATTAAATTCGACTCAGGCTCTCACCCCTCTTCAGTCGTTCTATGAAATGCGTTCAACTTCCATCTGAAATCGGGTGAAATTGCTGAACACATTTTTGGCGATAAATTTTTCTCGGTGTATTTTGTGGATGTGGCTAACTTCACTCCCGTCTCTAGTGTTACTATTTCAAAACTGTGGAAGTGGTTCTAACAGATTATATTTATATATTTCTCCAGAAAATCACAACAAAAAATGCTTGGAAACTGCAAATCATTGATATGCTTAGGCCTTTATGCCAGAAACCAAATGAGGACACATTACAAGTGGCTAGTACTTCTATTGACATCAGTGCCAAAGTTTATGCAATCAGAGTGGATGATGTTCATTCTGATAGTCTGAAATTGGCCAATAGCATGGCTAGAGTATCAGAACAGGTTGTACATCCAGATAATGGTAAGTTTTTATGAAAACTCATAAATTATTGAATGGAAAAAGACCTTTTACCTTCATAACTCACCTTCTCTAACAATCTACAGAATAATGCAATGATCTCATTCATTGATTTTTTTGCAGAAAATGAAAATGTATCAGATGATGAGAAAGAAACCACAATAAATAAACCCAACAAAAAGAAAAAGAAGAAACGTACCAATGTGTCTGGAACCAAGAGTACAGTGGCTGATAGTTCCAAGGCACACACAGGTTCTATGTCTAAACTTGAACCAATTGACTTCACTACTAGAGTCAATGCTGATACAGGCACCATTGATAATTTATTTACAAATGTTATGAAGGAAGGCAGCAACAATTTTGTTTTATTGTAAGTTCTTCAATAGTAGTTTGTGTTATAATTTGAGTAGTTTCTTTCATAAATGATCATGTGATTGTTTTACTGAACTAGTGTTTCAAAGAAGTACCTACCAACCTACTTCCCAGTCTTGAAAAACAATAGTTATGTATCTCTCTGATTTACAGCATTTCAATGGTATTTTGGTTTTTCCATAATATAAAGGACAAGTTACAAAACAAACTGAAAATTTTATGGGAGAAGCAAATATTGTTTACAGTCAGTATTATCCTGGGTCTTATCAGTATAGGTATAATGGTAAAAGGCAAGGTGCAAAGAAAAACTAAGAATTTTCTGGAAAAATACTATCAGTTTTATTCTTTCAATGGCATTTTTTGTTCTTTCCATAATGGGAAGGACAAGGTACAAAGACAAACTAATATTTCTTTGAGAGAAGCAAAAATATTCACAAGCTTTCTAGGTGTGTTTCATTCTTTCATTGGTAATTGGCAAGTTATTTTGCATTTTTCCATAATGTAAAGATCATGGTACAAAGGTGCACTAAAATTATGTTGGGTAAGTAAATAAAAAATGCTTAAAATCAGTACCTACTGATAGGTGGGTCATTTTTTGTTATGCTATTATGTTTCATTTTCAATATTTCTGCTGATATCATGTCACTGCAAAAACTCAAATATCTAGAAGATGGTTACAATTTCAGTATTTTGATGAGTACAGTTTTTATGTAATTTTTTTCCCTACATCAAGTGCTTTTATTTTTTCACCAAAAAGAATATGAGGAAAAAAGTATGTACTATCCCCTCCAGAAAGCTGGGTACACACTTTTGACTTTCCCTGTTATATTTTTTTCTTTTGTCAAGCAAGCAGTATCTCCGCCATATTGTAGATGATTTAAAAAACAAATTCTTCTGGTGGAAATGTATTTTTTTCTCAAGTCTTTCAAACGGAGTTTCTTTTGCTCCAGTTTTTCATTTCATTTTAGATTAGATTAGATTAGTTGACATTTGAATAGGTAGATATTTTTGGATGAAATTCTATCAGAGCTAATTCAAACTATTATAGTTGGCCATGATGTTTATAGTGTATTGTTAATCAAATTCGTTTTTTTTTATTTCAAAATCTCATGATATATTTATATTTTTCCTTATATTCTTTCCTGCATGTGTGGAAATAGTTAGTGTGGAAAAGACACTTTATTGAAAAATTTAACTATACAACAATCACATATAACAATAAAATATATTAATAGAAAATCACATTTTCCCAACAAGCTTCATATCAGACAACAATGAAAATGAAAAAATTTCAACTTAAATTACAATTTATTGAAGAATTTTTAGTTAAACTTGATAGAAATAGCTAAACAACAAACAATTACATATCAATAAATTATAATGATAGAAAATCAAATCATTTGTTCCTAATATTTATATTGAGCAACTAAAATGAATATAAATGTTCCATACCAGTGAGATTTTTGGGTAGTTTTACATCCGCACGCCGTGCGGATAACACCCATACCCGCACTGAGTGCGGAAATTTATTACTTTGCGCACGCAAATGAGTGCGGAAAAGTACTACTTTGCGCACGATCGTTGGAAAAGTATATTTTACGTGCTAAAAGTGAGTTTTTGGTCAAATTATAACATGTAGTTGATTCAAATAATTCACACTATTGTAAATTAATCAGTTCAGTTCCTGCTCAGCTTCATATATTTTATGCATTTCTATGCATCTCCTAAATGTCATGTTAGATTTGTTAGAATGAATTAGGTTTTGAAATCACATTCCTTCCCCATGAGGAAAGTGTTTCTCCTGCACTCAACTACTTGGCGTGCAAGAAAATATTGCTTTCCGCTCTAGTTGGGAGAATATCACTTTCCACAATAGTTGAAAAAAAATCACTTTCCGCACTAGTTGAGAAAATAGCTATTCTGACTAACTATTAATAATTATTAATTATCCTCAAAAAATGTGCACCAGAATTAACACCGATTCTCTGCAAGTTGTTTACCGTCTCGTACAGGTCGGGTATTTTTCCATCATGCTGGAAGACAGCTAGAGTCCAATCCCCAAAAAAGGGAACAAGAACCTGCCCAACAACTACAGGCCCATTGCCCTGTTATCAGTAATCTCCAAAGTGATGGAGAAAGCCATCAATATTGAGCTTATTAAATATCTGGAGAGCTCAGGAATCATCAATGATAGACAATACGGCTTTCGCCACCGAAGATCTACTGGAGATCTACTTGCCTACGTCACCCATTTATGGCAAGCTTCATTAGAAAAACATGGGGAATCTCTAGCTGTCGCGTTGGACATATCGAAAGCATTCGACCGTGTTTGGCACGAAGGACTCCTCCACAAACTACCATCATACGGCTTACCACCTCAGCTATGCCATCTCTTATCGAGTTTTCTTTCAGGCAGATCGCTTCACGTGTTGGTGGACGGTGTATCGTCTGATACCATTTGCATCAATTTCGGCGCTCCACAAGGATCAATTTTGGCACCAACATTATTCCTTCTTCATATCAATGATCTGTTGGGAGTAACAACTTGTCCCATCCACAGCTTTGCCGATGATAGTACCCTCCATACTGCGTTCTCTTCCAGAATTCCCATTTCTTCCCAGGAAACTAAGAACTCACGGCGCAGGCAGGTCAATGCTGTCAATGAAGACTTTGCTGAAATCTCAGCCTGGGGAACCAACAACCTAGTTGAATTCAACGCCACCAAAACTCAAGCCTGTATTTTCTCTAGAAAGGCGGAACTCAGTATGCCCGACATTGTTATGTCTGGCACCACCATCCCCACCAAGCCCACCATATCTATGCTCGGTATTTCCATCAGCAACACTCTTTCATGGGATAATCATGTCAGATCCATCGCAAAAGCTGCTTCACAAAAACTCACTCTTTGACATCATTGGAACTCCGTAGAAAGGTCGGCGACCTTCCACTTTTCTATCGATACTTCCACGGGAAATGTTCTTCGGAAATCTCTGCTATCATCCCTTCACTAGCAATACCAGTCAGACGAACTAGACAAGCCCAGTCAGCACATCCTTTCATTGTCAACATCGACAGATGGCGAACAGCACTTTATCAAAACTCTTTCATCCATAAAACGGCTAGGCTCTGGAATTCATTGCCTGAGGAAGTATTCCCAACAACATATAATCTCCAGAAGTTCAAAAAAAATTCCAATACCTACCTCCTGTCCCTATCCTCCCTAGGGACGCACGATGTTCTTTGAACATTATAGGGATTTCCTTTCGTGCGCTCCAAGCGATAAAAAAAACTAATATTTTGATTTTGAATAATTTTGAACATATGCAAATTGAAGCCAATAAATTCCATTGTTACAGGGACAATACTAAAACATTGTTGGATGTAAATGACCCAATTGTAGGTAACAAGGAAGACTTATCAATTCTCGGCAATTTATCACAATTCGAAGAGAAAATCGGGAGCATAAATCCTCCGTTCAGTGATTTCAAAATTGATGATTGGGATCCTGACCAAGAAGAAAAACAGTAAGTGATGTTCTGATTATTTTTGGGATCGAAAATTTTGAATTTCTTAGCGTTCAAATCAACAGTGCTACTTCTAATATGGCGTATGTAGTAAGTGATGAGGCCTACACACAACACTTTGAGCAACAGCAAAATATACCTTTCATAGTATTCTTTTAAGTGGTTGTAAATCTTCGAAAGTCACTTGTTTTGTTTCAATGAGCAATTTTGTTTTTTCAAAAACCTGAATCATTTTATTGACTGGTATTTGGCTTTTTCAGATTCGGAGCTGAAAGGTCTCTATTGACACAGACACAGCAAGTTGTTTATGACGATAATGGTATTCCCATACCAGAACTGGATGGATCTATACATGATATATTTGAAAATAATGATGCAGATGGTATGTATGTTATTTTTCTTTTCAAATATGTATTTTCAGAAAATTCTTGAAATCAAAGTAGCTCCTTCAAGTGATAGACGGTACAGAAATTATTTTATATATATTTATTTATTTTTTTATTTACTTATTCATTTGTTTATTTCAATTATCGCCTTATTGTCTTGAATTTGTTTCTTCATTGATACATTTTATAGAAATAATACATAAAGTATAATTAATTTTCTAGTAGGAATGACATGAATGATCAGACAGTAATACCTGGTATAAGATCATTCATGAAGTATCATTGACCATTGTATAGTTGAAATTAACAAATAGTGAACAAAACTTACATATCATCAAGATGTTATCTTAAAATAACAGTACTCATATTATAGTGAACAAGAAGGAAAAAAAAGGAATTTATAATCTTTCAGCTATATTGATGACATAATAGGGGTGACGGAACTTTGATCCAAAGACAAATGATAGAAAAACATTTGATAGAAGTCTTTTGATCAAAAGTGTTTTTGATAGAAATGCATTGATCGAATGTTTTATGATAGAAAATACATTTGATAGAAACATAAATGATAGAAAATACAATTGATAGGAAAAATATTTGATAGAAAACACACTTGATAAAAACAGCATTTGATAGAAAATTCAACGGGTCAGTACGTTTTTGAAGATATGATCCTTCTTCATATATTTGAGAAGAACTAGATGGAAATCGAAGCTTATATGAATTTATTGATACCACAAACTTCTAGCTCCTTATTCTCAAATATATGAGAAAGGATCATATCTTCCCATAATAATACTACAAGAAATATGAAAATCGTCAAAAAACGTAATCCTTATTGTTGTTTATTCATCTATTGTCCTTGATTTATTTTGCCAAAAAACACTCAACTTTTTTTATTGGATAAATTCCCTTACTACTCCTACTAAAAAAAGTTTCCATTAGTTTTTTTCACTCGAAAAACTGACATTACACAAAATTGCTCCATCTACGGTCTCGCAATTTATTTCATGTCAGTTTTTCTCGTAAAATTAATGATTGGCAAATTACTCTCGTTAGGAAAAGATCCAATAAAAGAAAGTTTCTGTGTTTTAACTGTAGACAAATTTTGACAGAAATGTAGATCTTGACAGGAATACGAAGAATGTCTAGTGTTATGATAACAAATGAATAACTTGGTTCGGAATAAAGGTTTTTCTCGTAAAATTAATGATTGGCAAATTACTCTCGTTAGGAAAAGATCCAATAAAAGAAAGTTTCTGTGTTTCATCTGTTGACAAATTTTGACAGAAATGTAGATCTTGACAGGAATACGAAGATTACGAAGAATGTCTAGTGTTATGATAACAAATGAGTATTTTGGTTCGGAATAAAGGTCACTAGCTAACTGAAAATGTGGTCAAAAAGGCGAATTTCGCGTTGTTTTTCTCAATGAACAGACAACATTATAGCTCTCGGCTACTAACTAGGTTTTCAATACGACAATGGTTTGGAAGAGCGAGCCAGCACTGTTTCGGTCCACCATGCCTCATCAACCCCCCTCGTTCCGCTCTCATTTTTTCAATTGCAACAAACGTTGATCCCACCAGCGAAGTGACATTATACAAGAAGGTGCAAGCTTCGAAATTCCTTTGATGTTGAGAAATGCCGATGGATGGATGACCTTGACACGTCGATTGGCGTGCTTGGCGGGCAGTTGAGCTTCCGCCTAATAGAGTTCGCTAACATTAGATCGCCAGCGTTCTGTTATATTTTACTAGACGATACTCGCCAAATATCAATTTTTCTGTGATTTGTTTCCCCTTTTCTCGTGATGGTTTTGAAATTTTGATTCGCAAATTTTATGGCATAATAAATTCTCAAGCGTGTGTAGAGTTTTAATAAATATACTTTAGGGAACGAGTCACACGAATGAACAAACTTCTCCTTGTTAAAAACATCTCTCAATTTATAGTTTAACATTTGAAATTTTCGTGAAAGATATAATAATGACAGAAAGGACCATTATGGTTTCGTCTTCTTGAATAAAGACGTCTTAGCAATAATATTTAAGTAAAGGTGTCTCAAGATTGGAAGTCATAAATCCTACATAATATTCCTTGTTCATAATAAATACAAAACTTTCTTAAGAACAATTGTGTTTTGAAACGTTTCATTTTTAAACTACAAAGTTTAGAAATTTTCCAAGAAATAATCTGATTTGCGAATATACCGTATAGTATGTATTTATGAGAGTTGCATTGAAATATTTCACAAGAAATCGAAAATACAAAGAAAATTTGATTGTTTTAGAACATTTCAACACCCTGTAGCCCAAAAACAGGTTGTTTTTGGAAATATGTGTATGTTTTGACATTTTGCCTTCATTTGAATAAGAAATCTTCCGTATGATTTATGACTTACAACTCTGAGACACCTATAATATATTGTATATCGTTGGGATAACTCTGGTAGTTGTTGAAACACCCATTCACAGCACAAACGTTGCTGCACCGTTTATTGAATTTCAGCATTTCAAATTTCAAAAAATGTGGAAGTTGTCAAAGCGAAATGTTTTTTTTCAAACTGATACACCGACAATCAGATTATGATTCGCGAAAAAAAAATCGTACCACACTGGAGGGATTTTTTTAAGATTAGGAGACTTGAAACAGTGTTGCCAAAGCTATAAAATTCACGAGGCATTTGTATGTTTATATTTCAATTGAACAGCTTCTGGATACAAATCTTGAATTGATATATTGTAGAATTCTAGAGGAATCAGGTTGTCTGTAAGAGGCAATTCAGTTTTAGGCGAACTGCTTTCAAGTTTTTGATGTTCATGTAATTTTGAATAGGTTAATCAACCCAACTGTAACCCAAAAACATTGTCAAGGCAGTTTGTTTGATCAATCAATGATTTTCCTGATCAAAAGAAAATATTATTTCGACAGCGAATTCTTGCGAATTACACCAAAGACTTTACTTCAGGGTATCTTGACAACGTGGCATTTACTTGACTTGACATGAAATGTGGAATGTTACGCATCTCGCGGCGAGAGGTTTCATCACGTTTCGCTCGCTTGTTATGAACTTTTTTTCTACAGAATTCTGTAGCATGCAAGTTTCGCGCTCTTTTTTGCTTGCACCTTCTTGTATAATGTCTCTTCGCTGATCCCACAGTCGACATCGACCACGATGACGCCGACGACGAGGACGACATCCAGATCGTGCAGGAGGAGATGCCGCAGCTGCGCGCCGGCGACGTCGCCAAGATCATCGACTTCCGGCCGGCCAACGAGTCGGCGCACACGTCCGAGTACTCGTACAACAGCATCGTGAACACGCGCACGGGCAAGTTCATCGACCAGATCTGGGCGGGGCCGCACCATTGGAAGCTCAAGTTCATACACAGGTCGACCGCCAGGTAAGGAGGGGAGGGGGAACAGAGTTGCAAAAATCAACCTATTTCTTTCTGTGACGAGGAAAACGTTTGATATTTCATTTCTGTTGACAGGTTATGAAATGTCAATAATCAGAAATTTGTTTTTTCGACCTCTACAAAAAATCACATTTCACATGCTAATTTCCGAACGAAAAACCGACTATTACCGCTGCAGGGTTGCCAGTTCTACTGAATTTTCAGTAGATCTCCTGATTCGCATATTGATCTACTAATCTACTGAAACAGTTCATAATCTACTGAAAAATATCTCGACACTTATTCATTTTTATAATTATTACCTATGTTATTTGTTCTTGCGGAAAGTGTATTTTCTTTGGAATAAAGTTGATTCATATACTTTTATCATTCTGTATATTTTTGGTGAGATTGAAGTTTGTTGTTGAATGTCAGTAAAAAACTAAAAACATCTGTCTTGTCTGTGCTGATTTTTTTCAAGAGAAAAACGGTTTCAAACTAGTACCAAACTCCGAAACCTAGTGCAATCGCTTTAGTGTTCCTTTCAAAGTCAACGACGTGGTGATTCTCATTGATGGCGGCTTCTGTCGAAAATATTGGCCAACAGAATCGTTACATCTGTTTACTCAGGTACTGATGGAAACATCCGGATAGTCGATGTTAAAACAGCAGCAGGGCATTCAAGAGGCCAGTGGTGCAATTATGTATCTTTGATGTGGAACCAAATGAAGAGTAATGAACAGCAGTTCATCACTGGGAGGAAGTGTTCCTGCGGAAAGTTTATTTTCTCTGAAATAAAGTTGATTCATATACTTTCATCATTCTGTATATTTTTGGTGAGATTGAAGTTTGTTGTTGAATGCCAGTAAAAAACTGAAAACATCTGTCTTGTCTGTGCTGATATTTCTCAAGAGAAAAACGGTTTCAAACTAGTGCCAAACTCCGAAACCTAGTGCAAACGCAAACATAGTGGTCCTTTCAAAGTCAACGACGTGGTGATTCTCATTGATGGCGACTTCTGTCGAAAATATTGGCCAATAGGAATCGTTACATCTGTTTACCCAGGTACTGATGTTAACATCAGCAGCAGGGTCATTCAAGAGACCATTGGTGAAATTATGTATCCTTGATGTGGCACCAAATGAAGAGTAATGAACAGCAGTTCATCACTGGAAGGGAGTGTTATTATTATTAATCTTTAGTTAATCACATACAATTATAAATTGCATGATATTTCAGCACGCTCTGTTCAAGTTAATTTTACAAAATAAGTAATTAATGCACATATTTTTATTTATACATTCATTTATTCATTTATATATTTATTAAATCGAGTGAAATCTACATTATGTCATCGAATATCAATTACTTGTATAATATATATTTCATATTGTATCTCTTCACATAGGTTAGTGACCTGTGTGTGAAAGAGATGAATTATTTCATGTATAAAATTGTTTTTTCATAATATAAATACTCGAACTGAAAACAAATAATCAATTCATACAATGATGAGAATAAAGTGAAATAAAGAAAAATAGAAGTCATTAAAAAATATATGTATAATCCAAAAAATGGACAATACTTTATCTGATTCAGATTGAATTCAATTTTTTATATACCTCTGTTATAACCGTTTGGTTCTTACGTTTCATTTTTTTTATATGTTGTATTTTTGTTCATTTTCACTATTCATTCCTGTTTTTTTAAATCATAGATATTTATCTATGTAACTCACTAGGCACTGTTTTACCACTAACCAAACCATTTTTTACGCCTCGTCACGTGTTTCACTAACTATGTTAGCCTCTTCAGGAGAAGATGAAAGCTGTAGTAGTTATAATCTTCTCCTGAAGATGCCAACATAGTTAGCGGAACACGTGTCGAGGGTTAAAAAATCGGTTTGGTTAGTGGTAGTGTATTATCGTGCCAAAGGTTCCAGTCTTCGATATAGCTAACTGTTTTTGTGATATTTATGAGTATTTTTGAATTGAGAATTAAAAATATACATTTTATTTATGAGAATGTTTGTTTTGTTTGTTTCTATTTTGTTGGAAATAGGTTACTTTTCTGTTTAATCAAAGTACATAATGTTTTGACGTCATTGGTTTATTTCATTATCCTTCTTTGGAATTGTAGTCTAAAATAGATCTAAATTTTTGACAAGGTATTTACTGATAAAATAAAAATCAAACTGGCAGCCCTGTTCCGCGCGGAGAGTGAGTTGACAACAACTGTCATTTGCTGTGGTCAAATCAACTATTCACGAAATCCCATAGATTTCACATGTGAATAGGACCATTCCCACTCTAAAGCAAGGTTGTCAGATCACTTATTGTAATCGCGTTGTTAAAAAATTGTTTAAATCCCCTATTGTTGAATAAAACTACATCCAAATTAAATATTTCATTTGACCTAATAGGAGGAAGTCATGGTATTATAGTTATTAATTTGTTACTTTTTCGAGCAAACAGCTTCTCAAAATGTTTGTTATACGCAATTACAAAACATTATGTAAATATTGGCTATAGAGACTTGGCAATAATGTGCCGAATGCTGAGAACTGACATGATAACGCCCACAGTCCTATGTTATCACGTTTACCGGAACGAATGTCCTCTAGTGTGAATTAATATAATTATTATTACCACAAATTCATCATAAGCAGTAAGAAAACATATAAGAAGGACAATGTTGAGACAATGGATATTTCCATTTATATTTTCTATAGAAATGTTCTGTAACCGCATCTGAGAGCAGAGTGAGAGGGAGAAGATTTTCAGTCATGTGACCGTTCGAGCAAACAAATAAATAATATTAAAGGACACTCCTGGGAACTGGGGAGTCTACTACTGCTACTGCAATGCCAATAAAAATTGGATCAATATGTTTTCTTTTTCTATTATGGCACGCATTTTTCTGTGTAAACTATACTATAGCTTATTCGTTCACATTTGACTTCAATATTTGAGTAGTTTATCTATGACTTATACGAACTGTGCTGCTTATACTGAAAAAATTAATACAATTCAGACTCAAACCTAACCAGAAACCAGTGCTCCAATTCCAATAACTGACCTTTAGTCTTCTGTCATTCAACATAAAGCTGTCAAAGTTGAAATATATCTGATTCCTCTGAATTAATAATCAAAACGATTTCATCTTTTTTCTGGCTGTCAAATCACAAATGCTCCAAATAAATTGTGTCCTGCTCTAAATGACATTGAAAAACGGCTCCGGAGGTAAACAAGTAAATAAATGTGATTGCATCTCTTATGTTACAATGGTTAGAGTGGATAAAAGAATAAGACATATATTTTGCACGCGCCTGATAGATACGATTTTTGAGGTTAGATTTTCTGTCAAACCAATCATAGCCGTAGATGGAAAATAGAAATAGGGTATAAACATTCAACGTGCACTTTTCAATTGGGTACTATTTGAAAAATAAATGAAAAAATAGTCCAGTAGCCCAACATGAAAATTGCGAAATTCAAAACGTCTGAGCGCATTCAACAAAAATGACATGTTTTCACATTCGAAGAACTCCGCTTGAAGATGAACACGTGCAGATTATTTATTTCATAAAATTCCTAGGTTTTCTGGGCAGAAAACAATCGAGACAATAAAAGAACAGAAACGTGGAAGGAAGAGAGGCCAACCGGAAATGATAGATTTAGAGGCTGAATTCGAATTAGATCTGTCTAAAAAACTGGTGATGAAGAAGAAACCTGCTAGCGCCGACATCAATAAGTATGGAGTCAAATCCTAGTTGAAAAAAAATTCTCATAGTCTAAGATCCGACTGCAAGATCACTAAGTTCATCAAGTATTTAATTAAAATATATTCTCAACATATATTCATGAATAGGAGAATATATTTTTACCAGGTTGCCTATCAAAATGTGACCGCAAATATTTTTAAATAATTTTCTAGAAAACAATTCATCCATTTGTTTTTTGAATGGAATATATTCCACCTTACAGCTATGTATGTGAAGAGCTTGAAAACTTGACCTAGTCTGGGAAGTACGGAAAAATGCTGCTTTCTCAAAGAAAAAGCGTCCGGTAAGTCCCGAACGGTTGCCGAAAAAAATATATTTTCCTATTCATTAATATAATATGTTGAAATTAAATTTTCATTGAATACTTGATGAACGTAGTAATATTGCAGTCGGATCTCGTACTATCAATACTTGATGAATTTTTAGAATAACTCTACCACTTTTGGACCAGTCGTGTGCCAAACTGATGGCGAACATCAAAGAACTTATGCTGAAACCGGGCATGTGCCCGGTCGAGAAGAGTCTTATGACAGAGAACGATCTGGACTACGAAGTCAGTCCGTACAAATACGAAAATCCCAATGATTCCATGTATTGTGCTCAATCGCATGAAGATGTAAGTTTTGTCTTATGGAAGTTATCATCAGTAATTACACAAATGGTTGTAATTTTTTGGTAATTTCAACTAGATGCACGAATCTAGTTGAAATAAAAAAAATACCACCATGAATGTAATACAGCGTGATTATTTTTTTAAGTATTTCGCAAAATGCCCAGGGAAAACGAATATTTTCTTCGGTTTTGCGTTGCCAACACTGCGTTGTTGGGCCCCTTTATGTATCCCTTAAACTTTTTAACGAAGATCCAAACGTGAAAAAATCATCGCTGTAATTTGCTACCAACAAATTATCGGTTATAGTTGCACAAGTGCATAAAAATCATCGATAATTTTGCAAGAAAGCGTGTTATCTAAAAATTGTAAGAGATTATTTTCATATTTTGGCGCCCGAGTTCGAAGTAGGGCTCTTTTACAAAATATGAAAATAACCGAATGCAATTTGTATTCGCTATTGAACGTCAAATCAACGTCAAATTTGTTTGTATTAGTTTAATTAACCATATTTTTACCCAATGTTGCTTGGCAAGATGATGAAAATCAATCAATCATTATAGGGCGACGATGTCAATGACAGCAACCCAGGTTTTGAGGATCATTTCAGTGAAGAACATATCGTGATGGAACGGCAAGCTAGATTGGCTGACAACCTTGTAGACAATCCAGAAATGGTAAGCAATTTTTGAGTAGTTTTTACGCAATTGCTACGGCAAAGCCAAAAAGAAGAGTTATGTCTTTCGGGGATCATTTATTGATCCAATCCAATTTGTCTAAATGATCTCAATTTTATTGACTATATTATTGAAAAGGTGTTGAACTATTACGCCATATTTAATTTCAGGTGCCGAAATCGTATGTTCCTTATTCTTTGAAGGCCAAACAAATGGATATGAAAAAATTGAAAGCGGCAGTTTGGCAAGCTCTGACCAATAATGTTCTCAATATTGCCCCTGTAGATGTAAGTATAATAATTTATTTCAATTTGAGGAATCGGCGAATGGACTTGTTTTTTATTCATCTTTTGCATCTTTGACAGTGGTGCCAAGCTGCGGTAGTGCATCAAATATATTTTCAAATGGGTTTTAGGTCTTTTACAAAAATAACTTCTCTCATTCAATAAGTGGTAGATTTTATTTTGTCCATTCAAACTCATGAATTGTATATTATTCTCCCAACGTGTGAAAAAATGTCTGATGGGTCTGGACTATCTTTTTTTACTTTATTCTTGATCTTCACACTGATTGTCATCTTCTATGCAGCACAAACTCATTGTTTTTAACCTCTTGCATCCCAAAGAAGTGATCTCAAGTACCCATTTGTTTTTATTTTTTGATATTAACTTTTTGGCATTACATTTTCTGCATACCTACGTTTACTGCTCGTATTTTTATAAATCGATGTTCATTATCGGTGACTTACAGGCCTATTCAGTATCTCATAACGTTATCGTTACGTGTCGTTAGTGAATGACATATCGTTAGATAACGATAATTTTCTTGAATCGAATTCACTACCGATTTGACAGTCGGTAACGATCGACAAGCTGTCATCAGAACATCGTGTATAGACGATAACTATTCAGAGTATCGGTAGGATAACATGAACACCAAAAAAATGAACGCATCAGTCCATTCAGTCTTTTTAAATTTTAGAAGGGTTTCAGAGGATTCAAATACAAATATTTGTTGATATTTTTTTTTTAAACCCATATAAAAATAATACATAGGTACTGTTCTTCATTGCTTTTCATCATTCATTGGGCCTCTGGAACTATTCAATCATAGAACCAAACCACTCCAAGTTCCTTCCAGGATATTGGGGTTTGTGGGTTCATATTGATTTGATGGAAAGTATTCATTTCCCTGCAGTTCCTCCACGTATATTCAAATAATGACGAATCACTGTTTGAATATTTCATCACTCCAGTGACTGTAAGCAATTCTACTTCCCTTAGAAACATTCTTTCCTCCAATTATTATAGTAGAAGACTCAGTAGAAGACCTTTGTCAATTTATGACAAATTATGTCACATTATGGCATACTATCTATTCTGAAAATATATACTTCTTGTTAATTTTCGAATATTTCAACGACAAATCTTACAGAATGCATTTTTTCATCAAGTCGTTCGAATTGTCGTTACATATTAGGATAACGATAGTTGTTATCTTACGACTTTTTACTGAATAGGCCTGTGAGCAAAGAAATAAACAGTGTTTCACTGCCGCTCCGACGTGAATCACTGCATATAAACATGTGCTTTTTATTTCATTGCTCAGGTAGTATCATATCTTTTGTCATACATCGCATGAATTTTGGTGGCTTCAGAAATGACTGCGACAGCATATTCTCAAAAAACTAATTACAAAATATTGGATTTGAAAGCTGTTTGCCATTTGTCTAAGGAAAAATATATGGATGAATCAATCGAAAATCACTGCATTATTGACACCAACAGAAATTGAAGAAATTTCGAGTGGTAGGTACTTTTTTCTTTCCCATTCTGAATTTCAAGAAATTTGTGCAAACATTCAGGAAACAGAGAATTTTCATTAATGACTATCCATATTATCATAATTTGATGCAATGTTTTGTATACAGGGTGATTCATTAAGAATGGGAAATCTCTGAACTACAGATAGTAAACACAAAAATAATGAGATTTAGCCCAATATGCCTGATGAGAATGTTGCTGGTTTACGAGATACAGGGTTTTCTAGGGGGAGATTTTATTTCAAAATTTCACAATAACTTTGTTAGTTTCAACAGCATGAACATTAAATCTTGTATTTCTCTGACATGACATATTTTGAAATAAAGATTAATTACAGAGCACTGGTTCAAATTCAATGAACCATTTCACTTGCCAAGCTATACCACTATCTCCAAATATTCAAGAACCAATTCAATTCATGGAGGAACAATGATAATGATGAAAAACTCTCATTGGAGGGTATCAATTTGTAAATGTAGAAACATTTTTTACTATACATAAATGACTTAGCCAGAGCTAACATTTCAGGAAAAATAACGTTGTTCGCGGATAAACGAGTATTTTCTGGCATAATGAAAATGCCGAAACACTTCTTGATATTATCAAGGATGACATGTCTGAGGTTAAAAAAATGGTGTGATTGAAATCAGTTGGTGATGAATTTGACAAAAACTAATATAATGTCATTTAAAGGTGAATTAAACGAGCTAGTCATGAAAACACCAACAATACAAAATTTCTAGGCATTCAAATAGATTTCAGATTGAAATTTGACGAACATGTTAAAATTTTGAACAAAAAATTGTCTTCTGGATGATATGCGGTGAGACTCACATCAAATGAAATAGAATTTTCTTCTTCTAAGGTTGTTTACCACTCCTTAGTTGAATCTCATTTAAGTTATGGAATTCCATTCTGGGCGGTGTGTAATGATCATCTCATAAATTCAGTTTTTATATTGCAAAAACGCGCAGTAAGATATATGTGCAAACCAAAAATTCGTGACCCCTGCAAACCCCTTTTCATTAAACACAAAATTTTAACAGTTCATGCGATCTTTGTCATGGAAACGGTGTGCTTAATTAAAAAACATCTAGAAAAATTTGACACTACATGCCACCCGACAAGCAGGTAACATTAAATTACCAATTCCATCATCGGCTCTAGTTAGAGATTCAATAATTTATGTAGGCTGTAAGATGTTCAATCATTTGCCAAAAGACACCAAGGAAGTTGGATCCAATAAAAAATTCAAACATAGAATAAAAGCACTCTTTTCGGATAAACCCTATTATAGTTTGCAAGAGTTTTTTGATGATACATTTTAACCATAAAACCATTTTTATTGGGAATATTTTAATATGTTGTAATGTGTCCCTTATGAACTAGCTCATAAAAGTGTTCAAATAGATTTTAAAATGCTGTGGTGTTATAGTAGCGATTTCCTCTTGTTCTAGTCTTGATATTTATTTCAAGGTTATTTTTTTTACTAGTTTGTCAATAGGTGTGTTCGGTTTAACAAAAACACGTCAGGGCAACAAAGTTCTATTGAATGTTTGTTGTTTATATTTTGAAAATTACTATGGAAGGAATGATTCTGTCTCATATGATCGGTCACTAACTGTGGATACAGGGCAGTTGTGATCGCATATATTACAGATATATAATTAATATGCTACCTACAGCAAATTCGTCGGTCATTCTGGCGATTCTGGGCAAGGAGGATTCTACAAAATTCAGTTTAGTGTTTCGTTTCCAGTTGATCGAGTCTTCAATTTTTCGACATAAAAGAGATATAATTTCAATAACATGTTGTTGACATTGATTTGTTGACAATTGACAACCGAATAACCGATCAAATCTGAATGATCTGCTCCTCAAGGCGGAGCAAACAGATTACATCTTTCAGCTCGCTCTGACAATTAACGAACACGGAGCAGATTAGACAGAGGAAGTAGATCTGATTTATCGAACGCACCTAATGAGATTTTACATCTTCAGACAATAAAGCATATTCTCTCTCTCTCTAAAATCTTCTCCTTAACCACCCTGTATCTCTTGAACCAGCAATATTTTTATAAGGCATGTTGTGCTAAAACTTCATATTTGAGTGTTTACTATCTGTAGTTCAGAGATTTTCCATTCTTAATTTAATAAATAAAATTATTAAAATGTCATAAGTGGAAAATGAATCTCTTCAAGATCGAATAACACAAAAACCGTTGAAGCTAGACAGTTTGATAAAGAGTACATTTTTTATGTGAAATTGAACGAGCTTTCAGATTCTATTTCAGAAATAGAAGATATGATGTAAATTATCGAACAGAGTTGCAAATTCTTATTTCCCATGTCAGAAAACCTAGAAATACAAGATTTCATGTTCATGCTGTTAAAATTAACAAAATTTTTGTGAAATTTTGAAATAAAATCTCCCCCTAGAACACCCTGTATCTCCTAAACCAGCAACACAACACCAATTCCCACCTTATTTCCCTTTGTTCTCACGATGTTCTCTGAACATAACAGGATATCCCTTTTCGTGGGAACCAGAACATAAAAACAAAACATTCTCATCAGGCATATTCGGCTAAATCTCATTATTTTTATGTTTACTATCTGTAGTTCAGAGATTTTCCATTCTCAATGAATCACCCTGTATAGGTTGTTGAGAATTTTCAACCTATCTCGTCTACTCCCCAACATAAACAATATTTCATCCTCGGAACTATCAGAAGAATTGCTAGAACTTCTGGATCTGGAGACAAGGACTCCAATAACACTTTCAATACATAATTTTCCATTTTACATTAGTTTTTGCCAATCTAAATCCCCATCAAATCACGAAAAGAAAAATAAATAAAGGAAAAAACAGTTGTGATTGTCATGTCAAATAACTGCGTTTTTTTTTCAACACTGATGACTCCAACAATTCGATGCATCAGAGAGTGACGTCACTCCCAAAATGTGGTGTAAAACAGAGCATGCCTTAGTTGTTGAACATGAAGAATTCAATACCAGTCCAGTCGCCTATTCATTCATTGTAAATAAGTGATGTTTAGGTTGTTTCTACTCTATTGCTGATTTGATGTTTTAGTCGCAAAACATACGGAGCAAAGTCATACCAACAACATTTTCCAAGATGTTTATGAGTATACCAGACATTCTCCAAGAAAAGGAAAAGAAAGAGTTATCTTGCCCTTTGGCATTTTTCGCTTTATTACATTTGTGTAATGAACAAAATCTTCACTTGACACAGATGCCTTGCTACAAGGATTTTCATATAAGAGGACCACAATGAATTTTACTCGTTTTTTAAAAATGTTTTGTTTTTGTAACAAGAAATATTTTAATAAATTTTTTATTCCTTTTAATCTTTCACATTTTTTCCATGGTCTACTGTTTGTATTTGTAAATATTTGTATCTAAAATATATTATAAAAAATGTAATGAATAAAACCACAAAATGATGATATGATATTTCTTATAACTTAGCTTTCAAACTGGACATCAATTTCTCTAGTTTCAGCGCCTTTTGAAGGTTGCCTTCGATTTTCAGTTTGCCACTCATGTAGGCAGTCGTCGGTTTCAGTTTACCGGAAAACATGCTGAAGAAATTCTTGCTATCCATCGTCAAAGTGGCATCAGCTTTCTGAGTCGGTTCTCCTTTGCCACAGCTGCCCGATCCGTTTTTCAAATCTACAAACCTACAAACATTTTTTTTCGGCAACCGTCCGGAAAGAAACGAATGGGGAAGTTTCCAATATTGAGGTTTTTATCTCACTGTGAAGTTTGTAAAAATTTAATACACACGTTTTTTTTCTTGTAAAATCAAGTACGCCACTTCAGAACAATTTAAATTATTGAAATCCGCGTGATTGTGCCTTCCGCACGAATATTTGAACAGAGGTGACGTCAGAATTGCTACAGTGTTGAACTTTGGGTGGAAAAGGGGATCTAACCTCAAATTTCATTTTGATCCCTATATTTTTTTATTGGTGCCACTCGATAGTATACGTCGAGCTTACTCAAGGCTTGAGATATTTGCACTCATGTTTCGGAGAGACCATTATCAACTTTACCCCATGAAATACATCCTTATCTTGGACACAGTATAATGCTAGACTGGGAATTGAGAAGAATGTAAAAAACCGTAAATAACAATAAACAATGGAAACACAACCTCATTAAATTCGCAGCTATCAGCATGGTTCGGTGTTAAACTGGTTTTGGGCGCGGTTGCCAGGTATAATTTACTAATTTCTTGAAACGACAAAAATCTACTGAGGATTCCTTACTTATTTTGATTATATTCATTTCAAGGTTCATCTTTGGGTAAGTCGGGAGAAATCCATGAAAATGTGCTTGCTTATATTTTAGAATATGCTCTCTTTATTTAGAATATTTTCTACAATGCAGTGTAGAATTTCTTAATACCCAAATATATAAATGGAAACGGCAGCGTCGCAGTCGCTCTAGCTAAATTAGCTCTGCGTGAAGGAGCCGAAAGTATTCATTTGATTTTTTTCTGAAGTGCATTCTCGGTCTATTGAGAAAATGAAGAATTAGTATATAATGATTCTTCATAAACTTCAGGAGAAAGAAAAATCTCGATATAAGAAACTTTCCCATTACAACTCCTTCGGAAATACAAGTTGTTAAAAGCGTCAAATTGATAATAATATTTATTATTCCCAAGAAACATACATGTTGATGACACGAAAAAATTGAAAGAGTGAATGAAAATGTACACAGGTAATTATATAATTATTTTCAAACCATGAATGTTGATGAATAATTTTATCTGCAGTACATATAATGTAAAGTGGCGCACGTAGTGTGTTAAGCACTGTTTTTTGTTCTATTTTGCGATTTTAATGAAGTTATAATGAAACTCATCCTTGTATGTGGTCAGATATTGTAGTGATTTTAGGTGACTTAATTTACTGAGAAAATGAGAAACAATTATTCCAGTATAGTCTCTTAGGCCACAGTAGAGAGTTTGTAGCTGTAAGCTCTCTACTGTGCTTAGGCATCTTTCTGAATAGAATGAGAGGCAGAGGAATTTACTGAAAAAGAAAAATATCAACCACTCACCATTTTCCAGCTTCATCCCCAGTAACATTGAACGCAAAAATTGCCTGAGTTTTGGACACAGTATCTGGAGAAATAGAACTTTCAATCTTCTTGAATAACTGGACAATCTGTCCTGTTTGTCCAGCACCCTCAGCTCCTTTACTAGTTTCATTGTTTACTCCCCAATTTACTTGTGAAAGCTGAAAAGAAGAACCGCGTTCAGTAGGTGATAAATACTGAAATTCCTCAGTAGAACCGCTGGCAAATCGATATTTCGCGAGATTTTTCGGATAATACAGCTCATTCAACTCGGCATAATATCTTATGGAAAAACATAGAACAACCTATGTAACATATCAATACGCCGACAACATAATAATTGTCAGAAATTCATTACTTACTAAAAAATCGGTATGTTATAGTCAGCTGATTTCATACATAAATTGCAAAATCATACAATGAGCGAAGTTGTATAACATATCACATGAAAGCAGTAGAAAATTGGTCAAACAAATCCAAACAGAGAGTCAATACATTCGTATATAAACAATATTCCTATCATTCCAAACATAGCTGTTTTCACCGAAACTGATAATATATAAACAGAAAGCAATGCCTGACACAGAGATCTCGAACAAACAACTTCTAGCTGAGATAGTGAAAGGAAACAAAGAATTTAAATCGGCAATACAAGCAGTGGAAGTTAAACTCTCTGTAAAAATTGAAGGAATTGACCACGGGTTGAACAAAACCGAAAGAGTGAACGAAGAATTGAAGAAGAAAGTAGAATTTCTTGAGAGGAACCAGAAGAGAAATAGTTGATAATTTTTGGACTGGAAAGAAAATAACGTCATATATCATCAGAAAACATCGTCGAACTAATAAAAAAACTTCTGAATATCCAACTAGTCGAGAACGATTTGAATGATATATACCCTCTGGGAAAAACCTATAATTGTCCAATGAAAGTTGAGTTTACTTCACAGCTGAAAAAAATTGCAGTTCTCAGAAACTCATGGCGAAACAGAATAAGAACAATAGCTGCTACATCAGAAACAACAAACTTCACCTGAATGACCAGATACTTACACCCTCTGAGCTTGAGAACCTGGAAGACATAAGCGAACCAGGCACACCAGCTCTTGAACAAAAGAACGCTCTAGAAAAATTTCCAGAAGACGAATAATCCTCGTCTCTACTACTCCAAACCCTAACTTACGATACGACTGTCACAGCATCGAAGGAAATCATCCAAGGAACACCAAAAACAGGCGCAACGAAGAAGATTGTAAAAGAAATAATACGAGACAAACCGACCACACGCAAAAATTCCTACAGACTGGGTAACCGATTTCTTCATCAATCTATTCTGTATACATTTGAATTAATCTAATGCCTCTGAACATTTCAATGTTAAACTGTTAGAACCATTGCTATGAGTTGGCAATGAAAATAGCTTAACATTGAAATCTTACTGATGTGGATTCCTGTCCACTATGGATCAATACATACGTGATTTTCAAACACAATCTATTCCGACATATAGTATCGATATAACAGATAAATGTTCGAATATTTTATTGGTAAATGCGAAAAACAATAATTTTAAAATAATACATATGAATATTCGGAGCATGAACAAAAATCTAGATGAATTTAAAATACTCTTGCAGAACATTGCATCTGATTTCGACTGTATAGTACTGAGTGAAACTAGAGAAATACCTTATCTGACCGTCTTTCACATCAATGGATATGACATAATATACAATGAGAGTAATTACAATCAAAATGATGGAGTAGTAGCCTATATCAGATCGATCGTCTCTACAATTCTCCAACAAATCAATCGAAATATTAAATAATATTAAGGCACTTAAAATTCATATTACCACAGATGAAAAAAATACTATATACAGGTCCCCAAATTCGAGTATGCAGGACTTCAATATAGGCCTGTCTAGATATCTTGAAAACTATGATGATGGCGAAAATGATCTTTGCATATTCATATGTGACATAAACATTGATTTGCTGGAACCAGAAATACTGTAGAATATTTGAATATTCTGAATGAATTTGGCTACCAATCTGCAATAAATATAGCAACTAGAGTTCAAGGTAATAGCAAATCATGTTTAGATCATATTTTTGTCAAGTCTGATGAAACTCTGAAAGAAAATACAATTCCCTTGGTTCTGAAAACGAATATAACAGACCATTTCACCAAGATTTTGCAGGTCATGCTGGGAAAGGAGATTGAGAACATAACAAATCATAACAAATACCTCAAATGCATAAACCATAAGAAAATACATAATGTATTTAAACAAATATCCTGGCTTTCAGTTTACAATTCAGATAATTCAGAATTACTAGATTATAGCTGAAGGACTGGGCTAGCGAACAGTGTGATACGAATTCAAATCGTTCAAAGCCGAAAAAAGTTATTCATATTTTGACAGACGCAAAATTTTGGGTTGCGACGAAATTAGTGTTGCGTAGTTTTTTTTCTATAAATACTCTGAGGTGAATGTATTATCTTTGATATGAGGTCCCACTCACCTCTTCGAGATTTTCATCGACGAAAAAATCGGGCATCAGCTTATCGTGATTATCCGGATTACAAGCGTACTGCACCAAGTCCGTGACTCCGGCGTTCTTGAGGACGTGTTCGTCGATGAAAAAGTTGCCCGTGCAGCTTTTCGGGTCTTGCGTGAGGATGGCGTAAGCCGAGTCGGCCATTATTTCCGGTTTGCGGCTGATTTCGGTCGCCGATTCGCCTTGCAGCATCTCCACGGCGGCGGTTGCGATCGCTGAAATTATTGTACAGGGTGTGATAGTGTTTGTTACCGCGGGTGTGGAGCCAGCGAGACGGGATGGCGCATGAAGGTGAGTTCCCAATACAGCGTTTTTGTACTCTGATTGGTGATGCCGAAATGAGATAACATTTGAGGCGATTTAGTTGAAATATTTATTGACCTATGTACCGGGTGTACCACTAAGAAAGGACGCCGGCTGTATCTCGGAAACTATTTGCCGTACAGGTTTCGGAAAAAAATATTCATGTTAAAAGTGGCCACGAAAAATCTCTGGAAATTATTTTCAAGTTTCCAGGACAGCCGCTAGAGGGCATAATTGCATTGGCCAATTTAAAAAACGGGTTTTTATAAAAATTTTATATATCAAGATAGATCAAAAACATTTTTTTCATGTTCTCGAGTTGATTTCCAATCATTTCAATAAAAAAAATTGCGCTAGCTCTTTAAATGAAAGAGTGAGGGAAGGATGAATAGTACTTTGGAAAAACTCTTATTACTACAGTTTGGTGTAACGAAATTCAATGATCTTGGTCTCATTATGAAGGGTTTTTTCAGATCTTCCAGATAAATTACGAATCAAGTCGATTTAAATCTCGTGGTGGCCGCCAGATGGCATCGTTTGAAAAATCAGCCGATTGGTCATTTTTTTCCGAGAATTTCAAATGGAACCATATATTCTTTCTGCCATAATATGAAAGTGAAGTAAACGAGAAGAAAAATGGTGAGAACCGCGAGTTGATACCTCTTGAAGAACCGGAGAAATACTTGGAATAATATTATTAAAATTCAAACTGCTAGCATGTCAACTGCCTCCTCATTCGATATTGGCATTTTGACAAAAAAGCAATCCTCAATGAACAGTGAAAACTTCCAATGGAACTTCAATTATATTTTGACGTTTCTTTCATTCAAAGCCAACTTGCCTTCTCTCATTCCTGAGCCTACTCACTACTTACATTTCAATTAGCTATGTCATTACTAAACTGGGCGTCAATTGAAACGTTAATAGTGAAATTTGGCATCAAATTTGACTTCTCGTAATTTCTAAAATATTTAACCAATTTTGAATTTCCGCCCAGATTCTGAATGCCTTTTTCATCGTTTTCGAATCGTTCCTTACAGCTCCTTCTAAATTGATCAGGACCCGTGATACAGGGTGAAACAAAGTTTCGTGCATTTTGAAAAGAACTTCTCCGCCCCCCCATTTTGTCGGAAGACCACGATGCTCATATTTTATTCGGGCATTTCATAATTAGCAACCATACCTCGGGACGTTTTCGAGTTTTTGCCAAAAACTACTGTGGTTTCCGAAAAAAAAATTTTTTTTTTGTATTTTTTTTAAATGGACTAATTTTAGAGGAGTTCCATAAATAGATGCTTTTATGCATTTCAGGAAAGCGTTGGAGCAGATATGTATACCAGGTTACTCAAAAACAATCAATAATTTATTACTTCGCAGTCTATGATAAAAGTTGTCCACCTTAGTGAGCAGTAAATCAACACATCTCATCAACAAAAACAAACAACGATACCTTGTTTCTATAACAACGTATTGTTGAAACAATGTAGGTATGCATAGAGGTTATTTCAATTGCCAATTTTCATGAAAACGTCAGTGTAATTCGGGTCCTAAAAAATTTAAAGATACCTCGTTCAAAACGGGTCGAAATGGAAAATATCATTAGGTAAGATCATTATAGTGATATAAACTATAATTCAGTACAGATAATAAAATTATTATTTCAGGTTACGACGATTAGGATATACCCAAACTCATTTAAGTACCATTTTCAATAAGTCAGTCATGACAATAAATAGACTGATTCATCGTTTTGAGGATACAAGTAATCAGGCCATTTAAAAAAAATGCAAAAAAAATTTTTTTTTCGGAAACCACAGTAGTTTTTGGCAAACACTCGAACACGTCCCGAGGTATGGTTGCTATTTATGAAATGCCTGAATAAAATATGAGCATCGTGGTCTTCCGACAAAATGGGGGGGCGGAGAAATTCTTTTCAAAATGCACGAAACTTTGTTTCACCCTGTATCACGGGTCCTGATCGATTCAGAAGAAGTTGTAAGGAACGGTTCGAAAGACGATGAAAAAAGCATTCAGAATCTGGGCGGCAATTCAAAATTCGTTCAATATTTTAGAAATTACGAGAAGTCAAACTTGATGCCAAATTTCACTATCAACGTTTCAATTGACGCCCAGTTTATATAAGAGTCTCCTTCACTATTGTGAGATATAACAGCAGTATCTGAAACTAAAATAAATGAATTATTGGAATCATAATCTCATAGATACAGGATATTTCTGATTACGATTATTGAAGTTAGATTCCTGTGGTGAATATTTTTATAATATCATTTCGAGTATTTCACTGGTTCCTCAAGAGGTATCAATTTGCGGTTTTCACCATTCTTCTTCTCGTTTGCTCTACTTTCACATAAGAGTAGAATAAATATATGGTTCCATTTGAAATTCTCGAAAAAATGGAAAATTGTCTGTTTTTTCAAACGATGCCATCTAGCGGCCACCACAGGATTTAAATCGACTTCATCTGGAAGAACTAAAAACACCCTTCATAATAAGACCAAGATCTTTGAATTCCGTTACACCAAACTGTAGTAATGACGGTTTTTTCAAAGTACTATTCATCCTCCCTTCCCTCTTTTATTTGAAGAGCTAGCGCAAGTTTTCGTGATCGGAATGATTGGAAATCAACTCGAGAACATGAAAACAGTGTTTTTGATATGTCTTGATATATCAAATTTTCATAAAAACCCGTTTATTAAACTGGCCAAGGCAATCACGCCCTCTAGCAGCTGTCCTGGAAACTTGAAAATAATTTCCAGAGATTTCTCTCGGCCACTTTCATCATTCATATTTTATTTTTCGAAACCTGGGCGGCAAATAGTTTCCGAGATACAGCCGACGTCCGTTCTTAGTGGTACATTTGTTTTTTTTTATCCTTACTACAAGGTTCACTTCGTAAGGTTTTTCCCAGTTTATTCAAAATACCTATCTGTATGTCCCAATGTTTATTTTGTAAACGTTTTTGAATAAACTTATATTATTATTATTATTATTATTATACTAACCTCTGTAGTATAGGTATAGTACATGAAAATTTGCAAGAGTGTATTCCTGAATATGCTACAAAATGTCATTTATTGAGTGTAATAAATCAATATTTCAACAATTTCTATGTTCTCTTCCCACTTCTGTGCTACATTGTTGGTTGTGATCTGCAGAAAAACCATTAATTAATTACCTGTTCTGGGCCAGAGTCCATTTACAGCTATATTGAAGGGCCGAAATTCTTCATGCATCCCAAGAACACACATGGACATGCCGTATTTGGCCATCGTGTAGGCAACATGGTTTTTGAACCACACTGGCTTCATGCTAAGAGGTGGGGAAAGGTTCAAAATGTGAGCATGGCTGCTTTTCTTCAGGTAAGGAAGACACACCTTTGACCTATTTAGAAAAAATTGATGAAAATAAACATGATCCCAGAGCAATGTGGAAATCACTGAAAGAATTGGTAGGTGGAAGAAGAAATCAAAGTAGAAAACGAATTATATTTGAAGGGAAAAACGTGAATTCCGACGATGAAATTTCAAACGCATTCAATTCATTTTTTATCAATAGCATAAATAATATTGTTGAAAACATCACCCCAGTAAACGATTTCGATGATACAATAAGAGAGATTCCTGAATTTGTAAATAAATTTCTTCCATTTAAAAACATCTCTATGCAGGAATTAAAAAATATTGTTTCATCGTTGAAAAAGAACTCGTGTGACAAAGATGGAATCAATCGTACTATAATCAAACTAGCTTTTGACATCATTGGGAATAGATTTCTTGAAACAATAAATTCATCTTTGAAAACTGGGGTTTTTCCTGATGTATGGAAAATATCTACAGTGATTCCGATTCCAAAAGTACCTAATACACAATTTGCAGCTGAACATCGCCCAATCAATACATTACCAATAATTGAAAAATTGTTGGAGCTTGCCGTCAAAGATCAACTTCTTGAATTCATCAGTTCAAATGAAATACTTATCGAACAACAATCCGGTTTTAGGAAATGTCACTCATATGAAACGGCTCTTCAGTTTTTGATATCCAAATGGAAAGTTGATATTCATGATAAGAAAATCATCGGGGTGGTTTTCTTGGACTTACAGAGGGCATTTGAAACGATAAATAGAGATTTACTTTTGAAGAAATTGAACAAATATGGAATAGGCGGAAAGGTTCTCGAATGGTTTCAGAGCTATCTACAGAATAGAGAACAACTTGTTAAATACAATAACACTTACTCAAATAGGGAAAAGGTCATGCATGGAGTACCACAAGGATCGGTACTGCGACCAATATTATTTATTTTATTCATAAATGACATTAAACATCACGTCCAGAATTGTAAGCTGAAACTATTTGCGGATGATACCTTGCTTTACTTCTCTGGCAAGATAGAGGATGTGGAGAAATTCTTGAATGAAGATCTTGAGAATATATTCACCTGGATCTGTGACAATGGACTCGAAATTAATGTAACAAAGACGAGATTCATGATTATATCTTCGAAAGCAAATTAAAAAATGATCCAGGAAAATAAAATAAAATTCAATATTCTGATAAACGGAGAAATCATAGAAGAAGTGAAAATGTTCAAGTATTTGGGAGTGATCATTGATAATCAACTGAATTTTAACAGCCATTGTGAATACATTAAAAAGAAAATTGCGCGAAAAATAGGTTTCATGTACAGGCTTGGTGATAAAGTATCTCATTTCACGAAATTAACAATTTACAAGTCAATAATTTCACCTCATATTGATTATTGTGGTACTTTACTGAGTTTCTTGAGTAACGAACAGATTAATACACTGCAAAAAGTCTAAAATCGTGCAATGAGAGCTATCTTGGGTTGTAAAAGACGCACACCAGTCACAACAATGCTGAACACATTGCAATTAATGAATATCAAGCAAAGAGTTTCATATAATACACTTATTTTTGTTTATAAATTGAAAAATAACATGTTGCCTTTGTATTTATCAAGTGAGCTAAATTATGTTCAAGATGTACATTGTCACAATACCAGAAGACAAGCAGCGAATGATTTCTATATAAATTCAGTAAATATTGTCTGTGATACTTTATATACAAAAGGTCTGGTATTGTTCAATAATTTGCCCTGTGAAATGAAAAGATGTGTGTCACTAGATAGTTTTAAAGAATCGTGTGTGTTATTTGTGAAAGAAAATTATTGATTGATCAATTGAGAAAGGAGAAATCTGTTAATTACCCTTATATTAAAATATGTGACGTAATTCATGTGTCTGTGTCTTAGTTCCATATTTCTATGTTTTTATTTATTGACTCATTGTATTTTATTGTAGATTTAACTGTAATGAATAGCACTGTGCTAATAAAGTTTGATATATATATATTTCAAATAAGAAGATATAAGAGAGAATACAATACTTATCCATTTGTTTTTCTCAATACAAAAATGACCTTTTTTTCAGAATTTCAAGATCACTCTTTGATTTGAACAAATTTTTCATCAATTTAGAGGTTTGTTTTGCTCACTAAAAAATGTTGCACTGTCATCATTGATGATTCAAAGAATGATGAATAGTTTTGAGTTGCATGTGAATTGAAGATTGTATGAATAAATTCGAGAATACTGACACCAAGAATGTTCCTCTTGTGTTGACACTGTGCATGAGATCGTATCGTTTCATCTCGGTGTCTTCAGTTCCAGTAAGCGAAATGGCCGATGCATTGTTGATCACGATATCAATGCCGCCGAACTTTTGAACAGCCTCTTCCACGGCTTTTTTCACAGCTTGTTCGTCCCTGACATCTACTATGCATGCTAGGCCTTTCCCACCAGCTTTTTCAACTGGAATTTCAAGTTGTAGTTAGATTAGGGGTAAAAAGTTACAATTTATTTCAAATTGAATAAACATATAAACATAACATAATAAATAAATAATGGTTTCCAACTTCATTCACTCCACAAGTGAGCTGGGGCAGAATGAACGGCTGGGACAGCGTGCACATACTGGGCTGCACGTACTGGAGCAAGCACGTACAAGAGGGGCAGAGTATACATTGTGTACTGGGGCAGAGTATACATTCTGTACTGGGACAGAGTATACATTCTGTACTGGGACAGAGTGTTTTTTTTTATCGCTTGGAGCGCACGAAAGGGAATCCCTATAATGTTCAAAGAACATCGTGCGTTCCTAGGGAGGATAGGGACAAGAGGTAGGTATTGGAATTTTTTTTGAACTTTTGGAGATTATATGTTGTTGGGAATACTTCCACAGGCAATGAATTCCACAGCCTAGCCGTTCTATGGATGAAGGAGTCTTGATAAAGTGCTGTTCAACATCTTTCGAAGTTGACAACGAAAGGATGTGCTGACTGTGCTTGTCTTGTTCGTCTGATTGGTATTGCTAGTGGAGGGATGATAGCAGAGATTTCCGAAGAACATTTCCCGTGGAAGTATCGATAGAAAAGTGAAAGGTCGCCGACCTTTCTACGGTGTTCCAATGATGTCAAAGAGTGAGTGAGTGTGGCGTCACCCACCAGGCGAATGGCTCTTCTCTGGATGGAATCTAAGAGCATCAGCGTATGTTTTGGTGCTGAACCCCATATGTGGGAACAGTATTCTAGAACAGGCCATATCTGCGCTTTGTAGATCATGAGAAGCTGTTGAGGTGTAAAGTAGCTTTTCGCACGGTACAAGAATCCAAGTTTTTGTGAAGCAGCTTTTGCGATGGATCTGACATGATTATCCCATGAAAGATGGAAATACCGAGCATAGATATGGTGGGCTTGGTGGGGATGGTGGAGCCAGACATTACAATATCGGGCATACTGAGTTCCGCCTTTCTAGAGAAAATGCAGGCTTGAGTTTTGGTGGCGTTGAATTCAACTAGGTTGTTTGTTCCCCAGGCTGTGATTTCAGCAAGATCTTCATTGACAGCATTGACCTGCCTGCGCTGTGAGTTCTTAATTTCATGGGAAGAAATTGGAATTCTGGAAGAGAACGCAGTATGGAGGGTACTATCATCTGCAAAGCTGTGGATGGGGCAAGTTGTTACTCCCAACAGATCATTGATATGAAGCAGGAATAATGTTGGTGCCAAAATTGATCCTTGTGGAACGCCGGAATTGATGCCAATGGTATCAGACGATACACCGTCCACCACCACGTGAAGCGATCTGCCTGAAAGAAAACTCGATAAGAGATGGCATAGCTGAGGTGGTAAGCCGTATGATGGTAGATTGTGGAGGAGTCCTTCGTGCCAAACACGGTCGAATGCTTTCGATATGTCCAACGCGACAGCTAGAGATTCCCCGTGTTTTTCTATTGAAGATTGCCATAAATGGGTGACGTAGGCAAGTAGATCTCCAGTAGATCTTCGGTGGCGAAAGCCGTATTGTCTATCATTGATGATTCCTGAGCTCTCCAGATATTTGATAAGCTCTATATTGATGGCTTTCTCCATCACTTCGGAGATTACTGATAACAGGGCAATGGGCCTGTAGTTATTGGGCAGGTTCTTGTTCCCTTTTTTGGGGATTGGTTGGACTCTAGCTGTCTTTCAGCATGATGGAAAAATACCCGACCTGTACGAGATGGTAAACAACTTGCAGAGAATCGGTGTTAATTCTGGTGCACATTTTATGAGGATAATGGGTGGAATTCCATCAGGACCGTTAGCCTCATTCGTTTTGAGATCAAGCAAAATTCGTCTGATGGTGCGTTGACGGAAGACGATTTCGGGCATTCGACTCTCAACGGGTGGAATGTCTGGCGGCAGTTTTCCTTGGGAATCTAAAGTAGAGTTTGCTGCGAACATCTCTGCAAAAATATTTGCTTTCTCCTGCGATGTTGTTGCTAATGTGCCGTCGGATTTGGACAGTGGTGGAAATGAACTATTAGTGAAATTTCTTCCGACCGCTTTAGGAAGGGACCAAAACGAACGGGAGCCATTGGGGCAATCTATGAGTTACGATCTTATCTTGGCATTGTATGTTTCTTTCGAAGCATCTATTGTTTGGCTGCAGTTATTCCTGGCATCAACGTGTGCAGCTGGAGCTGGGTAGACTGGAGTTTCTTGCTTCTCTACGACTGTATTGAACATGTCGTGGTTATCAGCGGGATAGTGGACAGTACGAAGGGTGCTATCGGGATCAGCTACGTATTTGGGGTGAGCCTCTTGTTGGTAAAAAAGAATATAAGCATCCCCACTGACGAGAGAATTCGACGAAATTGAAGAAACAAGAGAATCATTGTACTCGTGCCAAATTTTCGTATATATATGTCTGCAGTAGGCTGTGTAGTGTCCGCTGTAGGTGGTAACGCTGTGATTAGAGATAGCGTACAGATTGTAAGGACATGGAACGATGTCTTCAGCTGCATAGAGGCTCATGTTTCTCACTGAACTCTTCAGTCTGCGAGAAACGTTTCAGATGTATAATCAAAATTTTAGGGAACTTGTGGATGAATAATGACTTCAAACATTTTCTTTTTTCTTCACACATCAGGCAAGTTGGTTTCTCCTCGCCGTCTAAAATCTCGACACTGGAAAACGAGTCCAAGCAATGAGACAACCTGAGTTGGCCTGATCGCTGTGGTATCGGTAAAGACAACTCCCAAAATGGGTCGAATGTCTCCGAACAATTGCCACAAAAGGTGCATCTCGAAGTAGACTTGAACTGCCCGACAAAATTATCGACGAACTTGGAATTAAGAATCTCGATCACGAATCCATTGCTTCGACATTGAAACTCAACGATTTGTCGATTTCCATGAGTACTGGCTTTGGGTTCGGGTTCGGTTCATCAACGACCATGTTGACGTCCTCGTGCAGCCCTTCCAGCAGGTAACAAAGAAATTCTTGTGCATCCTGTTGCGAGGAGCCTCTGAATTGCGGTGCGAACCTTTGAATCCGAATTTTCAGATCGTTCAAACAGACAACTCGGATAGACGAATCGTTTCGACCAAAGTTTCTCTATAACATCTGCAAATGCTTTTATCAGAGTCCCCTTCTTGCTTGATGAGCTCATGTTCAGATCATTGATGTAAGCATTCTTCCTCAAATATTCCAACAGCCACTCAGTTTGAGACAGGCATTGAACGACGCTATTCATGAAACAAGTGTTCCCGATATTTTTCAAACCGATTAGGCCTGGATTCAGAACAGAGGTGGTGGCAACTGCGATCTTAGGGCAATGTTGTCCGGATTGCTGAGGGGTCGGAGGTACTAATCATCGTCTCTTTCAATAGTTTGGCGAAGGATAGGATTCGAATTTGAGTTGACGGATAGGGAGCTGGACGGCGTTAAATTGAAGCTTAGGGGTTAGGAGGAGTGGCGAGAAAAAAGTAATAGTAATGGGGAAGTTTCCTTCAGATGAATTTTCATAAAATAAGTTCGGTACTCCTCAGTTTCATATCCACACTGTACAGAATGGCGAAAGATAAAGTCCAAGTCGTTTTTATTTTCAAAATAAAGCAATTGCCAATTTTCGAGAGGCAAACTGTGAGGTACAATCTGAATCTAGTCTGAATTTAGCTGATGATGAAGAATATAACTAGCGAATAGCTAACGATTAAAAACGAATAAAATAATAGAAGAAGAAGACAACTTGGCGTCATTGTTGATTTCATCATGAAAAATAGCGATGATCACCTAACTGAGAAACTAAACAACTATAACATAAGCTAACAAATAAATGGAGATCGAAAATCGACACAAGTAAAACTTTATGAAAATATATAACCACAATATCAGATCACCTGTCGGTGTCCTGTTAGTATGGGTTGCGTGCAAGAACTGTCAGATGACCGACCCTAGAGATGAAACATTGAAACACAACCTCACTTTTCTTATTTGTTTACAAGTGATTGTAATAGTTTTTCACAATTATTTTGGCATACGAATCGTATTTTTCGGCTATTCATCAATTCGCGCATGCCATCACATTGTGCTGTTGTACAATGCACAAAAAATGCATCGAGAGACGGAGGAATCCGGTTGGTACATAATGATTTGAAAGTAAGTACCTACTATAGTAAACATCTAGACTCTCTGACAGGTTATACCCCGTCAGATATTTAGCCGTCATTGGTAAGGTGGAATATATGTTTGTAATTGTTCAAAACAGTCCATGTAACATATTCAAAACAGCTCTCCTTTGATGTAAAATGCCTAGGTATTGAGTAATTATCTATATGCCTAAATTTACAGAATGTTCAGTGGATCTCCTATGGAGTAAATCATGTAGATAAGGTGGTATATTTTGAGTTATCACATTATAAATAATTGATTGTTGGTGACAATAAAAAATTTCAGAATTGTTTTCTACATTTCTTCTTTGATGCTAGCTGCTAGCTGTACTTCCCTAATGTTGTAGTGTGAGGAATATGTGTGAATAGTTTAGACTTACTTTCTTCACATGCAGTATATATAGTGCCAGGGAGTTTGGGATGGGGTTCTGCAGTCTTGGCAGCAACAACCACATTGGCTCCATCTTTAGCTACTTTCAAGGCTATTGCTTTTCCTATGCCTCTGCTAGCCCCTGTTATGAAAACAGTGAGGCCAGCAAGTTTTCTAAAAATCAAATTACACAATATTATTGAAGATTCTCATACCACATTGTACTCCACATCTGTATGTAAAAGTTGCCAAAGTAGGATAATATCAAGATGACTCTTCCAATAAGATTGCAATGGATGGAACATTCAGTGTAGCAACTTTGCCTTATCAACTCATTAGTATTCAATGCTGTTTAAAAATGATAGTCATTGTTGATGGGGGACATATTGACTTGTCAATTCTCACAAGTAGAAACCATTTCACAACTAGTAGCATCACATTTTTTTCAACTCCTAGTAAGTCAAGAACAAATTATGTAATTCTTTCACATCAATCTTTATGTATTGTAGAACTTTCAATTAGGCTGAAGATTGTATTTTATAAGACCGAAACATGTCCCTTCTGATTGATTGTTCCTTCCTTTGAAAAATGTCACTCCACTTTGAGCAATATGGACTTCTACCAAAGAGGAATCATATTCACGGGAATCATTGTTACCAGGTGGCGCTCGGTTTTCATCGTTCCATGTCAAAGCCACGTCAAAACTGGGGGAAAACAAACTCAATCCTCACTCGATCCCATTAGTGCCATTAGCTTGTGTACTGTGTACTGATAGGAGAGATGAGTTTTCGAATTCCTTGACATTAATTGTCAATATTCGATCGAAAACGCAAATAATGCCTGTTGTAGATGTTGTTTTGGCAGATATTTTGCTCTATTTAGATGGAAAAAGCTGACCAGTATTGAAAGGAGAAGCAGATCTCCGTGCTAATCATGTGTTTTTGTATGAGGCAGAAGACTTCAACAAAAGGCACATTTTTGCAATTTGTCTGCAAACTCCGGCGATGAAATCTTCCCCACATGAAGTTAAATTGAAGTTGGGGTCCAAATGAACTTCTGTAAAACAATGGATTTGTATTTGTTCATGCAAAGCAGCACAATCTGGGTATTGTAAACATGTTGTAGCTGCTCTTTTATATGTCAATTGATTTGCTCGTCATTATTAGTTTGAATTGTTTGAACTATCTCCAATTCTTCACCCGTTCACTGTTTACTAAGCTAATAAAAATGTAATAATGTAAAAAAATTAACCAACTCAAGTATCGTCACTACCAACAGTGCCAAAACTTCATGTCATTGACAAGTTTGACTACAGCTACAGCAAGCTGAATGCAATGTAGTCTATGCACTTTATCCACAGACAACAGTTTGTTTTCCCCCAGTTTGAAGTTCGTACTATGTAACCTAGATGTCGCCCACTTCGTGAATCTCGCGAATAGTCGAAGAGCCGGCTGCAGATTCATCTGATAACGAAATTATACATATGTCCAAAAGGCATGTGAAACCATTGTATATTATTGAAAGGCACTCACCTGTGTCAAAATCACTATCCTGAGCAATATGATTTGAACATTGCACTTTCCTGTGCGGCAATTTGCACTCTCAATTTCGTGATTTCATAAAAAGATAACAATTATGCCATCCGATACCAATTGAATGGTAGATCTCAAAATCAACCTGTGCCACCTCTCAATCTCAGCCAAATCCACGGCACAGGGCACAGCGATTTATTAGCAGACATTTCTTCGGACATACTTCCGTCATGTGATAACAAGATGAAACAAAAAGCCAATGGAAGTTGATAATGTCCCTTTTGCAAATATCCAAACGTGCCGCGATTCAAACTGATCTAAGTTGATGGCAGAGCGTCAATATTTCCGAGAATATTTCGCCCCTCTCTGAGGATAATATCCGATGGACCAGTGTAAAACTCAACATGTGTATTAAAATACTTGTAGTGCGAGCACCACATAATTTTTACTTACACTAGTCAATCGGATATCATCTTTCGACGGGGGCGAAAAATTCTAGGAAATATTGATGCTCTGCCACTTAATTAGATTAGTTTGAGTCGCCGCACGTTTGGATATTCGCAAAGGGACATTACATTATCCCCTTTCATTTGCTTTATGTTTCAACTTTTTGTCACATTATCACATAACCGAATAAGTATGTCCGAAAAAATAAAAAGCTGTACTTACCTTATTGGATTTGGCTCATACTGAGGATGTGGCACAGGTTTTTGAGATCTACCATTAATAAGGCATTGAATGGGTATCAGCAGATGGCATTATTCTCATCTCCTTATCAAATCGCGAAATTGAGTGCAAATCACCGCACAGGAAAGTGCTATTTTTCAATCATTATGGTCAGGATAGTGATGGGCACAGGGCACAGGTGCCGTTAGATAAAATGCATGCCTTTAAACATTAAACATTTCCATATCAGATGATGGTCAAAATTTGCAGCCGGCTTTCCTACTAATAAAGGTGGTATCCAATTATGTATCAAGTAATTATACATTTAATTGTGATTTGTTTTGAAGTTTCTAATAATGTGTGGTGGCTCTTCATTTTTCAGAAGGTAGGTACATAATACAATGCTAATACCCATGTCCTCATTAAAGTTGACCTGTCCTCAAATATGGAAAATAAAACAAGAATTTTCGAATATTGATGAAGATAATATTATAAACTTGAAATTGTGTGCAACTTACCCAGTGTTGATCATTCTTGACCTAACAAAATAAATAAATTCTATTTACTCAATAGGATCCTAATAAAAAATTAATTTAAAATTAATAAAACTATTGAAAACAATTATTTCATAAATTATCAAATTCAGAAAAAGGATATCTACAAAATTCAAAGTTCATTTCCAGTGCCACCAGCCAGCCACCACTTGATGACTTGAATTTTGTTTTGATCACTAATCACTGATAGGCTGTGATGATTGTGATTTTGCCACTTCACCATCATGCCTACAGATACGACTGCCGTATATTTAGTAATATAGTGAGAGGCTAACATTTTCACTCTCACCAGTTGGCGGTACTAGAACTAAATGCCAAATTTTGCCGGATAGCCCTGAAAGCTATGGACTGTTTTATCGAAAATATTTAAATAACATCATCTCAATCATGTGAAAACCTTAAGTTATGGAAAGACGTGAGCCGTCTTACGTTTTTTTACCCTCAATGAGGAACTTTACGACCAATTTTTACATCAACGGAGAAGAAGATATCATAGCAAAAGACCATATGACGCGAAAATAAGAAGTATATTTATCAGTTTTACCAACCCTGCCTCATGTGTCGGTGGCGCAGTTTGGTAAATAACTACTTTGGTGATCGAAAACTGATTTTTTTAACGAGGCGCAGCTGAGTTAATAGTTATTTTTGTATCTAGAGCGCGAAATGCTACTTTGGTGATCGAGATGACCAGAGTATTTCGCGCTCGAGTTGCAAACAACAATTTTTCTACAAACATCATAATATATATTATATAGTTCTAAAGTAAAAATATGCTTAGCTTGATATAAAAAATAGTGTTGAACTGGCTTAAAAAGCCTCCCCCTATCCTCCCTAGGTACGCACGATGGTCCACGAACATAATAGGAATTTCCTTTCGTGCGCTCCAAGAGATAAAACAAAGTTATGGTTGAACATTCAGAAATAAATGATTTCGTGGATGTTTGCAAGATTGAGGACCATTAAGTTGAAATAAAAATATCTTATATATTTTACATAACAATGTAACGTAGGAAACTGAAAAAAGTGTCACTTCGCAATTTGTTATCAATGCGCGAACCTTGTCATTTTTTGACGTTTGTAGAAAAAAATATATACGAGATGACCAAAGAATTTCGCGCACGAGTTGCAAAAAATTTTTTCTATACAAATGTCAAAAATATAGTTCTGAAGTAGTAATGTGCTTAGCTTAATATAGAAAATAGTGTTGAACTGGCTTAAAAGGCTTCCCCCTATATATCCTCGCTAGGTGTACGCACGATGTTCCACGAACATTATAGGAATTTACTTTTGTGCGGTCCAAGAGATGAGAAGAAAATATTGTTAAACATTCAGAAATAAATGATTTCTTTTGGATGTTTGCTCGATTGAGGACCATAAAGTTGAAATATAAAAATCTCTCATTTATTACATACAATGCGAGAAGTATGTACTTCGCGTATCGTTTTACGCGCACTGCTTCGCACATGGTGTCGTCGTAGTAAAGTAGGAAACTGAAAAAGTGAAAAGTGTCACTTTGTAATTTGTTATCAATGCGCGAACCTCATCATTTCCTGACGTTTGTAGAAAAAAACCCAACATGTAGATAAGAATATTGTATACTTTGTAGTATGATATTATCCATCAATTTAAAAAAATGGCTGCTCCAAGATGGCGGACAAGATTTGGTCCGATTCCATTCAAAATTGGTGAGTGGGGTTGTTTGAGGTCGGAGATCATGATTTCTTTGTTAAAATTTATAAATTCAAGATGGCGGTTTCCAAATAATTTTTTGTTTTTGTATAAATGACGATAACTCCGTTGTTATCAACACAAAACTATTACTGCGACATATCATCTGTGAGAGAAAAAAAAAATTATTTGTAACTAAGTCATAGTGAGCTATGACCTACATTTGAAAAACTAAAGTTGGTGCTGATATCTCAAATTCTAGAAGAGTTGGTATAAATTTCATATTTTTTTCGGAATCACTTTGAAAAACTGCCATGAGAATGTGAAATTCCTATTTGAATATTTTCATAAATAAAGAAGTTACGGAGGAGACATGAAAATGATCAAAATCTGTTTTTTGCGTAAAAAACAAAAACGAATAGATTTTATCGAAATATTTTTTCACATTATAGTTGGCCTTGACAAACTCCACATTTGGTGTCATTTAACCGACCTCGTATCTCTCACCGTTAAAAAGATACCCATGGTGAGCATGGTAAGTGGGACACATTGTATAATAAGGACGCCAATATCTGAAACATAAAATTTTCATAGAATTTAGCCGAAATCCATTTTCCGTGTGGGGGTTCCAAATTTGCAAAATTCATCACAAAACTACAGGTAAAACACAAAGTTGGTAAGTTGCCTTTAATAAGAAATAATAAATTAGTAGTTCTAATTTGCTAAATGCGTTATTTCATAAAGTTTGGATACAAAAATTCTATTTTTCAATGACAATGATAATATAGTAGTCATACTATATGAAAAATTCGAATATTAATTGGAGTATAAATATAAGTAGACATCATCAGTCAATAGACTTCAAATCCTACATAAAAATTAAAAAAAAAACGATATGGCACATTTTTGTACAATAACTAAATTCGTCTAGATTCACTGCATTTTAGATTTGATGTTTGAATATTTATTTCTATCGTCGCTAGAATCATTTCCTTCCAAGGAAACATTATTTTCATCACATTTCGGAGCAAATAACTGATGTAACGTCACTATCACAATGGTGAAGGTAAGTATGTAGTTCAGTCTGTATAAAGATACAGTGGCAAACAGCAAACTAGCTATGGCCAACGCCATTATAATTATTTCCAATTTGTCGGACCATTTTCTGAAATAAAAATTCATGGTGTATAGCGAATAGTTTCATGGATTTCTTGGATTGACATTTGACTGATAACTTTTTCTAAAACCAATAATGAGGATGTTTCTTCTCATGATGTATTTTCATCAAATTACCTAGTTGAACACTGATTAGCTTCATGTTCTGGCAATCCAGAATGCCCATTGAAATGATTCGAATTAATTCTATTTTCGAACAAAAGCAAAGTCTTAGCACTTTCTAATTATTCTCATTACTTATACCGGGTGTCCCAAGTTATCGTTGACTTGTTTCAAGTTACTTAATTATCCTCATGGAAATGAAAAATTGTCTCCGCTCATGTTTTTACTTTCAAAAAGCCAATAAGGCTCATGTCAAAATAATTTTGAACACTTGCTGTGATTTTTAGTTCCTGTTTTGATTCGCATAAAAGATATTTAAGTTGAAATTCATACTTCATTAAATGTTGCTGTTTTTGTTATAATAATAAAAGAAAAACAAGTATTTGCTATCGTTGTATTCCTTATTGGATGACACGCAATTTTCAATGACAATATACAGGGGGGCCAATTGAAAATTAAAAGTGGGGGATACCTGCCAGAGAATTGTCAAATGTAATGATTTCTTTTATATGTCATTAGGAAGGCACTTCAATGCCATTCAATGCAGTTTTGAATTTTTCAATTATCTTGTCAAATAAGCGAAATATTGCCTGTATACGATTACTTGGGACACCCGGTATATAAAAAAAGCGAATTGAATACTAGACTAGACCGTGAATAAATAAATAAACAGATAACAATGATAACATAATATCGATAGAAAGTGAGGTTCGGTATAAACTGGTTTCAGGTGAAAATGTGGATTTCATCACTAATGTCTCGAAAACAATAACAGTAATGATTCTATTGATTATTGAAATATTTATCTATATTTCGCCATTTCGTCTATAGAACAACATCATTGTGCTTTGTCATGGTTCTAGAATAGATAACTTTCAATGATATGTCATCAATTGTCAGAATTTCTGTAATAAATGAGTTAACAAAGTGACTTATAATTTATAATTTGTGAATAAATCTGAAAAAGGCTCAGAATATAAAATACAGTGATAATTGCACTAGTGCAATCAACAAGAATTGGACTAAAATGTAAAATTATCGCCCAATTTTGAATCGATTGGTAAAATCAGCATCAGTGGAAATGCATTGTGAAATTGTCAGATCTGACAGATGACCGAAGTTATCGACTAATATCAAATTGCCTACATTTGACTCATTACATGCGCTTTAAAGAGTGTGGACACGCTTGCCACCACTGACATTTCCGAATTGTCATCATTTTCAGGTTCGAAACGTCAGTTCTGAAAATTGAATAGGCGTCCCCGCGAAAATGTTTTCGAATATGTCTTGTTCCATAATGGATTGCAAAAATTCTAAGAATGATGGTTACCATTTATATTGGAGTTACCCAAAGACGAGAATACATTTCAAGTGTTCGTTAGCGCTTCAAATTCCAATATTCATTTCATGGAAATACAGGGTGTCCGAAAAAGTTTTCACTATTTCTCAGTTATACATCTTTATCATTATTGTTTTATCATTATTTTCATTTCTCTCCATACTCCACTGTGTTTGGCTCGATAATCAAATGAAAGTAAACAATATCGTTTTTTGAGACAAAAAACTATTGCTGGCCGTGATTATTCAAAAACAAGTAGTCCATCCCGAGAATAACGAAGGAAATAAAGATCAAGCAAACATGTGAATCTTCAAGGCCTTCCTGATCAAAACAAAAATACTTTACTATAATATGGTGTATTTATATCTCCAGCATGGGTAAGAAATGCCAAATCTACTGGAATCGGAAACAAATCAGGTCAGATTAGGTTGTTTATTCTTGATGACCTCTAGTACATCCTAAAGTTGAACTTTAGCTCCTAGGAACTAAATGTGTTGCCTAGCAACATACCTATGTTTGTGTCAGTAATAGGAACGTCAATTCAAGAGCTAATTTTGGTATTAAAATGGACGACTTTTGTGTCGGTTGCAGAAAAACAGTATTTCAGATAATGGGGTAATAATAATCCAAGGGAAAAACATCAGCAATCCCCAAATAGTTCCAAAGTGACAGTGTGGGCAGAAATGTCTGCACATGGAATCATTGTTCCATTTTTTTCAAGATGCATGTCATCGCACTGTCACCGTAACCCTGAACGTTATAGGGCAATGCTGGTAAATTTTCTTAAACCAGATTTGCAAAATTTCGGTGGCTTCAACCAAAACACTTGGTCTCAGCAAGATGGGGCAACTACTCACACTGTGAATCTTTCCATACAGGTCGTTCGAAGGGTGTTTCCAGGAAAGGTCATATCAAAAAATGGTGACATCAATTATCCTCCCGGAAGACCCGACTTGACTGTCATGGATTTTGTTTGTGGGGGTTCCTGAAATCAGTGGTGTACACTGAAATTCCTGCTAATTTGAATCAGTTGAAGCAAAGAATTCGCGATGAAATTCGAGCAATTCCACAACAACTCTGTGCCCGCGTGTTTGCCAACTTCCGAGAACGTTTGGAGGAGACGGTGCACGTTGGAGGACAGGATCTCGACGGCATGATTTTTCACAAAAGAATTTCCACATTTTGTAGTTAATTTTATGAATAAGAAATGCTTACTGAATTTTGAACTGAATGAGTTATGATTTTCTCAAATATTAAAAACCTTCTCTGACACCCTGTACATTCAATGATGTATTGATATAATAGTCCAATAAATAAAGGGAAAAAGTTAACATTAATTACGCACTATTTTCATCTTCCGGTTGGAAGTAGCTTTTGGTACCTCATTAAACATGAGACAAAGTTTGACTGGAAAACGCGTGCGATGGCGGAGAAAATGGTCCCAAAAGACCAGAAAAATAGGTTTTCAGCCAATATCTCCTAAAATATGGCAGTTAGAGATTTTCGGTTCGAATAAAAATTGAAGTTCAGTTAATTTTCTACAAAAATGGTCCTTATCATTTTTCTCGAAAATTTGCCCGGTTTAGAGAAAAACGGCACGAAGCGCACCTCGAATAATGAGCTTCTGTTGTATGCCGTGTATTTACACATCGGCGGGGGGGACAAATTATTCAATAACGTTGTTAAAAATGCAGATTTTCTCATGAATCAAAGTTCATGTGAAAGAGGAATTCTGCTGCTATCATACCCTGTGAATTGAGTTACGCTTGACTCTTTTGGCCATATCGGAACATGGGTCAAACTTTCTGCTCCCGGTCAATTTTGACCTCGCCAGGAATTTGTTCCTATTTTTTTTGTATTGCTCTAATTTACTCAAAATTTTCTTGATTATGGGTCCTCATAAGGTCCTTTGTCATCCCTGAAATTTGTATACCCTAATTTTCTTTAAATTTCATTTAATCTTTGTTTATTGAATCCCAATTTTATGCTGTTTTTGGAGCGCGGGGAAATTTTGTGAACAACCATCAATTAAAAATTTATACATGATCCGATTGGTTTCTATGATACATCATTTGAAAGCTAAGAAGGTCTACTTTTCGATTGTGCAATTACTTTTTTAGACGAAGTCATCCATTTTTCAATAAAATTAGAAAAAGCGGGGTCAAGGAAAAAAACGCACTTTTTTTCGGTGGTTTTTTTCTCCGTGCTCTTTATTTCTAACATTTTAACACCTTAACTAGTGTAACGGGGTAATTCCCACCTTTCCATCGATGTATATAAGTCATACCTTTGATATCCCGGGAAAAAACCAGTATATCTAAATTAACACGATATAATTTATTACTTTCGTTCCTCCGTCGTTCGCCGCGTGTGTGCTCTACGTGGCGCTCGGGTCGTCTGCTACAAACCATGCGGCCACGCAGGGTATGATAGCAGCAGAATTCCTCTTTCACATGAACTTTGAATCATGAGAAAATATGCATTTTTAACAAAGTCATTGAATAATTTGTCCCCCCGCCGATGTGTAAATACACGGACTGTGCTCTCCGGCATACAACACAGAATAAGCTCATTATTCGAGGTGCGCTTCGTGCCGTTTTTCTCGAAACCGGGCAAATTTTCGAGAAAAAGGACCATTTTTGTCGAAAATTAACTGAACTTCAATTTTTATCTGAACCGAAAATCTCTAACAGCCATATTTTAGGAGATATTGGCTGAAAACCTATTTTCCTGGTCTTTTGGGGCCATTTTCCCCGCCATCGCACGCGTTTTCCAGTCAAACTTTGTCTCATGTTTAATGAGGTACCAAAAGCTACTTCCAACCGGAAGATGAAAATAGTGCGTAATTAACGTTAACTTTGCCTTTTTTTTCCTCCTTCATTTATTGGACTATAACTAAAATAATATATTTTATAAGCCTTTGGTGTTACGGTTTCAAATAATATGTCTGCACTCATTCAATGAAGGGGTACAGAAAATTGACATTACATCTTGTATAAAACATATTTGTGTCTCATGTTTTTTGTTCAGCTATTTAATAACATAAGTGTGTCCACACTCTTGAAATGAGATGTTCGAGGCACTCTAGATTTGACTACCCATACCTTCCAGTTTTGGGAAATTCAAACTGCCACAGTGCTAATGCACACATATTCAGAATGACACCAGGAATGAAAGAACTATCTGGAGTCAGAGATGTGTTATACCTAAAATAAAATCAAACTTATTGACAAAACAGTATGATTAAAATACATTGAAAACATGAATTTATCATTCAATCCAATTTTACGGTACAACACAAATTATACCGGGTGATCTATGTAGGTGTGCGTAGAAAAAATTCAATATCTCGTGTGTTTATCGGGATTCGGGGGTCCATATGGAAGCTTCTACATCGCAGGAATATTGTGATATAATACTGAATCAAGCAGAACATGGAAAATCACAGGCATGTATTCGTTAGAAGATTTTCAGTAGATTCCAATAGTTCAGTTTAGGATCTATTTTATGCCATACGAATTCCCAGAAACGATAATGAAATTTAGTAAACAGAAATGTTATCTATTTCCAACAAAATAGAAACAAACAAAACAAACATTCTTACACAAAGAAAAAAATATATTCCTAATTCTCAATTCGGAAATACTCAGAAATATCACAAAACACAGTTACATGGTAGTTATAAGATTTGAGTCCTATATAAAAAACAGGAAGCGTTAGCATCTAGCAACTAGATGCGCTACTGTTCAGTAGAATGTGCTTAGATCAGAGCCTATGACAGACGTGTGTGAAGACTGGCTCATATAGTATTCGACAGGCAGCCGAGTTAAGAGCAAGTGTAACCCTTGTCCATGTCATTTGTGCTCGTGTTTATTGAATTATGACCATAATATAACAGGAAGGAATAGTGAAAATGGAGAACAAAAATACAAAACAAATAAAAAATTAAACATGTCAAACAAACTGTTATAAGAGAGGTATATAAAAAATTGAATTTGATCTGAATCAGATGAAGTATTGTCCTTTTTTGGTTTATACATATCATTAGTACCTACCTAAATATGTACATTTATTACTTATTTTGTAAAATTAATTCAAACAGAGCCAGCCGAAATATCATGCAATTTGTAAATGTAGGTGATTAACTAAAGATTAATAATAAAGGTTATTATAATAAATAAGTGCCCAAATATTTTTCAGTAGGTTATGAAATGTTTCAATAGTTCAATAGATCAATATGCAAATCAGGGGATCTAGTGAAAATTTAGTAGAACTGACAACCCTGCAGCGGAAGAAAAGTGTTTGCAGACGAAAAGTTTTTTATGTTTCTCTTTTGTTGTGGTGTTTTGTAGTCTGCGTAAATACTATACAGGGTGTCCTCAAAAGTTCTTTACAAAATCTCAGCAGATGTTCCTGAGGTAAAAATAAGCCGATTTCAATATTTTTGAATATTTTCAAACGTTTTACTTAAAAAATTGGTAGCCAATGGCTTCCTTGGGATGTGAAACCCGGGCATCTTTTCACTGTGGCCATTAGAGGGCGCTTACCAATGCACTTCCTAGGGATAATAATGGTCATAACTTTTTTCTCAGTGTAGTTTTCAACTTTTTCCGTCGAGGAAATAATTTTCTGAACATTTCTAAGCAAAAAATGAAATCTCATAAAAATCCGCTGAATTAACCCTATTTCGAGATAATTTGGTTGTTAGTGTTCGATGTCCGGAATATTTAAATTATTTAGAATGAAAAATGTTTGCTGTTATCTTCGTGAATGTAATTTGGTAAGTGAATTAGCACTGTAAACATGAATATTTCAAAATATTTCTTTGGATTTTCATTTTTCAACTTTACCACCCCGTATCTCGGAAACATCAATTTCGGATTAAAGTAAGTAGCTTTAAATCGACTCCCTTTGGCCACAGGAATATACAGGGTGGGGCATTAGTGCGTCGGAGCTCGATTGCTCGACATCTATGATAGCTAGAAACGAATGTGAATGAGATAACAAGGTCCATAACTAGAAATTATTGCCGGATATACAGGGCGCACCGAAAATAATCTAGAGGGTCGGGATCAATTTTTTTAATTGGAATGCCCAGTATATTTGCATATTTTTTGAAGCATCCCTGTGATCTTTATTCACTCCTATAATATCGTTGACCATATCTCTTTCGTATCAAAGTTATGAATTTTTTGGTCAAAATAATGTCATCTGCAGATGCCTACCGAAAATATCACTATTGTCAGAATTATAAACTTTAAGAAAAAATAATCTCAATATCATTTATTGGAAAGATGAGTGACATTTCTGAAAATGTTTCAGGCTCTCAAATGATACAGGGTGGCTGAAAATGATTTTTCAATTCGGAAGTTTTCGAAGTGATTTTTCACGAGTTTTTCAAATGGAACACCCCATATATTTTTTGACCATTTGATGTAAAATCGAAACACTAACATATTTATCTGAACATCCATATCGATATTCATAACCATTTTTGAATTATTGAACTTTGAAAATTATAGGTTGGCGATTTTGATCGATTTAGATTCTTATCTGTCATTAAAACATCCAAAGTCACATTATTAATTTAGTGAACCAATTTTTTCATAGAATGAATCGATACCAGAATCGAAGCAAACAGAAAAAGTTCATATGCTAGTTTTTCACTAAGTAAGAAGAGACAAAATTTGCATTTCTCAAGTATCCCATAAATTCATGGCACATTGATATTTTCGGTAGGCATCTGCAGATGACATTATTTCGACCAAAAAATTCATAACTTTGATACGAAAGAGATATAGTCAACGATATTATAGGAGTGAATGAAGATCACAGGGATGCTTCAAAAAATATGCAAATATACTGGGCATTCCAATTTAAAAAATTGATCCCGACACTCTAGATTATTTTCGGTGCGCCCTGTATATGCGGCAATAATTTCTAGTTATGGACCTTGTGATCTCATTCACATTCGTTTTTGAATCAGGTTTCTAGCTATCATAGAACTCGAGCAATCGAGCTCCGACGCACTAATGCCCCACCCTGTATGCTGAGATTTTGTACATACCTTTTAGGGACACCCTATATTTTTGCTGCTTCAAAAGTGACAGAGGAACCAGATAGTCACTTCTATCCCCACTACTGAAAGTAGAAGGTATTTTGATTCTCAGTTTTGACAACTGAATGATTCTTCGCATTCATATTTAGATCACCCTGTATAAAACCACTACAACTACAAATAAAATTGCTCTTACTTGAAGTTATGTGCCCACGTCAAGACAGCCGGTATATTAATGACGGTAACTATACACCACAGAAAGAACAAAGTAGAATGAAAGAAAATAGCATTGTAAGCAGAGGATAATTCACTGTCCTCTTCAGGAGTACCTTCATCAATAGTTTCAGTCTGACCTTCGTCTCTTACTTCGTCGACATCTTCAGTATGTTCTCGATCAGTACTGTTATCAAGGATTTCGTTGTCTTTTTCAACTGAACCATCTTGTTCTTCATCAATTTCTTCAGGTGATTCTTCCCCTGAATTTTCACCGTCTGCATTCGTAGAAGTTGTTGGATTTCCTCCGTCTTTTGTATTCTTTTCATTTGATGGCTGTTCTTGTTCTTGTTCGGTTATTTCTTCTTTGATATTTTCAATACTCGGATGGTCAGTACTTGCGATCCTTTTTTTACTGAACCAACCCTTGAACTTCTTTGCTATTTTTTTCAGAGTATACCATACTACTTCTTCCACAAAATCTTGAGACATTTGAGTGAGCTGAAATATTGATATCAGATTTGTTGAATTGCTTTCATGAAAGCTGCAGATTCAATATAGGTTATCATCAAACTAGAATTCAAATCATTCATTTATTAACAACATGATTAGTTCAACCTCTTATACAGTGTGTAACAGCCAAATGGAATGAATTTGATAATCAATACACGGGGCCCAGTTCGAAAAAACGTTCGGATACGACGATTAATATTTTTAGTGCATCTTTCTTAACAAAAACTTTCATGTAACAGCTGCCAATATCAATTTTCTTATTTCAAATGCAACACCTTGTATTTCACTCAATCTTTGAAATCTCCATAAAATAGACGTAATTCATGTATGTACACTGCTGCCCAAAAAAATCGTAAAGACTCTTGAGCTATGTTGGTACATTTTGTTTAAGCCCATGTGCTATTCATCGTTCAGACACAATGTCGATCTACCCAAGGGTCTACCTCATTAGCATTTTATGACCTGATTCAAGTGTTTTGGGTGCATACAATTAGCAAGAACTTTCAAGATTACCAATCCTTTTTGATATTGATCATGATGGAAATGGCAAAGGCTATTTTTGAAATTTTATTTAACATTTAATGTTTCCATGTGAATGTGAGATACTCAAATATTTTATCAACACTACACAAAATGGATGATCGCGAAGTTTTATTTTCAACATATTCTGATCGGCGGCAATAAAAGTGTCTTTGATCATTGCAGAACAACATGTGAAAAAACTGGAGTGATAAGATAAAATAAGGTATTTGAAAGAAAATTGTTATCTTCACCTAAGAAACAAGTTTGAAGAACAATTCTGGAGAATTGCACAATTTAAAACAAGTATTTTACTTTTCAAGATACAGTATCAAGGTATTTATTTTCATATTTATATCAGCTACTGATCTGAATAAATGATTCCCATTCAACTACATCAGAAGTATATATTATAATGTATGCTACCTGAAGTTCGATTCTGATTCTGAATTAATGTATATCGAATGGATTTCGATGGGAAACGTAGTTCGAAATACTTACAGAAAAAAACGGATTGAGATAAGATTACAAGTTTTCTACGAAAATAAAAATTCGATAACATTTGAAGGGTCTTGTTCTCGAAATAATCATAAGTGATGCATGGCTTATCAATTTTTGGATTCAGAAAATTATGTAGACTTCAAAGATGTCATAATATATACAGGGCGTTCCATTTGAAAATCGGTTGTTGACGTCATTTCCGGTTATACATATCTCCCAAAATATCAAAAAGTATCTCAGCTTATCCGATGTTTCAGTGTCACACACTAGATGAGTATGACAGAGAAAAACTGTAAAATCAAGCTGTCACATAGCTGTGACCTGTTTCTTCTCTGTAATAATCATTGGACATAATCATCAGTACATAAGTGAAGTACCCAACAGTTTTTTTTTTCTACAATATCTTCGTCGGTCATGCTTGGTAAGTATCAACAACTTTGTGCCAATTTTTTCTTAAATCAGCAGCATGCATCAACAAATAGTCATTACCCTCAAAAAATAAAACACCATTCCCAAACATAGTGCCAGTCCTCCGCAAGTTGTTATGGACAGCAAGACCAATAAGAATGCCACGACAATAGGTACTTTATGCAATACATTCATCACATGGTCCGTCCATGATATTTTCAAATTTGCAGCACGCGCCAAAAACCTGAAAATTTATAAACGTGAGAACGTATATCTAAGACTGAAACCTTTGGCACGACTTTTCCACTCATCACGTAATCTGACCAATCACAAGCCAGAGACCACCTGTGGTATCGCGAAAACACTAGCGGTATTTCAATTCTGATTGGTATTGATCTATACAGGGTGTGACATTCTAGCAAATGAAGTTCATATAAACATGTGTCCTAACTTGCTCCGTCTTTGAGATACAGAATGTTGAAGTTGGAAGTATTAATTGTTTTATTTATAACCTATATGGCCTTGACATAGTGTTTTTCCAATGTATTTACACTCTCTAATCATTGTAGTATTCCTGATGATGGAAATAAACATTTCCGAAAGCTTGGATAAACTTTAAAGAGTATTCCTTTTACACTGCTACTACCCCCAATATACACTGGTTTTATTCCTACTGGTCAGCAAAGACCTCCCTTCCATAATATCATTTATATATACAGGGTGTCCCTAGACCAGTGGGACAGTTAAATATCTTCTGCACCAATAGGAACTTTCAGAATATTATAATTCCACATCATATCGCAGCATGAGTGCTATCTTCAGGAATGACTATATTTTCTACCAGGGGCACAAGAAAGGCTCACAAAATCGAACATCAATTTTTTCAAATGGAACACCCTGTATTTCATTGCATTTTCATAATCTCCTTGAAGAGCTGAATTCAACGACCTAGCACACTTGGGCTCCAGCGGGGATGATTTCCGAGATATAGGGTGTGGAAAATCGAGATTTTTCATTTTTGGGAATTTTTTGTGTCAAAACTATTCATTATTGGTCAAAACGGCACACATGTCCATATCTTAACTTCTGATTTACTATCCACTCGTATTTAAATTAAACAAATACAGGGTGGTGTAGAATTCTGAGGTTCAGTCGGAATTCCACACCACCCTGTATTTGTTTCAATTAAATACGGGTGAATAGTAAATCAAAAGTTGAGACATGGACATGTAAGCCGTTTTGACCAATAGTGAATAGTTTTGACACAAAAAATTCCCAAAAATGAAAAATCTCGATTTTCCACACCCTATATCTCGGAAATCATTCCCGCTAGAGCCCAAGTGTGCTAGGTCCTTGAATTCAGCTCTTCAAGGAGATTATGAAAATGCAATAAAATACAGGGTGTTTTATTTGAAAAAATTGATGTTCGATTTTGTGAGCCTTTCTTGTGCCCCTCGTAGAAAATATAGTCATTCCTGAAGTTAGCACTCATAATGCGATATGATGTGGAATTATAATATCTCGAAAATTCCTATTGGTTCAGGAGATATTCAACTGTCCCACTGGTCTAGGGACACCCTGTATATATATATATATAAGTTCAGGCAAGCCAAGGTTAGTTTATTACATTGTACCAGTATATCACCTGATGAAGCTACTGTGTTAGCGAAACATGTTGTGTGACTAAGAATTTTGTGAAAATCCCATCGTTTGTGAAGTTTTTACATTCAAATTTAATTTCTGGATATGCGAATGACCCTGTATATGGAGCAACTTCACGAAATAAAAGTTTGTGTTGTTTCAAACAACTTGTTGATTCAACATTTTTTCACATCTCCGAAAACAAGAGTAAAGGGGGGGTTCCATATTAAGAGGCGCACTCTGTATATTGTATAGGAATAGTCCAAAATATACCAGAGGCACTAATAAATATACAGAGTGCTAAAATATTACAGAACATATAATCGTTCATAATTTGTTTTTTGACACTCACCTCAGTGATAACTTATGCACAGTCGATTCCATGGCAATCAGTGAAATGCTGAAAACTATAACCAAAATCCACGTAATTCCAACACTGCACAAGAATAAAAGTAGAGGTAAAAGGAAGAAATCGGTTCCTTCATTCATCAAATAATTAATGTCTGGTCTCGGTAAAATACTGGCAGCATTTGGCGAACTAAAAATAAGTTTTCTATAGAATATCGTAGTCATTTTACATTACGTTACTTGCTTCAACATTTGTGATAAGAATTTTGTTAATGTCAACACATAATATGGCCTGGTACCTTCGCTCAAAGCCACGAATATAATGGCACAATAGCCTTTCCCTAAAGTTTTCAACTGATACCTCAAAGACATAAGTAAAACCACTGCTATATTCGTCAAGAGCAAGGGAGTGTAAACTCTTGCTATTTGTCCTAATGAACCAAAAATCGTTGATTGCAAACTGAAAAAAAAAACTTGAAGCACCAGTTCTGTTGAACAATTTTCGATGATGACTCACCTTACACGGTATGTACACGCCGGTTCTAGCTTTAGTTTGATTGAAGCTGATGAATGATTCGCAGAAGTAGGTTTCGAACTGTACAATCTTATATTGATTGGATTATTGTCTGTATCTCTGAAAATTTAAAACAAAAATTACCTGCCGACTGAACTGAAAAATTACATAATTAGAAATAGAAAACTATGTTCCAACCAGTTCCGTTTTATCTGAGCGCCACTGTACCGTTACTACCGGTACCCTTTTCTGGTTAACCTACAAAGTTATTTTTTCTACGGCTATAACACAAAATTGCTCTTGTTTTACTGTGTTCGATACGTCAATGAGGTACTTTGTATGTCATCAATATTATTTCCGTATCTGATATCACAATGACTCCATTGTGTTATTATTTCAAAAAAATCTCATCGCTCATGGAATGTCAAATGTGAAGCAATGACAGCTCTGTCTAATAGATGAGCATTACTTGACAGGAAATCAGATGGCTTCAAGACGAAGAAATCGAAAATGACGCTGTTATCTATTATAGCCCTTGCAGGGAATGCTAATTTCCTACTCGAATTATTATACATCATTTCGAGGAGAAAAAAATAGCGAATTCAACGAAATAATAAAATACAGGGTGTTCCAGGGTATCTCCAAAACCTAACCCCGAAAAAATATTTTTGTGGCTCGAATACAATGACACAATGACATTTCGATGCTTGATAGGCTTAGAAATCCAAAGATCAAAGACGATATTATCAGAACATTTTCCATACCCTAATCGGTCCCAGAAGATTGCCAATTATCAAATTTTAAAAAATCATCCGAAAATAACTCACGATATTAGGACGGATACATCAATTATTACAACAATTTCAGTTTCATGTATCCAAATGGCAAAAATGAAAGGCAAATAGTTTCTTCACAAGTAGCCAAATGAAAATAACTGAGATTATATCTTAGTTTTTTCAATATCGTGAGTTATTTTCGGATGATTTTTTTAAACTCAATGAAATTATTGACAATCTTCTGGGACCGATTAGGATATGGAAAATATTCTGATAATATCGTCTAAGTCAATGATCTTTGGATGTTTAAGCCTATCAAGCATCGAAATGTCATTGCATTCGGGCCACAGCCAACTTCATTTATTTCAATAAAATGCAATTTAATAGCCCATTGATGAACGAAAATCAATTTGTGATACATAGTTGAATAGAGAATTTTGGAGCGGATAAGATAGACTACAGAAATATACAGAGTGCCATATGAAAAAAAAAGTTGAGTCTACTTTCAATCAAACAGGTGGTTGAAAAAACTTGTCATTGGGTTCAAGGGAAGCGCCATCATCGATTATGTAACCCTTGTGAATTTCAAATTTGTATCTCTTCAAATAAAAAAACTACAGGCTGTTACATGTGTCCTGTGTCATCCGGTATAGGCCAAACCAGGCTACCCATAAAAACAAGGTTCAAAGAACACATAGCACGTTTAAAATATGGTAGGTTAGATAAATTGTAGCCGAACATATGCTCAATCACAATCATAATACACATATTGCTAACCTCAAATTAGTGAAGCTATTTAATAATATTAGAAAATTAGACGCATATGAAAGCTTAGAGATGTTCAAGAATAGTAATAGAGTAATGAATAAGGATAATGGACCTATTCCATATAGCCCTCTATATAGTTTAGTAATATAAAAATCAAGATTAACATATGAACTCAACCATGACAAACATTAACTTGACGATTAGTATTTTTCACGGTTGGGTGAACATATACCTAGTATATAAGCAGCACACTAGAATGTTAACATAGTTAGCGAAATACGTGTCGAGGCGTTCAAAAAATCGGTTTGGTTAGTGGTAAAACAGTGTAGTGATGATGAGAACAGGATAGTGTAGTACACATTCAACTCCGTTTCATACGAGCACCACTGTGCACTGTGTTCATTTGCCTATCAATTATTTACACTTACGTGATGAATCCATGAAAATTCTCATTACTCCATGGAGCTAACAAGCTAGCCGATGCATGGTGATTTTTGATCGGACATTTCACTACTTCCAGAGACAACTGATAATTCTGCGTGATGTGTTGAAGTTGGGGTAGAACTAATTCGTAGTCTATCGCCTTTTCGGCAGAGTTTTCGATGACAACGTGCTTCCTTGGCGACCACCATTTCGGTAAATCCACTGTGATGAGTCGTTCAGATTCATCATGAATGTCAACATGAAACACTACCTACATATCAAGTACGAAATAGCCAAATTGCTCAATAGGGAATGGAATGTTAATCAAATACCAAAAACTCAATAATTCAAAGTCATTTCCACAAATTTTTATAGAATGAACAACAATGGTAGATGCATCAAGGAAATAAACATTTGATTTTTATAAAATGAACAACAACGGTAGATGCTTTAAGGAAAGAAACACTTGCATCAGTATTCGTTTATAAGAATAGATGCATATATTTCGGGAGGATGTGATTCAATGTTCTGCGTTGTATTAGTCACGAAAGTAGTTGTTTTTATCCCTTCCCTGCAACCAAACCATCGGACATAATGCCCGCCAGGCTCAGTTTCGATCATACCTTTGAAGTGGATATGAAAAGCCGCCCTAGGTACGGTTCCGCTGAGCTGGACAGAGGGTCCCTTGTTTGGTACACCGATGGTTCGAAAATGGAAGAAGGGATAGGAGCGGGTGTATATGGACCCGGATGTAGGCTATTTGAAGCCTAAGGTCACTCCCCCACTATCTTCCAAGCTGAAATACATGCCATCAACCTTTGCGCCCAAAGGTGCCTGAGCAAAGGTCTGAGGGGTGCCAACATATATATCTGCTCAGACAGCCAAGCCGCACTAAAAGCCCTAAAATCATTCGTTTTCACATCAAAGTCACACTTATGTGGATTCCAGGGCATGAAGGAATCAAAGGAAATGAGGCAGCTGATCGCCTTGCAAAAAAAGGTGCAGCATCTGCACTTTTTGGTCCTGAGCCTTTTTGTGGGATAAGCAAATGTCACCTAAAGGGAGAACTCAGGAAATGGGAAGAAATTGAAAAGTCCTCCTACTGGAGAGCAACTCCAGGTCAACGACAAGCGAAAAGGTTCATCAACCATTCGCAGAACTGAGCCAAAGAGCTACTCAGCCCCAGCAAACCAGAGCTGAAGCTTATCACAGGCTTTCTCACAGGACACGGCCCTCTGAGGTACCACCTCAAAAAGATGGGTCTGGCGGAGACTGACACTTGCCGCTTTTGTAACAATGCGACCGAAACCGCGGAACACATACTTTGCTCATGTGAAGTATTAGTCCGCCAAAGGCTGAACCACCTAGAACAGGTCTATCTCACCCCTGCTGAAGTGGAAAATTCAACCGTCAGGAAAATCGTAGGCTTCATCAGAAGTCTAGTCTAGTCTAGTATAGGACCAAAACTAGATAGGGATAATCACAATAGATCTTCTAGGTCTACAATCTACAATCTACAATCCCTTCCCGGAAATGGATCTGAGTTTTTGGTATTTGATTTACTACCTACATATTATAAAAAATCTATCCAGGGTGTTTCATTACTAATTGGAAATATTTCAGCATTGATGAAATAAACCTCATAAAATCCTGATCTCAAAATATGGAGATTTAACCCAAATCACCTATTCAAATATTTTAAAAAAAAATTTTAACTTGAAATATCTCGAAAAATAATAATTTTATCGCTATGAAGAAGAAGTATGATATTTACGTAGGAAGTATTGAAGAATCGACAAATTGTGATAAAATGGCAATTTCGCCAGTGGCGTAGAATTTGAGAAGGATCAACCAGTCAAGTGCCTCTGTCGTACGGCTCTGGTAGCAGCCAGAAAAGTTTATTTTCCATAATTTAGTTGGGCGTACAATATCTACACTTTCTGCCAAATATGACAATGATACGTCATTTAGTTTCAATGTACTAAAAACAAATAATTTTTTCTGCAACCGACACAAAAGTCGTCCATTTTGATACCAAAATTAGCTCTTAAATTGACGTTTCTATTACTGACACAAAAATAGGTATGTTGCTAGGCAACCAGTTCCTAAGAGCTAAAGTTGAATTTTAGTTCCTAGGAGCTAAAGTTGAACTTTAGCTCCTAGGAACTAAAAAGAATGTGCTGGACGTCATCAAGAATAAACAACATTGTGACGGTTGGTTATTTGGGTTGAGACGCATACCTGATTTGTTTCCGATTTCAGCAGATTTGGCATTTCATACCCATGCTAGAGATATAAATACACCTTATTATAGTTTAGTATTGGAGTTATGAACATCTCAGTTAAGTATTTTTGTTTTGATCAGGAAAGCCTTCAAGATTCAAATACTTGCTTGATCTGTATTTCATTCGTTATTCTCGGGATGGATAACTTGTTTTTGAATAATCACGGCAAGCAGTCGGTTTTTTGTCTCAAACAACGATGTTATTTAGCTTCATTTGATTATCAAGTCAAACACAGTGTAGTATGGAGAGGAATAAATAATCACTATTATCATTGTTGATATGTTCACTAACCTAACATTTTCCACGTCCTGTTCCTATAGCTGGCACTGGCGCGGTATTTGCCATTAGAGCACCTGGTCCATACACAAATATGTCACTCTGTGGTTGTATTTATATTGAAACTACAATTCGAACATCCTTGAAAACCTAACCTGCTGTTAATGCAGGTAGAATATTCTCACTACATGGATTATTTGTCAATATTTGTTGCATTGCATACATATGGCACGGCATTGGTGGTTACTTCACATGTTAATTTGAGTTAATTGTTTCGGTTGCAGAAAAAATAGCATGTTTCATTCAGATCAAAAGTGACTTTGTTCGACTCGCAAATTTGCTTTCGCTCGGCTTCGCTAAACGCTCCGCCTCGCAAATGCAAAATACGCTTGTCAAACAAAGTGTCACTTTTGATCCTAATAAAACAATCTACTATTTAAATTTTCAAATAAAACACCATGTAACTCAGACAGAAGACACATTTTATACAGGTTGTATCTAAATAACACCGAAAAAAAGCAAGGGGTGATTCATTGTGGTATTTTAGGAAATAGAGTTCATATAAACATGTGTCTCTTTCAATACTCATTTCTCAATTGTATTTCCATCAATTTCAATAAAACGTTGTGGTTTTGTTAATAGCAATATGGAGCTTCTTCTAATGCAATTAGATTCGAAATAATATTTCCAGTGGCGTCACAGTGCGTGAATTTATCGATAGTCATGGTGAATGTCATTGAACAATACCGGTTTTTCCGAGTTATTCATATTTTTGAAATAACAACTTTTTTATCCTCTGTGTGATTTTTGTATCTAGCTTAGTTTTTGAGGGAACTTTCAAGACTTCCATTGAGATTACTCAATAACCCCAATTAGAATAATTTTGAAATTTTGGGGCTCTCTCAGTCTCCATCCATACTGAATTTTGGCACCATGAAAGCTTATACAGGGGGGTTATAAATAAAAACAATCAATACTTCCAACTTCAAAAACGGAGCAAGTTAGGAAACATGTTAATATGAACTTTATTTGCTAGAATATCACAAGGAAACACCTCTTGAATTTTTTCGGTGTTATTTAGATACACCCTGTATAGGTGATTTGGGTTACATCTTATATTTTGAGCTCAGGATTCTATAGTGGAAATATTTCCGATTAGCAATGAAACACCCTGTATGTATCAAAAGAAATATGCCTCGCCATAAAACAGATGCAAATAACCATATTCGAATATTTGATACCTACCAACTCCCGTAATATTTCAAATATATCATAATTGTATTTGAAAGGTATTATGATAATAAAATTTACTTTATTGGAATCATATCAAGATAACTATCTGAATTTTATGAAAACGAAACAAATATCTTTATTGATTGAAGGTTCCTCTAAAACCAATACTTTATATCAGAAAATAACATAGGTACTTAAAAATAAATTTTGTCAACGTATTCAACGTAGAACGGTAATAAAATAGTAGAGGATCCGAAGTAAGGTCGATCTTCATCCATCTGTTTAATGAATGAACATTATTTTATAAGTAATTTAGTATGTTGAAAATTAAAAGAAAAATGGGCTGCCTGACAAAATCCTTGCCAGGCTATAATCAGAGATTATACCTACCTGTAATACAATTGTACACAAAGCCTCTTGTTGTTCTTAAATTGTTCTTATCCATCATTCGGTTGCCCCCTTACGAGCTACCCTCAAAAGTCTTCAAGAGACTTGTGCGAGCAAGGTTGCCAATATTTTTCCTGGTTCAACAATAGGGTTGCCAGGTATAAAAATGTATGTTGGTCCTAGTTATCTTACTTATTCGATCTATAAATTAAACATAAAAATAAGCGCTGTTTTATTGCGACAGTTCACAGTAGCACTGAAATTTTATTTTTTAAAAAATTTGACAACCGTCAGGACAGACTTTTTGCAGGCAACCCTATATCATTGTGTTCGTAATAAAACAGTGCTTATTTCTATGTTTTCTGCCTAGTAAAACAAATAACTATTCATCCATTAAACAGATGAGTGGAAGTCCACCTTACTTGCACTATAATAATTGATATCCATCATACATATACTAAAATGCTACATACTCACTGGTTCATTTGTTGGTACAGTTCTGAATACGATGTGGGTCATCTCTGGGTGATTTTTCATCACTTCCTTCATGTTTATTTGGAAATATCGTCTCTTATACTTCTTAGAAGGGGCGATTTCGGATATATGAGTCAAGTGGATAGCTTCTGAACTGGGTGTTCAAGAATAAAAAAAAAAACATTCAATTCAATCTAGGATATTTTTTTCAGAAAATCATTATATTATAATACATGCAAATGGGACCTGAGTATTGCATTTGATAGAAGAAATAATTTTGAATTGATCATGCAATGATTTTTTTTCGGTGAGGGGAAAAGAGTTTGACATTTCGTCTCTGTTGACAGGTTATAAAATGTCACTTTCCATAAATAACATTTTTCCCACGACAAAAAAGTGTGTACTTTTTTCCCGGATATACAGGGTGGCATTGAAAAGTGCAATATTTCTAGCAAATAAAGTTCATATAAACAAGCTACAGGATGTTGAAGTTGGAAGTATTAATTGTTCTTATTTATAACCCCCCTGTATAAGCTTTCATGGTGCCAAAATTCAGTATGGAGGCTGAGAAAGCCCCAAAATTTCAAAATGATTCTAATTGGGGTATTGAGTAATCTCAATGGATGTCTTGAAAGCACGCCTACATCAAAATTTGGAGTCAAATCGAATTTTTATTGTTTCCTCAAAAATTAAGCTAGACAAAGAACCCCGCACTTTTTCTATATAAAAATGGCGTTCTGTCGAATGTTCTGGATTTCTGGTATATTATAGAACTCGACCTAATGATCAAATATTATGCAGAGTACCAATCCGATCCTATGACCAGTTTTTGAGATACAGGGTGTTGAAGTTGAGAAATGCCCCCTTTTCATCTATCCATATCTCCAAGAAAAGACAAATGAATCAGAATTGTCTGCTAGCAGTTTTTCAGTTCAACCTTTAGGTACAACAACCATGTACAGAATCAACCAAAACGGATCTTTATCACAGGGTGATTCACATCTGAATTATTGTGTTATTTTCAATTTCTAAATATCGACACTACAACTTGATGAAAATTAAAAAATCAGAATTATCATTCCATCTGTTCTTCTGTTTTTTCATCACCCTCGAATTCTAGATTTTCACCGTTAAGGTCAGATTTTTTTCATTAATATTTTGAGTATTGATACCTCAATGACATGAAGAATTTTCAGCTCCTTGCTATGACTAGTTTTCCATATACAGTATGATGCAAATGTATGGAATAAATTCATTTCAAAACAAGACGACTTCCGAAAAAATTCCAAAAAGTAGAGCTCAGAACTTTTTTGTCGATGTATTTTTTCAACTAGACGACCCTTCGATGTTCCATTCTCAGTAGAAGATCTCTGCAAGATTCAGTTAACCAAATGATAATCCATTTTAATTTCAATCTTCTTTTGCAAAATTTTGACTATTGGATAGACGATAGACGATCAGTAGACCTTTCAAACGAGGTGTCACATGACCCCTGTTTGTATTTTAAAAAACAGTCCATTACGTCATTACTCCAACACCGGTGACGTAACATCTCTCATATAAATATCATGAGTTGAGGTTTCAAAAATTAAAACTCACGTGTTTTTGGAATTTCTTCAAATGTCGCCCATTTCTGAAATAATGAATTTATTCCATACATTTGCATCATACTGTATATTGAATATAATGAAAGTGATTACCCACTCAGATTAAATATACTCATAGTATTTCATCAGTAATTTCATTCGCCTTTTTGTTTTTCAAAATCGGATAGTTAATAGCAGCGCCTCGAGAACGGCACTATGGCTTTGGATGGTTTTGTATCAGTGTGAACCTGTTTTTATTTGCAACAGGTATTTTGATACTTGAGAGGAAACTGAATAGTTCATGTTTACTCGAATCAATCTTTGTTATGAAGAAACATTTGTTTCAAAAGGTACTTTTATGCCCCCCCAAATATCGCCTGGATCCGCCCCTGAATGTCACGTGATTGATTGTACTTAGTAGTTGGATGTTAATTAGCATTACAATGTCGGTAATCAATATACCTCACATTTACATTCTTACACCTAATTTGTTACTATCAATGCTACTATCAATGCATTAGATCTTCAATAATAGGTATATTATGAGGATTTTTTATAGACCAATATTTCTTATCTAAGTAGGTACCCCAAAACTGTAGTTTATGATGTTTTAATGACTGATAAAAATGTGTTTCAATGAAATTGCTAGCCTATAATTCTCATAGTTCCATAATACCAGAAAAGTTACCAATATCAATATGAATGTCAGAACAAAAGATGTTCATGTTTAAATTTTATATCACATGGCAAAATAATTGGGTGTTCCATTTGAAAAACTCCAGAAGAATGAACTCAAAAAGGTTTCCAATTGAAAAAAAAATTAAAGCCACCCTGTATTTATAGTTTGAATGCATGAAAATCTTTCAGAAATATCACGTTTTTGCCCTCAAATTATATTATGATTATTTCCTCCTGAATTTCATGACAGAGATTATTTTCGGTAGGCATCTTCTACAGATGAAATTATTTCAAAAAAGAAAATTGTTACTTTGATAATATATGATCCAGATATAGTCAATTATATTAAAAAATAGGGAAGGTGTCCAAAAAGTGAGAATTATCAATTTTACCCTGTATTTCTTGAACAAGGGGGATTGTTAAAGTTCTGTTTGCAACCCTCTATCTCCAAAGTCAACTGATATATCTTGCAAAAGTATTGAAAGCTGGAATAATGGAGAAACACAAATCTGTTTGATTCATTGATGAAAAGTTAACATGGAACAAGCATATTGGCATGCTCAAAGAAAAAATTTCCCCCATAGTTGGTGCCTTACATCCTTAGTAAAATGAACTATCTCATAAATATTTGGGGTTCAGGTCCCAAGAATAATTTCAACAAAATATCTGTATTATATAAAAAAGCATTAAAAGTACTGTATAGTCTTCCATATGACACCCCATCAAATCAACTTTATGAAGAAACAAATACATTTTCTTTGGAAGAGTACTATCTGATAAATACTCTTGAAATTTCTTTTGATATTATCAACAAACACCTCAAATCTAACTTCATATTGGTAAGGAATTCTCAAATCCATGAACATCATACTAGACAATATGACTTGTTTCATCTTGATGCTGCTAATTCTACACTTGGTCAAAAAAAGTTCACTCACGGAGCTATCTCAAAATTCAATAAATTACCTGATGATATCAAAAGTTGCACAAATATCACCCAATTCAAAATCAAAGTCAAGAAACATATCCTCTTGCAAAGAGAAAATCAGACCTGAGTGAATTATTTCTCATTTACTAATTTATTTCATCATGTCATAATGTACTTTTCATGAGCTTTTTGTTTTATTATTATTTTTTTGTTGGTTCTGTTGTTTATTTCAATAACTTTAATTTAATTTGATAAAGCATGAATAATCTCATACCAGATATGAATCTGTCTGATTATTCATGTTATTCCATTGTAAATGTTAATGATTATATTTATATGTATATGAGATGCAATGTTTATAGCAAAGGATGAAATAAATAAATAAATAAATCTATAAAGAAAACTCTTCTAAAAACCTATAAGTACAAAATTACCAAAAAGATAAGTAATTTTCAACAGCCAGAAAAAAAAATACTTGAGAAAGCAATATTCAGGCACCAGGGCACAGTCCTAGAAGTTGAAGAAAATGAAAAGAAATGCTATCCCCAATAATCAAGTTATTTACCAGACTCTACTAGATCCTTTAGGCAGATTAGCATTGCAAGCAAAGATCCAATCAACAGTTTCCAAATTCAATGCCAGAACTGTCAAGATTTCATAACCAGGCAGAGTGGATAACCTCACCATGTGCCAGTGAGTTTCACCAACACCTCTCATATATTTAACTGTGAAGTGCTTTTTAATATTCTCAATCCATTGACCTCTATGATCTAGCTTGGTCATTTCTGAATACTTTTCCCTACTTCGAATTCTGATACCACTATGCTAAGGAAAACAATTCTTTATATATTTGTGGTAGAGTTTGCAAAAAACACTTACATGAATCAGATGGTGATGAAAAACTGAATTACGGTAGGTGGAATTCATAGATATCTGCCTTGTTGATAGGTCAACACTGTCAAAAAGAGCCCTATTCAAAGCCATAACTAATTGTTTGCACCATACAATCTCCACATGGTTTGTTTCCAACCAACACATTGGAATATTAGTAGTCTTGAGCAAAAAATAAACAGGATAAGTAGGTAATTATTCAACCAATAATTTTCAAGACATACTTACTGCAACATGTATAGTACTCATATTGTCAATCAAATGTGGGGGTATCAAAATATCTCTGTAACCCCCAGAAATACTTATTATTGTTGTAGATCTAGGCAGATTTGAAACATTGTAGTTATAAAATTGTTCAATGTGGTAATCCAATATTATAAATGGGCGTTTCACAGGTGTTGCTAGAGTGATAATCAATGGAACAAGCTTTGGATTTGATAATTGTGAAGCCAAATTGAGAGCTATTATACCTCCCTGAAATAGTACCACTATTAATACAGATTTCCTACTATAATGTTTGTACATACAATTGAGTGTCCTACAATGATAACAGATCTTGGTTTATTTTGTCCATCTTTATAAAGCTCCAAAATTCTGTGAAGTGATTTATTCACATAATGTAGCTGCTCAAACAGAAGTGGGCCATACAAGCCACTCAACTCTTCATTGAAATCCACTGTGAAATAATCAAAATGGTAGTTGATTCTAGAATCCAGAGATTTTCTCAATGCAACTGAAGAGATGGATCGAACTGTGGAAAAAATACTGCATAAATACTTGAATAGCTATAATAAAATGGTATAAGTTAAACCTTGCTTGCAGGATCCTGCATTTCCTGGAATAAATAAAACAGGAATACCATCAAAATACATATTTCTGGCTCTCTCTGTAAGTCGCCCTTCACTATATGCATACAATCCATATTTCCTATATTGTTTGTCTACTTTGTTAGCTATTCTCTGCAATTGAAAATATATAGAATGACTACCTACAAAACAGGTACCTATATAAACATAACATTTAAAACTGAAAATCTATTTTAAGGAATACCATTACCCACTTATGACTTGTCATTATTTAAGGCACACATTCATATTATATCGAAACTATTTCTATTTTTAATGATCAGGGAATTGAATACTCACAACAAATTGAGGAAATTCATACATATAAGTCATTCCGCATTTATTTTCGTCATGATCAATTAAGAATTTCAGCAATCCAACGAAATAAAAACAAGTTATAATAAGTGATAGTAAAATAAACCCTCCGACTATCTTCATTTTCTTATAATCCACTCACTGTTTCACATTTTCAAATGAAAAACGAAACTAAACATCTTCGATTCAAAATTCAAAACCTCACTTGTTGACAGACACATCTGACCTGCAGCTGACACTGAAAATCTCTGACACAGAACTACATAATTGAAGAAGTCAGATCAGAAAATCCTCAGAAAAGATCATTCTCATATCACAAAATTTACTGTTTTGTGCTCACATTTTTCATATTCCTCATGTTCTGTGGTCTGTGCTGTGGCTGTCACTTCTTTCAACTTTCAAAAAAAAAAAATGAAAAATATTTGTTTAAAAATAGGTTACATCATTAATGTTATAAATAATATGTAAATATGGAAATCTAATTCATAACTTTTACAAAACAATATCCAACTTGTATTTCTCTCTAAATCGCTCAATATCAAAAATATACCAAATGTTTTCAATCCTCATTTGACAAGTATCAAATTCACGCCCATCGCCCATATGAAATCTGATGTTTTGATGGGAATATTGAAAAAGTCTATGAAAAACAAATACTTGTTCCGAAGTTTTTTTAGGTGAGTTTCTCAGTTGATCCAGCAATAAATTATTAATACCGAATTTGAAAGTTTACACCCTGTTTTCTAGGCAATGGTTGTTGTAAGTGATAATTGGGTGAAATATGACCTTTCCTACCCATCCCAACCTGATAACAGTAATGCAGTGATTGCCACTGATAACATGACAGCCAAGGCAATCCTCACTTGCCGTCCCAATTCTCACCTTTTCCAAGATCGTACCCTCTCTCTTGAGCAACCCCTGAAAGTGGGTAGATCAGTTGCTAGGGCTAAACCAACAGCCACCAATGCCATTTTCGATTGCAAGGTGCTCTCCCGTCATCATGCCTTACTTTGGTATGAAAATGGAAAGTTTTATCTGCAGGTAAATACTATTCTAAAGTTATTTACAGAGATATTTCAATGTTGATGTTTTTAGGATACCAAAAGTAGTAATGGAACTTTTGTAAATAATAATAGACTTACTGCTGAAAGTGAGAACCATGAGCTCAGTTCTGGTGATATTGTACAGTTTGGTGTGGATGTAGTTGAAAATAATAGGAAAGTCACTCATGGCTGTATAATAGCTACCATCAAACTCTTCTTGCCAGATGGAAAAGAAGCTAAAGCAAGTCCAATAGACTATGAAGATCGACATGGCAAGATATTTTTCATATTTTATTCAAAAATAATATTTGGTGATGGAATTTTTATTCAAATTTATTATTATTTTGAAAAAATCTTAATTTGAAACATACATAAAACCATTTTATGTTTTGCAATGGCAAATCTCTATCAATGCTCAAAATATTATTTTTATTATGGTTGGGTTGGGTTCATTTTCATGCATATAAAAAGCAAAGCAGTTGTACATGAGCAGAAATGTTCTAATGGTACTAAGTACCACCTAAACTCAGTATGTACATTTTATTACATCAAAAATTGTTTTAAATTACATAGAGTACTTTGAATTATAACTCTGCTAAAATAGTACACATTGTTAAATGCAAATTATTCCAAAGATGAAAAGGGGTCATCTATGTGGTTTTCAGTAGACCATATTATTCTATATCTTATAGCCATTCTAACTCAGATTTCACACAAATTTAAATTATATTGTTCACCATCTATGATACCTCCATGGAGCATAAACAACAATGTAATCAAAATTCCTTAAATGCCAACTAAGTTTAACTTAATTATGTGATAGGGGAGTATTTTGTTCATGATAATTGTCAATTACTCAATCATTTTCTATCCAAATATGTGAGTTGATGACATCAATGGAATTGGAAAAAAACAGCTCTATTGATCTGTCAAACAATATACATAGTGTTGCATTTGAAAACAAGTTGATGTCCATTTCTGGTAAATAGACCCTGTATATCAAAAAATATTTTGAAATCAAAATTCAACTCACTTCCTAACTTTTATCTTTACGATTTTTCATATTGTCAAAAACAAAAAGTTAAGGTAAGGTTTAATTTTGAGTGGCACACCCTTTTTTGAGGCCTCAAAGGAGTACACATTCAGTTCAAACATATCTAGATTCAATTATAGAATAAAAAAACACAATTTGTGGCACTGAAATTACAATATAATGTTTTAACAATAGACTTGCAATTAAAATCCATAGATGATTATTGAATGTCTGCAAAAATGCAGAGTGACTCAATATTGGAATACAGTTGATCCTATGGAAGCATATAAAAAATTTTCTAAGGATAGCTGATATATCATTTGGATTATATCCACAAATTTATAAAGTTCTGAAATATCATCCTACTTAACAACTAAACCATAAGAAACATAATGGGCCTTTGGAGTAATTTCTAGAAAAAATATATCTCGAAATATGTTGCTCATCAGATTTCTTTTCCATCATTTCATTCTAGAAAAAATTATTGAAAACCAAAATGAACAAGGGAATTAAAAAGATCTGACATGGCCTTGAAACATGTGACGTCAGTGCGTGAGCAATTTGTAATGGCAATTCCGTCCCCATCTCGCTGGTGCCAATAAAATGCACAATGGACTCGACAATGTTACCAATTTGGACAGAAAAGTATGATTAGTCGGATATGAATTTTTCGATTTTCTCGTTGCTGTTAGATAACTTAAATAATAACTACTTACCTGAAAATTCGTGGTATTTAAAATTTGCATTGCATAATTAGTTAGATGGTTGATTTCTGTTGGTGGATTATTGGTGATAGAAAATAACACGTCGCTCCACCTGACGGCAAACTTTGAACACTTATAAGCTGTTTGTTTTGACGTATGTGACCAATAAGCAGAAAGTGAACGAATGAAAACAAAGTGAACAGACCGCTTTGACAGCTTTCAAAAACTTCGGTAGGTGCCGTACGCTTATTTTGTATCGCGAATTCAAAATTGTAAGGGAAATTTCATTCTGTATTGAATTACAGTGCAGATATTCATGAAGTCGGTTTGAAATCACTGCCAGTAAAGTGCTTTCAAGTTTCGGTACTCACCTATATGTATATGTATACAGGGTGTCGAGAAATGTCTGCTAAGGGAGTTACGGCCCCCTGAAATGGAGCTCTTTTACGATGATATTTCTTGAATATTTCCGAAAATGATGCAATTTGGTACAACAACTAAACTTTCCGAATGAGGTGAACATAAAATCATTTCAAAGGTTAATTCAGGAGTGTATAATACAGGGTGGGACTACAGCAAATATTACTCAAACTTTTTCATATGGATATTTTTTGACACTTTGATCTCGGATTATGAAAATCCTCACCGTTTCGCAAAAAAAGGGGAACTTTTTCCGGATCGATTAGATGTATCATTGTCGAGTAAAATCGATTTAAAAATATTGATGCACTCACATCTTATGCATAACGTTGCCAATTTTCAAATCATAGTGCCTTTAAAAAAATCAAGTACTTCCTTCTTACCAAACAATCCCATGAAAGAGCGAAAAATAGGAAAATGATAATGAAAAAACTACTTGAATTTTTGTGCATTTTTTCCCATTTTCACTATGCCTCATTGCAATGTTATGCATAATATCTGAGATGAAACAGTATTTTTAAATTGCTTGTGCTCGATAATAATACATCTGATCGTCACGGAACAGGAGTACCGTTTTTCTGTTAAGAGGTGTGAAATTTCATTATCCGAGATTAAATTGTCGAAAAATATGCATAAAAATAATTGTGAGCAATATTTAATGTAGCCCCACCCTGTTTTATCCACTTCTGATTGAAATTTTGAAATTATTTTATTTTCACTGCATTGGGCATGGAAAGTTTAATTCTTGTACCAAATTGCATCTTTTTATCACATGGAGTTTCGGAAATACTTGAGAAATATCATCTTCAGGAGCCCCCTTTCAGGGGGCCACAGCTCCCTTAGGAGACATTTCTGGACTCATGTTCATTGAATGTTTTCTTTCTATGTTCGGTAGTAGAAGCCGCTGGTGAAGTTTGGCAGGCTTATATACCTACCTACCATAGGGAATGAAACAAATTCTGAATCAATCAGCACTAAATTGCTCACTTGGTTCTATTTCTGTTGATTTTAGTACAAGCATCACTGCCTTCTTGTCAATAATATTGAGAAATGAAAACAGAGTGAAGTTATGCGGGGGAATAAGGTATTTTTAACTTGGCAACATTGTGTAAGCGTCAGTTGCTTCATCTCTTTCTCTTGTAGACATAGTTGCCAGATTAGCAATTAAATTTGCCGGAACTGAGTACTTCAGATATAGTATCACTGTTTAATTTGTCGATTATAACAATTAGTCAACGAAATTTCAACTGAAATCAAATTAAGTAGCGTCTTACTGTTATATACCTGCATCACATTTTGTCCTAGCTAATATTGAATCTAATGGAATACTTCGGAGTTCAGAGTACATTTAATGTGATGATATTTCTGATCATTGCATTCCTTGCACCATCTTGCACATAGGATCAATTCAAGGATTTTGTAGTTGCCTGGCAACGGCGCCGTGCTTTCCAGCACAGCTCCAACCAATCAAATTGCAAGAAGACACTGACATCACAGCTCAGTAGCGTTTGAATTCATATGTATTGAAATGGAATTTTCAATACCAAATAATTCATTTGTTTTATTGGTATGTTCGATAAATATGTGGTAGTGATAACTTTTTTGACTTCCCTTACTGGAAATGCCCATTAAGATCAATGATGTTGGACAAAAATAGTTGCCTTTATAAACACATTCTTCTAAAATATTATCAAATTAACATTAAACAAACACCAGTTGATTTCAGATTCTGGGTTTTTCAACTTTTTCGTTCTTAAACCCCCTTAGGGGAGTTAAGTCCAGAGATCTGGGAGGAAGTGCATTGATTTGCTATCATATGTGACTTTAGCAATTGCAAATCCTACTATTATGAATATTGCAACATGAAAAGCTTCCCAATACATGATAAACAACTTTTCAGTAATTTAGTCATAGAATCTTTGATGTTGAATATTTTCCATTAAACTTGGTACAGATCTATTTCAGAGGATGCCGATTCCAGAAGCGTATGCGTATTTTCTGTAAAAAAATCGCTGATATGAATTCTGCATTTTTCAGCATCTGAATATGATCTAGTAGGTCTTGGTTTTTGAAAAAAGTGGACGCCGCTTGGCTCCAAAATACCTTCTCCACATTTAAAAACAAATATCAAAATCGGTCCATAAATAAAAAATAGGGTGGCTCGCAATTATGTTTGTCCCAATTTTAGTGTTTCATTCATGGTAAATAAAAAAATAAATGAAAATAAAACTGTCAAGTTGTTATACCGTTTTTGTATGTGTATTTATGTAAAGGATTTGTCAATGAGTTCTAACATTCGACAATGAAGTATATTTTGAATGATTGATTGATATTATATGGATCTTCATCATCGCCTCGATTTCCGCAGGCATGGTACCGTTGGACGACCTTTACCGCCTCAACCGCATCATCCAGGAGGCCAACCAGCGTGAGCAGGGCCTCGAGCGCAAGCTTTCGGCCCTGCAGCGTGTCATCGACGACACGAGGAGATCGGCAGAGGATAGCTGGCAAGCTTACGTGGGGGAAGAGAGGCTGCTGTCTAGAGTTTCGGCATTGGAGACAAGGCTGCAGCAGACCGGCAAGAGCTGGGGTGGCGAGGATCGGCTGAAGGAGGAGGTGGCCAGACTGCAGGTAATCTTTTTACGAGAGGATCAACCCAGTATCGCGGTTACCTCAGAGTTGATAACAATAAGTAGACACCGCGATTCAATCATAAATCGTTCAATAGTATACGCCAACGATTCCAATCGCAAATCACTGATGGTTGCATGAAATCGCGAATGGTGGGGATAATAACAGCCACTTATCAATCAGAAATCATTTGAAAGTGTACGCCAACAATCCTAAGCGCCAAACACAGATAAATGAATGAAATCGCGAATAGTGGGGAACTCTGCACAAGGGGAGATCGGCGGAGGATACATGGCAAGCTTACGTGGGGGAGGAGAGGCTGTTGTCGAGAGTTTCGGCATTGGAGACAAGGCTGCAGCAGACCGGCAAGAGCTGGGGTGGCAAGGATCGGTTGAAGGAGGAGGTGACCAGACTGCAGGTGATCGTTTTACAAGAGGATCAATCCAGTATCGTGGCTACCTCATAGTAGATAATGATGAATAGACACTGCGATTCATTCATGAATCGTTCAAAAGTATACGCCAACGATCCTAAACGCAAAATACTGATGAATGCATGTAATCACGAATGGTGGAGATGATAACAGACACTGGTCCTTTTGCGGGTGATTTGCTCATACTGAATAAAAAAAAATCATTTATAAATCATTGAATAGTGTATGCCAACCATGGGGAAGACCACTGAGGAATGAAATCCGCCCAAACCACTTTCAAACGATGAATCATGATTTACATTCAATGTACAATCAATATTATAAGTTAAAGTTGATGGGAATTGAATCTATATCGTTTTGAAAACAGCATAGGTATTCAATTCATTATTTTAAGAAGCCAGTAAGGTTTCCACCATGTCACAATAAAATAGATGGTGGTTTATCCATATTGATTTTTAAGGGGTAATGCTTGGCTTAATAGTTTGCGAGAGGTAATATTCAAATAGGCACTAATAGTTTAGGGGTAACTGAAAGTATGAGACTATATTCAAAGATAACAATATGTATTATAGCATGAAACATTATGGGTAGCAATGACAAATATGAATGAACAACAATGAATATAAAGACCTAATAACAACTTACATTATAATGACCATTATGACGAGCTCTTGTCAAGTCAAGAGTAGCCCCAGACCAGACTAACTTCGGAACCCTCACATCCAATATTTATATGCATCCTTTTATCAGATATGCACGTTTCTCATGAGAGTTCCTAGGTCAGTTTTTATAATTCAATGTCAACGGATGATTTGATTTACTTTATGTTTATAAAACCCTCATGGTTCGAAATTACTGATATACCGTAGGTTCTACTCGTGACAATATAGGTGGAGCCGGGACGTATTAGTCCCGAATAGTAGCTCTCTAATACTTTTCCTTTTTGGCACTAATACGTCACACCAGTCACAGCAATTAATCGACACCATTTCAAATGGTGCAGGAAATGTGTCCTTTGAAATCATTATATCCTAATTAATATTTTTTATCGTCCCCCAATCCTAGACGCAAAACAAGGATAAATGCGTGAAATCGCGAATGGTGGGGATGATAACAGACACGTACATTCGTAGGTGATCAGACTAAATATAACAATATTTAAACACCGTGTATCATTAAAGTATACGTCAACAATTCTAACCCATTACACGAAAAAATGAATTGAATCGCGAATGGTGGGGATAATAACAGAAACTTGAACATTTGAGGTTGATTGATCAGATAAAATAACAATTGATAAGACACTGCGACTCATTCATAAATCTTTCAAAAGTATACGCCAACAAACCAAAAAGCAAAATACGGATAAATGCATGAAATCAGAAATGGTGGGGATAATAACATACACTTGTACATTTGCGGATGATTGCTCAGACTAAATAACAATACATGGACACCGCGATTCATTCGTATACGCCAACAATCCTAAACGCCAAACACGGATAAATGAATGAAACCGCGAATGGTGGGGATAAAAAAGTACTTCGTCTACCTGGTCAACTGCCCCGTGCTCGTGCTCAAGTGCGAGCAAAGCTTTGTGGGGGTCCGTTCAAGGACAGCGAGGGAACATGTTGGAGTGTAACAAGACTTACTGCGAGATGATACTGGTCGAGAGGGGCGACAAGGGCACCGTTAATTTCAAGAGTGAGTATGTCCACGGGCTAAATAACAATAGATTGACACCGCGATTAATTCATGAATCATTGAAATGTATACGCCAACAATCCTAAACGTCGAAATGGAAAAATGCATGAAATCGTGAATGGTAGGGATAATAACAGACACTCAAAATCTTCAAGTCGGTCGACCACACTATATATAAATAAAAAGTTATAAAACAGTAACCGATTTCGACACATCGGCCATTATCAGGCAGCAGTACTCTAGTCACATTCATTTACAACAATGGAAGAAGATCATATCATTGGGTTGACCATCAAGGCGAGTCATCAGGTATTAATATTTGTTTGAAACAGTTGAAGAGCCAGAAAAATCTGGTCCTGATAAGGTTGAACATCAAATAGACTATTTTTATGTACATTTGCGGATGATTGCTTAAACTAAATATCAATAGATAGACATCGACATTAATTCATAAATCAGTAAAAAGTATACGCCAACAATCCTAAACGCCAAACACGAAATCGCGAATGGTGGGGATAATAACAGACACTTACATTGGCTGGTGATGAGACGAAAGCTCGTCCGAGATCAGACTGAATCCCATGGCACATATTGTTAATTAACGTATCCATACACCAAGTAACATGAGTCAATGTCCTGAATGACAGCTTGGATCCTTTTTGAATCATTGAGTAATTCGGATGAGATTTTCGGATTGTTGGGTCTAGATATTCACCTGGTTATGAAATGTTCCAAAGATTTTTATACACACAATATTATCTTGCTTATATAAAAAGAAGAAATCTTTGAAGTTCTCACTGGAGCGTTTTTTTTTAAGGATGACAATGAGGCTTACCAAGTAGCAGCAAAGGAGGCGTTGGGGAAACTTCATGCTGAAAGATTGCAAGCCGTGGCTTTGGCTATTGAACAAGAAAGGGCGAGATTGAGTGCCGAACAGGAAGCCATGCTTGCTAAAGAGCAATTCGAACATGCTCAAATTGAGTTAGAAGTAAGTTGTTGATGGATTTCTAATGGATTATTTACAATTTCTATTTCTCAACTCCAACGCCCTATTCTTCATCATTGCTACAGGGCAGCGTTCTGGTTCTATTGTATGGCAGCATCCTTAAATGCAGTTTTAATATTGCCAAAGCAGGCCTTGCGATACATTTGTAATGCAAAGTTTCGAGAACATTGTAGACCCCTCTTTCTCAAGGGGAAACTCCTTACTGTAGTGTGCTTATTTTTAATGGAAACAGTCTGTCTGTTACATAAGATATTCAAATGTCAGAGATGCAATAATAATTATGCCATGCGCAATGAGTGGGATGTGCGACTTGCCTCTCCCAATCCCAAAATTTGGTTTGACGAAAAAATCAATGATATTTGAAGGTCTTGCAATGTATAACCACCTGCCGGTAAATACAAGGCTAACCCAATGTAACAAAAAGTTCAGAAACACTGTAAACCAGTTGCTTTCTACCAGGCCATACTATGACCTTAGTGAATATTTCTGTGATGTTTCATAAGATGATTTACTTTTTCATGGTAGTGTTCTGTTTTTTTTTTCTTTTTTAACTCGTTTTACACAAATATAGGTCGCGTGCACATTTGACAGATGACCGACCCTGGAGAGGAAACAACTTCAATTTTTTTTATTCGTTTACAAGGAATTGAAATAGTTTTCCACTATTATGTTGGCATTACACAATGCCCTCTCATTGTGCACAAAAAATGCAGCAAGAGACAAAGGAACAAGGTTTTAAAGTTAATTTTGATCTCAAAGTACTGCTATCACAGATTAACGAACCTCACAGCAGTGCAGGATAGAATAGGCAACGAAAAAAAGAGAGAGAAAGATAATTGTACCAATTTAAAAGTCCACTCAGCTGATATTTGCTTTCTTCTGTTTTGCTGTGCTGGCGTTATGTAGCAGAGCTACCAACTTATGATATTCTACCTGTTAAGCTCGGTACACAAGTAAACTTCCGCGTTTCAGGCATACCCAATTCTAATTGTTTGCTGACTTGTCATCACTGTTAACAGCCATTCACAGTACGATATGGCCGCAGAGAAAAAATACTGTGCGTGAATATGCATATGCTCATCGCCGTGGTGTCGCCTATTGTTTTATAGTTGTTCGTTGGTGTTATGATTACAGAGCGATCAGCAGTGCATTTGTAGTAATTATTATTTAACTGAAATTTCGGTTTAATCAAGGTTTGTTTTAAGCCTCTTTGAGTTGAATCTGACAATGAGTGCTTCAAAGAGTGTTGGAAATCGTTGTGTTTACAAATACTGTGCCAGAGCACCTTTTAGTGGATGAAACCTATCAAGTTACATAGATTTCCGAACAGCAATGCTAGTTTTTAAACTCTAGCTAAGAAAAACAGAAAATCGACCGTTCTGATCAATTTGGATCTGATAATTTTGAATTTGAATAAACCGGTTTGTAGCATTATGTAATTGTCTAATAAGTTAGGTACAGTGTCAATTTTATATACGAAGAATAATGATGAAAATAAAATATTTTTAAGATTGTATATGTTTTATTTTGAAATAATAAAGTTTGTTGAAATCATTCTTTGTTTTATTACATAATTATATGCCAGTTTTCTATATAGGATTTTCTGGAAAAATGAGATTCTAACTCATTCAAATGTGATCCCAATGCTAATTTTCAGATCTCATACCCCACAGAGAAAGGTGCTTTAGAGTTTTCAAATCAGAATTGAAAGCCATTTATATTTTTCTCTATTGTGTATAGGTATATTACATTGATGCCAGGAGTTGTCTGTTGCTTCCCAACACTCCCTAGATTCCCAGGTATCTCAAATCGGTAATTGAAAAGGATTGGGTTCATCCTGGGAAAATGCAACATTCTACTCACAATTTTTTTTTCACCAACTGGCAACATTGCGAACGGTCATAATTCAGGTTCTTATGAAAAGAGAAAACTGTATACACGGGATTATTCAACGAATTGGCAACTGTTTGTACCAATTCAACGGTCCGAGATCACCAAAGCGGAGAGTTCAAACATCAAACGAAAGGGGCGGAGTTGAACATCTGTAAGGTTTGTTAATCTGTGGTACTATACTGGGTACTATAGTCACTCACATCTCACATGGTTTTCATTTGGAGATTTTTGTCATTTCTCTTTAGAAATCCTTCTGCAATAGGTCAAACAGGAGCTAATAGTGAAAATTTATTCATTCAAGCATGCCATCACATTGTGCTGTTGTACAATGCACAAAAAATGCAGCGAGAGACGATGGAATAAAGATTTTTCAGTTAAATTCTGATTTATTTGTACTGTAGTCACTCACATAGTGTACATTTCAAAATTTTCATTTCATTTCTCTTTACAATTTCCTCTGAAATAGGAGCTATTGGAGCTAATAGAGTGATAATGTGTACAACACACATGACCATAAATTTCGTCAGCATGTCAGACCAGCTCCCGTTTAGTAGCATGAATCCAAGACTTCACAGGCCTATTAGCTCCTATTGCAGAAGGGACTCTAAAGAAAATAATTGATAAATATATGTGAGTAACTACAGTACTTTTAGATCACATAATGTACCTACCTGAAAAATCGTATTCCTTCGTTTCTCGCTGATTTTTTTGTGCATTGTACAACAGCACTATGTGATGGCATGCTTGAATAAATAAATAATCCAAGAAACACGATTCGTATGCCGAAATAATTGAAGTGGCAAGTGAAAGAAGGAGTTATGTTACAAATATGAGTTTGTGAGAAAATTAAATTTTGGTAAAGTTAGCTTGGATTTTTAATGAAAGCTGATTTAATAATTTGATTTATGCATTTTTGAGGAATAGTTTTAGGTTATTTTTTTATGATTTACCGCATTTTGCTATCATATCATTTTTTTATATACATAATGGATTTGTGGCAGAACCTTTATTATATAACATTTGGAAATTATGTCATAAATAAATAAAATAAAGAGTTCAAGTTGATACTAATGACAATTTAATAATAATAATTTCATTTGTGGATTATGGAATCCATAGATTCATGCGTACATAACCCCTTCTTCCATGACATGTAGATAATAGGCACATAGCCACTTCTTCCATTGCGTCCTTGATGTTTCTGCCACTGTGTATCTACTCAGATATGAAGAATAGAAACAAATCCTGACAGGGCAAGTTACATATGCACGTAACACCTTCTTCCATGACATAACCGAATATTTTCAGAAAATGTTACTTGACCCTTCTTCCACTTGTCTCTTCAATGAAAAACTATTTCAATCCTTTGTGAACAAATGAGAAAAGTGAGGTTGTTTTACCTCCAGGGTCGGTCACCTATCAAATATGCACGCGACTTATATCCCTAAGTTCCTCTAAAATCACGAGCACTATCACCTGTCAAGCGTTGTTGGTGGACTTTTTCAACACCTTGCATAGGGCGTCGACATTATCTTTTGAAAATCGATTTATATCGATGGTCAAAGAAAGTTTCTTGACTTGAACCATGCCAATAGGTTCTAGCAAGAAAACTGACAGACCACATGAATGACGCCGATTCCCAACGGATGAAGCTGGAGGAGCGGGAGCAAGAATTGGAGGCGAAACTCGAATCAGAATCAGGAAAATTATTAGATCTCCAGTTGAAACTGCACGAAATGAACGCCCTGTCTCTACAGGACTTCCAGAAAATTGTATCTCTGGAATGTCTGGTAAGTAGATTTCACTAGAGAGTCCAGTCAGCTGTGAGAAAGAAAATTATGTATTTTTCTTCTTCTGTCTTCGTTCTCAAAATGAAAATATACATATTATCAAAACTAGGCGTGATGACGAATTCTATCTTCCATCATTCTTAGGACTGAGAGCATTATAAAAGAGGTTGGGGAATTGGTTGGGGATGGTCTTCTTCTCCATTTCTTCCCATTTTTTTATGTCACTAACGTGAAATTTTATTAATTTCACATTGAAACTATTTAAGATATGGACAGAAGGGGAAGAAGTTCTCTATTGAAAATTATTTCTTCTTGTGTAACCTCTTATGTTAATTTGCAGCGGCAAGATCTGATTTATAATGATGATGATGTGAAATGCAAAGAAGAACTCATTGCCGAAAATGAGGATTGTGAATCTCTAATGAATAAAACTAATGGTGTCGAGAACCATATCAATTTAACAGTAAGTTTATTTGTTTGGATGATTATTTCGAGTATTCCAGGCTCACTAAACTGATTTTTTTCTTTAGGTTGGTCCTGTTGAAGAAAAAGCTGAATTGGAGAACACAATTGACGAAAAATCTGACTCTGAAGATTCATGTGGTGGCCTGTCTGAGAAGAAACAGAATCAAGAAGAAGTCAGACAAGTCACTTTCAATTTACCTGAAGAATGCCAGACTAGAATAGTGAGTAATGAAAAAATCAGGTTGAATATAGTTTTTATTTCTGACAGTGACATTATAAGCTTATATCGTCATAGTTACGATATCTATAATGAGGGTCATAACTCCCTTGGGATGTTATAGATGCTATAATTCCCTCTAGCCAAAATTAAATAAAAAATGCATAGCAACAACCACGGAATAACGTAGCAATAAGGAATCTCCTATTCGCGGTAGTCAAGATCATCATCTGACGTTCTGATGACATTGAAACTATACGGAAAAACATGTCTAACTTCCAATCGGGAAGGTATCTAATGAATGAAATCAGTCAGAAATAAAATTATCTATGTATCACGGGAATTATAGAGCCTTAATAACCTCTGGCAATTGCTGTCCCTCGGGCCATAGGCCCTCTGGACGCAAACTTTGCCATCGGTAATTAAGGCCCTCATAATTCCCTTAATACATAAATAACTATTTAGGTACACATATTAGAACACTCTAATCAAATGTTTAGTCTGGTGACAGATTAGCCTATTATTTCTATAACATATTTAAGTCAATAGAAATGAAACATATCAGCGGATTCTCTTCAATTCCATATCTAGATATTAAAAATATCTTGTAATAGCTTTAATTTAGGTACGATGTTGTATGGTTTGAATTCAAATATTAACGAGTAATTTGAATTTAGATTTTTGGATTAGTTTTGTACATACATTATGGACATTTCACAAACTGTAGGAAGAAGAATATGTCAAGAAATTTGTGAGGTAGGTTTTCAGACGTTATATTTAGTTTTCCATTGAGGGAGTTTGAAATTGATGGTGCCAAAATGATGGTGCCAAAAGGGTATTCCAGATGAAGTGTTGAAAATGTAAAGACCCGTATTTCTTCTTTGGCTACATTATGTTTTTTTTAAATATTCAAAGGTGCCTGATGGTCATTGAATAATATATTTCAATTTTCCTATCAACAATCTATTTTATCATGAAAAATGTCACTATTGAAAGTTTCCTTCAGATGTATTTTCATAAAATCAGTTCGGATCTTCTCAGTTTTATGTTCACGTTCCACAGAATGCCGATCGATAAAGGTCAAATCTTATTTATTTTCATAAGGAAGCAATTTCTAATTAATCATTCCAGAATTACGTCATTTGACAGGTTGCTGAGGCGCAAACATTGTATTTTGTCAAAAAATTATTTCAGTAAAATATCTGCACTCTATAAGAAAGCACTGAAAGTATTGTATCGCCTCTCATTTGATATCCCAACAAATGATCTGTATTCCATAACAGAAAAATTTTCGTTGGATGAAGTATATAAAATAGATTCTCTGAAAGTTTCATATAATATAATAAACAATAATCTGAAATCCAATTTTATTTTGATAAGAAACTCAGAAATTCATGGTCATCACACGAGACAATAAAACTTATTTCATCTTGATTCTGCTACTTCTATAATTGTCCAAAAAAATTTACTCACGCTGCTCTAGCTGAATTTAATAAATTACCACATGATATAAAAAATTGCAGACATATTTCAAAATTTAAAATTGAATAAAAAAACACATGATTTCATTAGGAAATGGATAAAATTTATACTTTACCATCTACTGATTAGCCGTGTGGCTATTTTTATGACTTGATCGATTTAGCATTTTTAGATTTTTTAGATTTTTTTGTTGTTGTTGTTGTTGTCACCTTATATTATTTTATTATTGTTGTTGTTTGTAATCAACTTCCTCATACCAGAATTTTATTTCTGACTGGAAGCTAGTTTTTCAATAAACAATAAATTCCTCATATAAAACCAGAATCAGTGGGATCGTTTTCCTTGGAATCCGAGTTGGAACCAGAAAGAATTTCATAATTTTGTTTGGTAAAACTGTTGTTATATTGTGGATATGGCAGGTACGGTAGGGCTATGCTCATCAAAGGTAACCTAACAGATATAGTTTGTGTGCCCCTCAAGAAACCATGTAAAAATCACTTGTTCTAGAATGATCAATATGAGGGTCGGCAAACTGTGAAAAACATTCTGAATCTAGTCTGAAAACAGCTGATGATGAAGAATATAGCTAGCGAATAGCTAATGAATAAAAAGGAGAAGAAGAAGACTAGAAGACAACTTGGCGTCGTTGTCGTTGTTATTAATATCATGATGAATAACGATAGTCAACTAACTAAGAAAACTATTAATTGTAGACATAGGCTAACGAATAACTAGAGATCAAAACCGACACAAGAGAAACTGATAAACAAAAACATACATAACCACATAATCAGATCAGTTCTCGGTGTGCCTGTCAGTATTTTGTGTGGTGTGGACGGGCTCAAAGTATTATGCGCTGTTGCAAGATACTATAATCTTCAACTTTTTTTTAGAAAATAGATCCGTTTTATAAAAGAACGAATTCATTTGAAAAAAAAATGACAAGTTATGATTATCATTTTGTGATATGACGAAAGTGAAAATTTCAGATACTTTTGCGAAATATCTCAATTTATCCTTATGAGTAATCTCCAGCAAATAAGAAATGTATGATAATAATTCACAATACTCGACGAAGTGGGATTAAAAAACTTACACCCATTCATTGCTGTTCATTCAAAGAAACATTTCCGGAAATCTAGACATATTGATGATACCGGGAACGTCGTACTGACACAGGGAATCGTATTTTAACTCTGTGTGAATGTGGCTTTTCATAAAATACAGTTGTGTGCATAAACAAGTCGTACAGCAGATATTCGCGATAGAAAATAAGCCTACGCCGCCTATCACAGTTTTTGAAAGCTGTCATAGCGGTCTGTTTACTTTGTTTCTATTGGTTCACATTTGTTTTTCGTTTCTGATTATTGGTCAATCCTTCAAAACAAACTGCTCAGAAGTGTTCAAATTGTTGCCGTCAGACAGGGCGACGTGTTATTTTCGATCGCGAATAGGCTATTGTGAATCAGACTTGTCAATCTTGATTAATATTCTTATCGACTTTGAAAAGTCGTGTCAAAATTCAAACTATTTTTTTGAGTAACGCGCAAATGTGTACGTGTACTACTTTTTAATGAAATCTGGAACATCATAGGCAAGTTTACACCATGAAAACCTTGTACGACTTGTTTATGGACACAACTGTACGTCATAAGAATGGTGGAGGAGCCAAGTTCCTTTTCCATTTATTTTCGGCAAAATAAACCGGCCACCAAAAAATCTGCCCAAATTGTTCAGCTTGTAACTTTTTCAATCCTTGTCCGATTTTTGTGAAATTTCGATCAAATTGTAGATTCATGTTTCGGAATGTCAGCCTAAATATCAGTTTTCCTGAAGAGCTGATGACTTGATCATTATACAGGGATAAACCAAAGTTACTCTTTCACCCTATACTTCTCAACGCCCTGTGGCCAAATTATTGATTGAACATGGCTTCATTATGCTTCGGATTGAAGTGTGAACCCTTCTTAACACAAAAGTTTTTGATTCACGTCAATATCTTATTTTTAAAAGAAGATACGAGTGTTTTAAGGAAGTATGGCGTTTTCAACTTTTTTATACCAATAATCAGAACTTACATGAACTTATTGATCAACAACTTCAAGGATTAATATGACATATTTCTACCTTACTTTCTTAGCACTTACGGGAAAATCAATTACAAAAAACAAACAAGAAGCAGACCTGTAGTCAATAACGAGTATGCTCTCGTCAATATTGAATCACAGCATTCAACCGAAGTGGCATCGAATTGATCAAATTACTCAAGTAGCCTTGAAGAATTGCCTAAAATCCTCCTTGAAGGGCGAATCGTAGCTCTTGAAGAATATCTGACAAGGGTGGGCGAAGGCGAATGAGCCTCTAGAGGTCACCCCTAAGATAGGTAGATTGGTTCTGAATTATTGTTATTGAAAATTTAAAAAATCTATTCTTTCTGGAAACACTTGTATCTTCCCTCAAAAAGGAGATATTGACGTTATTCAAGAACCGTTGTATGAAGAAGGAACAAAAGAGGATCACACTTTAATTTAAAACATGATGAAGCATTGAAGTAGAAGATTGGAGAATGGTTCTGAATTATTGTAAATAAAGAATCCATACTCTCTTGAAACACTTGTATCTTCCTTTAAAAAATGGTTATCGACGTGAATAAAAAACCATAATGTAGAGAAGAGATCACTCTTCAATCTAAAACATAATGAAGCTAAGTTAAACCACTCACCTTTCCCACAGGGCGTTAAGAAGTTGAGGGTGAAAAAGTAACTTTCGTTTTTCCCTGTATAATGGTCGAGTCATCAAATTTTTTTAGGAACTAATATTTGGGCTAAAATTTGGAAACATGAATCTACGATTTGGCGGAATTTCACCAAAATCGGACCAGAATTGAAAAAGTTACAGAGCAAATTATTTGGTGGCCGGTTTTCTTTGCCGGTGAGTGTATATTAAATTTTTATAAACTTCACAGTGAGATAAAAACCTCAATATTGTAAACTTTCTCATTCTTTCTCATTATGTCAGTATTATGTGATCGCCAGAGGAAGTAATTATGTCAAAAACGTCAAATCCCACAATTTCCAACAATGTTCTATGATGAACATGTCATAAACCTGTTGAAATATTTCTGGGACATTACTTTTTTATCTGTTGGTAGTTGGCTGTCATAGTTGAGTTATTCCATATTATATGTATGTTTTGTCCGAAACAGGAACTTGAAATTTTTTCAGTTTTGAAAATATTTGAATATTATATTCCATTCAGAAATTCGAATGGGCGTGTACACCTTAGTAGAACTTTTAACTCAAACCATGTTTATAATGATCCTTTTATACATAAATAATGATTGACGACATAATTCGATCGAAAAATCAACTGTAATGTTTTATTTTCGGACATAAACAATAGTACCTTCTGAAAACGGACCCTCTTATGACGTAGAAACCTCATCTCGCCATAGTTAAAAGAAAATACCAAAAGCCTGACGGAGACTGAGGCAACTGATATATTAATTCTTTCAACTGTGATCTCGCGCTAATTCACTCTGTCAGAAATCATGTATCATTCATCTCTGTCTGGAATAGTATTGTTTCACTATTAGGGTTTTGACGTCACATCATCGCCTCGTTTTCAGAGGTCCAAAAAATCGGTGATATCAATAATTTTTTATAAAACGTAGGGAGCTCACAGCAAGAAACGGTTTGCGGTGGTGAGCTAGTTTGGGTGAGTTCTATCGAATTATGAAATAACAATTTTTTGTGATATAAGCCCATTGGTCAGCACTTTCAAAGTGAAAAGTTAGACCGTAAGTCTTTTCCGTGAAGCACTGCGAATCTGTATCTTTCAGGACAATTCCGATGAATCTCACGACGAATCCGACACGACTGCAGAGAACGACAACGAAAAGGATATCTACAGCAGCGACGTCGATTCCAAGACGCTCAAATACCAGTTCCAGTCCGCCCAGAAGGAGCTCAAACAGAAAATCGAAGTACTGGAGTCGATAGCGAAGGCCAACAAAGCCAAGATCGCCGAGCTGGACAAAGCTTTAGACGACGAAAAAAGTTTGGCGCAACGAAGGTATGTGTCATTCCATGAATTTTCAGAGTCTAGCCGAAACTAGAGTTCCTAAATGTACTTGACACTGCTGATTTGATGTTTTTTGTATATTAGAGTACGGACACTATGACAAGCACTGACAATCAGACATAACCACAAATTAATTTATGGAAAAAGCGGGAACTGACAGTACACGGACGTACATGACATAAATTTCAAGAGAGAATTAGGAGAAAGTTGCAAGTTTGTGCAGTTTCCTTTGGCAAAGAATTCCAAGGCTTTGCCGCGAGTTTTGATAAAGAGTTGTTCGACATATTCGGATGCTAACGATCTTGTTCAAAAAATAATTTCAATATAAAATATCAACATTATTTAGAAAATCGTTAAAAGTAGGTATTGTATCGTCTCCCATTTGATACACCAACCAATCAATTGTATGAAATAACAAATACGTATTCTTTAGATGAAATATATAGAATTGAAACTCTCAAAATATATAATATCATAAATAAAAAATTGAGAAGTCGAATATTATTTTGATACGGAATTCTGAAATTCATAATCATGAAACTAGACAATATAACTTGTTCCATTTTGACGCCGCTAGCTCCCTAATCGGACAAAAAAGATTCACTCATTCAGCCTTAACTGAATTCAATAAACTACCTGATAATATAAAAAATTGCAGAAATATAGGTATATTCAAAAATGAAGTAAAAAAACTGATTATTTCTCAGCGGACTGGATAAAATTAATCATGCCATTTTTTTTTTTTTTTATTTACAAATATTTTTTGTTTGCCAATTTACAGTTGTTGATATATTTTGAATGATGCTATGTTTACCTAAAGGTATATAATTATGTACTTCCTTATACCAGAGCCTATTCTGTCTGGAAGTTATTTGTTCAATAAATAAATAAATAAAAAAAAAAAAAAAAAAAAGGATGTGCTAACTGGGCCTGTGGAGTGTACGTCTGACTCTGGTTATTGCTTATGATGGAATGATGGAGCAGAGATCACAATAGCCACCATGGAGATCATGGTCGATCATCTGATGATGAAACAGCAGCAACTTCCTGAATTGACTGACTCAAACAGATTTCACATCCCTGTTCAAACAAGAATTCTGTAGATCATCTTCGTATACGAACTCTTATAATAATTTTGTGAAAACATATAGTCACTTTGTGGAACTCTGATGTACCAGATATCAACTAACATCTGTTATTGTTGCCATATCATTTGTTCATTTATTAATTACTTATTACCTACCACTCTTGTACAAGTGAAATTGTTCCATACGAAATAAAAGTATGTTTCATTAGTTGCAATTAGAATACATAAATCTCAATATACAGAGTGTAGAGTGTGTCAAACATGTATCATGAAATATTTGAAGAAAATGACTCTTCATACTTATTCTTCATCTATGGACATTGATCACGCATTTATTTTCACTCCAGTTTTTGAAGGAATTTTGTGGGCACAAATGTATGCAAAAAATTGGAATTTTTTTTTTCATGAAAATGAAGCAAATAATCAAAATAATTCAAGGGACCAAAATGTCGTATTTTCAGTTGGTCAATAGGTTATTAGAATACTTAATTAAAAAAAATCAGTGGCGCACATTTTATTGTCAATATTTCATGTTTCCTATTGAATTATGGCTATATCGGCCCCTCATGACAAACAATATCATTGCCAAATCTCAAGAAAATCGGTGGAAGGACATTTGAGATATTCACATTTAACATTAACATTTAACACACTGTATGTTGAAAACTTTGCATTTCCGGACCCACATACATATAAAATGATTTTTTTATTTTATCATGTAGAATCACCCCCTCGATTTTTTGCGCATAATTTCACCCTGTATACTGACACTAAAAAAAAAGCCAAAAGCGTGTCGCATATGCAACTTGTTTCATGATGTGCGCATGCTCCGTATTAGGTTCCTTGAGCTAAAACTTTACTAGATTTTCAAAAGAGATATTGATTAATAGTACATTATACATCAAGGGACAGAAATGCAAGATTTTTTCCAAGGTGCGATTTGTAGCTCGAGGGCGATCTGCAGAAATTTGTCATCATCGTTTTCTGCTCCCCCCCACTTTCATATGTCTATGAACCGAACTGAAATTATTCTTGTACTGTTTCCACTTGAAAAACCGTGACATTTCAAAGTGTGCTCCCGAATCAGTTAATCTACTGTTTAGATATAACCACTGACTTATATTATTGACATTCCTTTCAGAATTTAACATTTGTTCAGATGAATAAATTATTCCCAGCATTCTCTTTCGGCAGGTGTTCGCCCTTGATATGCTAGGTTATGTAAAAAATACATATTTTGTGATGGACCAACACCGGATATAATGATTGTGATTGCTCTTTCTTTTCGACTAAAGGCTGGAAGACAACCAGCACCTCAGGCAGGATTTCGTTCTGCTGCAGCAGAAATGGAAGGAGAGTTGCAACGAGAATCAGCAGTACAAGGATCGTGTGCAATGTTTAGGGGACGAGTTGGAGTCGGCGCAGGAGAAACTCAAGGTCAGCATAATCGAAATACAAAATTGTTATTTATCTGTCAAGGGCGTAAAATAGTGATACGTTATTTGTGTGCAGAAACGAACACGACACTATTTATTTTTGAACTGATCTATTTCTACTTAAGGGACACTAATTCACAACAAACTTATAATCAATGATTTGAAACAAATACAGGGTGGTTCAAGATTCAAAATTCTGATCACCCTGTATCTGTTCCAATTGAATGTTAGTAGATAGTGAATCACAAGTTGAGATAGGGACATGGGAGTCGTTTTGACCAATAATGAATAGTTTCGACACAAAAAAATGTTAAAGTTGAAAAATCTCGATTTTGAACACTTTATATCCCTGAAACCATTACAGCTAGACCCCAAGTGTGATGCATTGATGAAATCAGCTCTACGGGGAGAATCTAAAAATGCATTAAAATACAAGGTGTTCCATTTGAAATAACAAAGTTGTTGCTTCTTTTCGTTAGCAGCGGCAACGCCGCAGGGCTGAAAATATTGTAGTACGATGTCCCCCTCGAAAATGTAGTTGACGTGTTTCAGATTTTTTTCATAATCCGGTTTTGGCGACCTACAGAGCCTCTGTTTCGTTTTCAAAGGCCCACTCTGTATTAAACTCATGGTACATATACTATATAGTAGATATAATGGGAATCATAATTGCAAGTTGCAAGATTCTTAAGATCAGTATCTAGGTACCTATACCATCTAGGATTCCTCCGATGGTGACAAGGTTCCTATACGTACAGCAGTATTCATAACAATTAGTGTATTTTATTGTATTTTAATGTATTGTATATTGTACCCTATCACTTTGGCTGTCGAAGCAACCCTCATAAGCCTTCGAAGGGCTTGTGGAAGTTGAAGTGAAAGAGGACTTACAGTATATAGTGGATTTAGAACCACATGTAGGGAGCTGAAATGCTACCACGAACCTAAAATTCATCTTTTTTCTTCTCTTTTTACAAGTGAATTTGAATATTTACCTCACATATTGCGGATTTCTCGAAATTAATTTCCCATTCTGGACGTTTCATTGCATTCTTCCATGACATTATGTTTGAAGGATCATTCGGAAAATTGTATAACTTGAATCCCTTTTCTAATGAATTATCGCAATAATGCACATTGAAATAATTTAAAATGCTAAATTTTGGCGGTCATAAAATTTCAAAGTGAAAGTGACAGAAATTCGAAATAATTAAAAAAAGAGAGCGGGACGACTATGGTGTTTCGTCACATTGTCAGGTGGGCAAACCAAATGAAACAAAATATTAAATACCCCAACGGCTGTCAGTTTTGTGTCCGGACTCTTGTCTAAGGTAGGGTCCCTTGATATAAATTGACGTATTTGTCATCTTAACAGGGTACGGACAGATCATAGCTGCATTCTTTTTTAATGATCTAGAGACTTTAGTTTTGTCTACTGGCATCCCTGACATTGCTGTCACGTCACATCCATGGGCGCTACAGAAAATCATTCAACATTTTAATTATAGGTATGTACAGGGTATTTACTTGTTGAGAAAGATCATATTATGGCGAACGAGTTTTGTAATTATGATCCGATTCTATCCAAAATTGGAAGGTATCTGGGGATTTCCGGGGTCGGAGATTATAATTATTTCGTCAAAATTGGGATATTCAAGATTCTGATGGATCCAATATGGTGGACGAGTTTTGTAAGTAAGATCCGATTCTATTCAAAATTGTATCTGGGGGTTTTCGGGGTAGGAGAAAATTCAAGATGACGGATCGAATATGGCGAGAGACATTCTATTAAATATTGGTATCTGGGTGTTTTCGGAGTCGAATGTTATGATTTTTTGTCAAAATTGGAATATTCAAGATGTAATAAATAGTTGTTTGAAAAATCAATTGTAGATGTTTAGTTGAATTTAGGAGAAGTAGAGAATAGTAGTTTGAAAAAAACTGAAGACGTAAATTGCCAAGCTGAAAAGGAGTAAAAAATGAATAGTATTTTGAAAAACATGGAAAAACTGAAGAAACATGCTTTCATGGACAGCCGAACTAAAAAGAAGTAGAAAAAGAGATAAATGAAGTGTGCTGGTAAATATTTAACTAAAAGAATATTTCCTAGAAATATCTCGCATAGCAAAACAACTTTTGCCAAGTCAGCTAGTAAACTAGTGATGATATTTATTATTTGTTCCCAATGCAATTTGTATGTTGTTGAAAAAAGAAATTATTGACAGTGTCAAATGATTTCTGAATGTTAATGATTATAAATAAAATTCAAGAAAATAAAAAGATTTTACGATTGAATAAGTTATATAGATAGTGTGATATTCTACTCCATAAATTCTTCTCCGAGTTGAATTTCCGAAAATATATTTAGCACACATAACATGAGTACAGTAGATAAGATACCCGAGGTTTTCACCATTTCTCAATCATAAGGCTCAGCTCATTCAGCTCTTAGATAACCTGCTGCTTAGCTTGAAATCATAATTCAATCAGTCAATTCAGTCAACCCTGGTATACAGTCTAAGAACAGTATCTTTTGGTGGAGTATATAAAGCTTTCAGTACAATTTATATGTTCCCTACCTAGCAAAGATTATGCTGGAGTAGTAAACTCCAAAACTAGAGGATTGTTCATCTATATCTTGGTATAGTTGAATCAGGAAGTCCATATGGAAATTCCCTATGATACGCCAATGACCTCAATATAACCTAAAAAACAACAAATGTCAAAAATCTAGTGTTTATCCCAGAATTGAATAAGGATGGAACTATATAACTGTTTCACAAACACTTTAGAGTGAGAGGAGACGAGGATCTGTCCGTACCCTGTTAAGATGACTTTAACGTCAATTTCCATCAAGGGACCCTAGTCTAAGGTATATACAGGGACTCTAGACCACAGTAGTCCGACCACAACAAGCAAAGAAGTTCTGAACGAGCATCGGTTCACGCGTGCACGACAGACACTGTCAATGCAATGTAATTTCCGTGGTTGTATGTTGTTCCATTAGTTGCATTTCAAGTGGATCTGGATACTCTACTCCAATGAGTTACAGTATAGGACAGATACTTCACCTTCATATTATATTAAAGAGGAATGGAAAACTCCTAGGATTGATACGCTCCCCCCGTAGGGAGGTTTTAGTTATATTATAGGGAGATGAAAATTGTGTATTTAAAAAAAATTTGTTCTATCCGTCATTCGGTTGCCCCCTTACGAGCAACCCTCAGAAGTCTTCGAGAGACTTGTGCGAGCAAGGAATGACGGGGGCCTTACCTTTTAACGTGTGATCCCAAACACTTTCTTGGGCCATCAGAAAAATGTCTGCAGTCGATGGGAATCGAACCCACGACCGGCAAGCGAATGCGGATTAGAATATTGACACTCTGTCCGCACGGCTACCTGGCCACTAATATAGTATATCATGAAGAATGGCTGAAAGAATAACTGGACTTCAGGTTACTGATGAGGATATGATATCCGAAATGAATTCATATAACCTGTTTGTGAGAGATATAATTCCCATATCACTGATATGAATGATTTTTTTTTGGAAGTTCCAAGCCCATCAAGATCAGAGTTCATAAAAGTATACTTCTCCTTTACATTTCAAGGAAATTGCAGGAAAATGAAGAATAGAATATACTTTACCCCCATGTTATACATATGATTTTCCCGTCTCCCTTGAATGAAAAGTCATTTCCAAATAATTTATTGATGAAAGTAACAAAGAAGTAGGTATACAGTATAACTTATAGACACGTTATTTTCACTCTTGCATCCTACATATTTTCAATTTGTGGTAGAGTAATAATTATATAAACTAATGTTAAAAGTGCAGTTTTGAGCAGTGGTTATTTGAATACCACTAGAAGTGAGATCTGGAGCCAATGCAGTTTTCGTGATATTTTCATAAAAAACTTCAGTGACCCACAATTTGGTTCGAAATATTTTGCTATTTTGTGAGAGATTGCTGCACATACCCTTCAGCGATATTGGTAGACTTCCAAGCAAGAATGTCTCCTCTAGAATTTGCAAGTAAGTAAACTTGCCGAGGTTCTTCTGAAACTATGCCCGGTATAATTTATGACATCAGGCAGTATTAAAAATTCTGCAATTTTTTTTATGAATTTCAGCAATAGAATTCTTTCCAACCATTTGGTAGATACATTTTCCTGCTCTATAGCAGACAAATAAACGTGTCTGGTATATTTACTATTAAATACCATATGACGTCACTTTCACTTTTTCTCCCAAGGGAGAAAATGTTAGGGAGAACAAGTACTCCCTAGGGAAGAAAAGTACGACGTTGCTCCCTTCATTGAGGCAAGGAAATGTTTACTTTGGATAGAGGTAGGCGGGAAAAGTTCTTTCCGCACTAGTGCATCTAAAAATTTGTAGGGTGATAAGCACAATGAAAAAGTATACGTGATTTTTTATCATTTTTACTTCGCATATTTTGCTCAATTTACCGATTTTCCAGTTCGGCCTCTTCATGTTTACTTTCCATGTTTTGAGTTTATCTTCATCTGTTGGAAAGCTTACAAATTGAAATTTGCCATCTAACTGATTGGCACAGTCTAACAACCTCCCGTTGAACGTAGCCCAATGAGGGCTGACATTCTTCTTCTTCTTCTTCTCTGCACAGGTGGGCGGGTGCGTAGACCCCTGCACTCAGGCCTCTTCAGTCGGGCCCATTGTGCGCCCACTTGTCCTGTGAATCAGCTCGGCATGCCGATTTCTTTGACGAAATTCAGCAGCTTCCTCAGCTGAGTCACTTTCACATCCTTTGGGTGCAGTACAATGCTCCCAAAGGCAGCTTTCCTCTGATGCACCAGCGCGGGGCATTCAGTGAGTATGTGTGATGATGTTTCATCATCCTCCAAGCACCATCTGCAGATGGGATCATCTTTGATCCCTATGAGTTCTAGGTGCCTGTTGAGGTGGTTGTGCCCAGTTAAGAGCCCAACTACCATCTTGAGATCCCTTCTATTAAGTGACAGGATCTCTCTCGTGAGCCTTTTTGAAGGACATAGCCGTACTATTGGGTATTCCCAATATCGGTTCTGGTCCAATGGGTGTCGTTCCTGAACCGATCTTGGCTAGTCTGTCTGCCTCCTCGTTCCCCGGGATACCAGAGTGTCCTGGAACCCACATGAGGCTGACTTTCCTAGTTTTTGCCATATTTTCTAAGGCACTTCTACACTCGGACACCAATTTAGTTGTGATCCTATTGGATCTCAATGCCATAATAGCAGCTTTACTGTCCGAGCATATGGTGACTGGTCCACGTCCACTTCTGCCGAAATTTTCTTGGACACACGTCAGAATTGCAAACACTTCGGCCTGGAACACTGAAGCGTATTTGCCAAGAGGTACTGAGATTCCTTTCCCTGTTCCTCCTTCATATACTCCTGCACCAGACCCGCCACCAAACCTTGAGCCATCCGTGAACCAGGTTGATTCGTTGGCAGGAAGCAAGCCTGGTGTATTGCCAGTCCATTCCTCTCTTGTAGGAAAAATGACATGCGGAGCTTTATTGAAATTCAGAACTGGCAGAGAGGGCTGACATTATTCATTGTCAGAAAAATGTTTGTCGTTTCAAATTTTGCATTGGCACCAATAAAATCCGATATATCGATTGCAGGAATTCAGCGAGACCGCTAAAGAGAAACGCGAAGAAGAAGAAGAATCGAGCCCCTCCAACCTCGTACCGTACGAGCGCCTCATGCAAGTGGAAGAAGAACTGGTGGCGCTGAAAGACCGCTTCGCCCGCGTCGCAGAAGACAAGCTCAAGCAGCAGCGCGAACTGACAGCGCTGACGGAACAGTACAGGGCCGTATGCGACCGGTCGCACAACAAGTACTTCTTCTACGTGGCGCCCTTGGTGTTCATGGTGCTCTACTTGCTGGTCAGCGCGATGATTTCCTGATTGACGGCCATTTTGCTGCTGTTTTTCTGGTTCTTTTTGGAATATCTCTTGAAGATCATTAACGAAACGTAATGATGCCCCATTCTCGAAAATACTAGAAACTCATTCTACAAGTCCAAGAAGACGTTACTTTTTATGTGAAAATGTTTTATTGATGTAAATAGCAGAGATAATGATCATCAGGTAAATACAGGGAGAGTCAACGAGTCGACCAGTTTTTTTCAGAAATTCAAGGAATTAAATTTAAATCGGTTCATAAGATGTTTTGTACGTCGTTCAAGCTATATTTTGGAATATGAATTCGAAGTTTTTTTTATGAGCAACATGCTGATATAATGCCTTTTTGAAAACAAGAAATACTTGTTCTACGTCGCTCCTTTGGTGTTCATGGTCCTCTATTTGCTGGTCAGCGCGATGATTTCCTGATTGACGGCCATTTTGCTGCTTTTTTTCTGGTTCTTTTTGGAATATCTTTTGAAGATCATAAACTAAACGTGATGATGTCCCATTTTAGAAACTCATTTTACATTATATAATTCATAAGTGACCAGGGAGACGTTACTGTTTACTTCTTCAATGTATATAGCAGAGATAAGGAGCATCGAATCTTGGGGTAAATACAGGGGGAATCAATGAGTCTACAGTTTTTTTCCAGAAACCCAAGGAATGAAATTTAAATCGGTTTTATGAGATGTGCAGTACGTGGGTCAAGCTATATTGTGGAGGATGAATTCAACGATTTTTCTTGAGCAACATCTTGGTATAAAGCGTTTTTGAGAACAAGAAATACTTCATCTTCGTGGCGCCCTTGGTGTTCTATTTGCTGGTCAGCACGATGATTTTCCAATTGACGGCCATTTTGCTGCTATTTTCTGGTTCTTTTTAGAATATCTTTTGAAGATCATTAACGGAACGTGATGATGTCCCATTTTAGGAACTCATTTTATATTACATAATTCATCAATGACCAGGAAGACGTTAAATGTAAATAACAGAGATACTAACAATAAGATCTCAAGGTGAGTACAGTGGGAGTCAACGAGTCGACAGCATTTTTTCAGGAAACCACAAAGGAAATTGAAATTGGTTTTATAAGATGTTGAGTACGTGGGTTAAGCTATATTTTGGAATATGACTTCAAAATTTTTCTATGAGCAACATCCTGATATAGTGCGATTTCGAAAACAAGAAATACTTCTTCTACATCTCTCCTCTTGTGTTCATGGTTCTCTATTTGCTAGTTAGAAATCGACAATTATTTCTTCAAAAAACCAAGGATTCGAATTGAAATGAGTTCCTTCCTGATAAAGTTGTTAATAGCAGAGATTAGGTACATCAGATTGCGGATATTATTTCACACAATCTCATATCCCATGAAATGTCAAATTTCAAGCAATGACAGCTTTGTCTAATAGGTGGGCATTAAGAGAAAATCAGATAGCTACAAGCCGAAGAAATCAGAAAATGCTGTTACCTATCACAGCAGTAACAAAAGTATAGTGTATAACTCACATGGAATGCTAATTTCCCACTCGTATGATTTGCAGCATTCGCCTACGGCTCATGTTGCGAACTCCATTTTCGTGGCAACCGATTAAAAGTTACTTGAGTATTTGTCCGCATAATCACTGATGTTGCTATAGTTTCGCTCAACTCGAACGCCTTGAATTCTTTCAAACTTCAACTGTCTTTCTAATGGTCTTTTTTTGAATTTCTGAAATCTCGTTAGAGAAAGTACAATCCAAACATGCTCGTTTGGAATATAGGCCAGTCCAATACTTGTAGAATATACTATTGATTCGCTTCTTTTGAAAAACTTCTGTAGTCTACGTCTTTGGTGCACCCTGTACTAAGGAATGTTGAACTTGATTCAGATTCATCCAATTATTCAAATCGGTAAACCTAGAATAGTATGCCTACCAAGTTAAATTTTTTTTTATAGGCGTTTTTAGGCAGGATACATTCCAGAATCTAGTACATACAGTGTTGAAGTTTGTTGGCTTTATCCTGACTCTCCCTGTATAATAATGTTGGTGACATTAAAGTTTTCTATTGATTAGAGGCATGAAAAATTCTGTGATTTTTAATGTTTTTTTTTTATTCAGAATCACCATAAGACATATATGCATATTTTCACACAGTAGATTATTTTGTCAGGCACATCAAAAATGTTTCATGCCTTGATTCAATGAAAGCTGAGTAAACTGTAAATACTATTTATTAAAACTAGTGAAAATTTATAGGTACAAATCGAAATGATCAAATGTTGTGTGGGAGTTAAATAATAATCCTATATGCAATAAAAATAAACTTAACCATTTCCATCATTTCTTAACAATGCTTAAAAGTTATTCTTTCTTCAACTGCTGCAAAAAGTTTGGAGTATGGTTCAACTTTTCACATTTCAGAATTGCATTTTTACTTGCCGTCATTAGGATTACTCTATGAATGTAAACGAACAAAATGATATTCTTGATTGCCATATTATTTTCGGTCAACCCTGAATTACTTGTACAGAGCGTTTCTTGATAACAACCAATCCAAGGAATTTCAAAATGCATAGTGAATTAAAATCAGAATGTGTCAGGGCATGAATATTTCAAATCATTAAAAATACGAGGGTGGTTTGAAGAGATACACAATGAATACCTATAGAAGATGAATATCCCTTTTGAAATACGGTTAACTAGCCCTCAGTATTTATTGGCCTGTGCACGAAACAGATTAGGTAACCAAAATTAATAATGAACTAAGTTGATGTGTTTCATGTGTTGTTCTTTTTGTTCACATTACTATACCCTGTATAGTCTCAGATTTTACTTTACAAATTATATCTGGTATTTGACACTTGAGGAATTGAACAAGAGTTCTGAGCAAGTGAATTCCAATTTTTAATTGATCAACCTATTCTGTTTTTTGTAATACCATCATGTTTCTGTGAAATATTTCATTATAGCTGTTTGTCAAGTCAAATCTGAGACATGTGGTATACATTGTGTCCCATTTACCATGCTCACCATGGGTATCTTTTTAACGGTGAGAGATACGAGGTCGGTTAAATGACACCAAATGTGGAGTTCGTCAAGGCCAACTATAATGTGAAAAAATATTTTGATAAAATCTATTCGTTTTTGTTTTATACGCAAAAAACAGATTTTGATCATTTTCATGTCTCCTCCGTAACTTCTTTATTTATGAAAATATTCAAATAGGAATTTCACATTCTCATGGCAGTTTTTCAAAGTGATTTAAAAAAAAATATGAAATTTATACCAACTCTTCTAGAATTTGAGATATCAGCACCAACTTTAGTTTCTCAAATGTAGGTCATAGCTCACTATGACTTGGTTACAAATAACTTTTTCTCTTATAGATGATATGTGGCAGTAATAGTTTTGTGTTTATAACAACGGAGTTATCGTCATTTATACAAAAACAAAAAATTATTTGGAAGCCGCCATCTTGAATTTAAAAATTTTAACAAGAAAATCATGATCTCCGACCTCAAAATCCCCCACTTACAAATTTTGAATGGAATCGGACCAAATCTTGTCCGCCATCTTGGAGCAGCCATTTTTTTTTAATTTAACAAAAATTCCATAATGTATTGTCACCGAAATATTTTTAAATCTGGTGACAATACATTATGGAGTTTTTTTTTAAATTAAAAAAAAAATGGCTGCTCCAAGATGGCGGACAAGATTTGGTCCGATTCCATTCAAAATTGGTAAGTGAGGGTTTTTGAGGTCGGAGATCATGATTTTCTTGTTAAAATTTATAGATTCAAGATGGCGGCTTCCAAATAATTTTTTGTTTTTGTATAAATGATGATAACACCGTTGTTATCAACACAAAACTATTACTGCGACATATCATCTGTAAGAGAAAAAAAGGTTATTTGTAACTAAGTCATAGTGAGCTATGACCTACATTTGAAAAACTGAAGTTGGTGCTGATATCTCAAATTCTAGAAGAGTTGGTATAAATTTCATATTTTTTTCGAAATCACTTTGAAGAACTACCATGAGAATGTGAAATTACTATTTGAATATTTTCATAAATAAAGAAGTTACGGAGGAGACATGAAAATGATCAAAATCAGTTTTTTGCTTATAAAACAAATAGATTTTATCAAAATATTTCTTCACATTATAGTTGGCCTTGACAAACTCCACATTTGGTGTCATTTGACCGACCTCGTATCTCTCACCGTTAAAAAGATAACCATGGTGAGCATGGTAAATGGGACACACTGTATGTACCATGAAGATTTTCAGCTTGGTTATCAAAAGTGGCAAATTAAAAATTATGTGATTATATGTAATAACACAATTATTGTTATCTGATGAATAAATCTATATGAAAGACTTCAAGAAAGTGAAGATTTTATCTAGATTTGAAAGTGAGAATATTTGTTATGGTGTACTTTTATGTTAGACTGTATAGTTTCATTAATATATTACTTCTGTTTATTTCAAAAATAAAGTTTATTTATCCTAAAAAATACTCAATATGGAATGGAATGACTCCTTTTTTTTTCCTCACCTCCCTGAAATATCTATGTTGTTTGTTGGGGTGGTTTTAGGAGCAGAAATCAAATATCACTATTTTTGGCTTCTACAGTGTGTCCACCTTAAGGACTTACCACCCCTGTAAAATCGTTATTATCCGACCAACTTCAAAAAAACTTTTTTTGTTGTATAGGTATTTGAAATGTCCATCCAACGAGAGAGTGATCTAATTCTTGGACTTTTATCATGACAAATTTCAATGACCCATATTCCAAAAAGTACTATTAGGGATTTTTTCCCACGAAACTTGATGATCGATTCTGAATCAGTACCACTTGAAATATACCTGTACCGATTTTCATCATCATAAAACACAGGGTGCCCGAAAAAACGAATCATCATTTTCTTCAAATAGGTGATCAACAAATGTAGTTCTGTGGTTTTTCTAGAAAGAAATAATCACAAATTATTATTGGGATTATTGCAAATATACCTGTAACAATTTTCGTCATTTGAATATACAATGTGTCAGAAAAAATTAAAAAGGATAGGTAAGCAATATTTTTCATCCTGATAATTCTTCACTCAAAATAAGAAAATGAATCAGGATCACTTGGAACATACCTGTACCGATTTTCATCATCATTAAACACAGGGTGTTCGAAAAATCAAATTAATATTTTTTTTCAGTTGATGAAAAAATATTGCCTACTTTTTCTTTTTGATTGTTTTCTCATACACATCGTATTTTTGAATGATGAAAATCGGTACAGATATGTTCAAAGTGATTCTCAATAATAATGTATCATCAATTCTTCTCAAAAATACCACAATACATTTTCTGATCACCTATTAAAAACAAACATAATTCGTTTTTTCGGACACCCTGTATTTCATGATGATAAAAATCAGTAAAGGTGTTCTTCAAGTGATCGTGATTCAGAATCCATCATTGTTTTTTGTGAAAAAACATCCCTAATAGTACTTTCTCAAATATGGGTCAATGAAGTTTCATGAGTAAAATCACTCTCTTGTTGGATGGACATTTCAAATACCTAACCAACAAAAAAAAAAGTTTTTTGAAATCAGTCAGATAATAACAATTTTACAGGGGTGGTAAGTCCTTAAGGTGGACACAATGTAGATGAAAAACAGAAAATTCATAGCTGTTGGAAGTTTTGAATTTATTTCATCATTTGATATAAAAATACCAATACCCAATTAAGTCTCATATCTCAAAAAATTATCATGCCATGTCATTTAATTTTACATTACATTTAATTCAGATTCTATCATATGTCTCTGCTGATGTAACAAGTGTTGGTCTGCAGCCAGAGAGTAGAAATATGATGCCATCCTGAAAATTAGAGAAAAATTATACTTTGGCAAGATGAACTTTTTGTGGTAAAAATAAGGTAAAAGTGTTGTTGAAAATCAAAAACTAAAGGAACTAGAATTTTGAGATATTTCATGAAAAGGCATTATGGGGAAGACACTAAAAACAATAACAACAGAAACTGTCTTCATAAAAGAATGCTTTATCACTTTTCACCTTCACTAAACCTGGCAAATTCCTCCAAAATTCTATGTTTGGAATCACTTCTATTCCTCTTGCCCCTCGAATTAGGTACATGACCAGTCCTCCTCCAATGAAATAAACTGATATTATGATGATGAGGACTATTATGAATTTTGAACCACCACTCATTCCTTGAGGTTCTACAACTAAACAAGCTTTTGGAGATGCTATGGCAAACTCCTAGAATGAAATAAATTGAGAATGATTTTATTTCCATGCTAACACTAACAAAGAACAGGTTTATACAAACCTTATTTATTGAGTCTATGGTTTTGAATAATGGCACTTTGAAGTCATCACAAATCAGTTCTATTTTGGACGTACTAGAAAATAAATATTACCTAGTTACTTTCCACATTATAGATGATATGGTAGGTGTACTCACTGATTATTATTGTAAACAATTTCATATTTATTTTCAGCATTTTTATTGAAATGGATTTCATGGGCCAAGCCTAATACAGTGATATCAGGAGAGTTCTTACCATTTTCAACCTGAATAAGCTGAAATTTTAAATTTCATATACATAAGCAAATTGAATTATTTGGCAATTAAACTACATACTGAACCTAAAATGTATTTAGGAGCTGTGCCATTTTGATATGTATTGACAGTTACATTTGCATCCCTGCATCCAGAAAAATAGTAAGTCCGATTTCCTTGACTGTCTTCAAGATATTGAGGAGTTAGACTACTCATTAAAGTGGATATGTCTATTTTTGTATCATCCTCTATTTCACAGAGACATGGATTTTGTTTAACACATGATTCAGCTAGGCAATAATTCAATGAAAAAGTAGCACTGAATAGTACAAATATGACAATGCTTGTCCTTTCAATCATTTTGGTTCATTCAGGTTCATTTTACAAACGATTGAGTATTTTTTCAGGATCAGAGCTAGATCAGAGGAACCGGAACTCAACTAGTAACAAATAACTGAAACTCGAAATTAAACTTAAACAATGAATAATGAATTGACTATTGACTACTTGAGGTTAACACTGTTGACACATGCTGTGCTGTTGACATGAAATCTGTTGACTTGACATTGATGACCATTCTGTTGACACTTGACAGTCTACAGACAAATAATTCAGATGACCATGATTTTATTCCATCTATTTAAGGGTATGGTCCGTAAGCCTACCGAACGTAACCAGAATTACGGTTCATAGGTCCGTAAACTCTGAAATAACCGAAGTGTCAAACTAACCTTGACATACGGGACACGGTTTCTGAAAAAAGTGGTCAGAATATTTTACCAGGAAAACCATTACTTGAAGGTCGGTTTTTCCGGTTAGTTCAATTATCTTTTTAACACAGGTGACAGACTGACAGCTAACGAAATTCGAAATTTGAAAAAAGTCAAAAAACGGCAGTATTCATATTAATCATATTGCAATATGGAGGTAAGAAACTGAACAAAAAGAGAATATGATCAATAATACATTAATTGGTAATATCTTGTAATTTCAGGATATTAGTTTGAATGCTCCATGTACCTGTTTCCATTGCCACCAAGAAATAGGTTCTTTAAACGAACTCTTAGGAGGTGTAAGTCATGAATGCTTCCTACAATATGACGAAGTAACCTTTGATCATGGAAGTCATATTGCAAAAGGCATTTTTAAACGTTCAGAAGAACAGGAGAATGTCCGAGCTACTACAAACTCCAGTTCCAGTTGCTCTAGTACCATTACCCAATGGACAGATTCAGCTATTAAACTCCTAATTTCCACATATAAAGAATGTGAAGAATCATTTTCGTCGCCCCAACATAATAAGAAGACTGTCTGGGCTAAGATAAGCCGAAAACTAGAAGCGAATGGTGTTCATATAAAAGGAAGCAAGTGTGATGAGAAGTGGAGAAACCTCAAGAAAAAATATGAAGTAGTGAGAAGAGAGAATGAAAAAACTGGAAATTCAACTGTTAATTGGAAGTATTTTGATGCACTGCATAGTATTTACTCAAAAGATCCACAATTTTCTCCTCTGACCACAGTGAGAAGCACAGGACAAATTAGAATGCAGCAACCAGAAACTCCCACAAGTTCCAGATCCAAGTACTCTCCAGTAGGACTGGATCCGGGGATCACGAACACTTCCAAGAAAATGAAGCGAAAAAGCACTTCATTTATTGAAGAGTTGGAACAGAAGAGACAAGCCAGGCATGATGAAAAAATGAAGCTGAAAAGGGAAGTGTTCGAGTGGCTGAAGGCCAGTGAGAAGAAAAATGACCCTTCCACAGATTGAACATAGTTTGTGTGTTCTCGAAGGGAGACATGTGCCTCATCCTTGAAAAGTGTAGAACATCCCGGAATGGTTAGCAGTGGTTCAACATTTTTTGAATTGCCTCAAAATGATGCTTTGGTATGTAAATTATAATTTAGAGGCAATACAAAACATGTTGAACCACTGCTATATAACCATATTGGGCCAGGTCTTACACTTTTCAAGGATGATGCAGGTCTCTCTATTGAATAACGCACAGATTCTATGTACCCAAGGGATGCTAGTAGGCAATCATTATTTTATTGTTGATGTTACATTTCCCAAAGAATTAACTGTTCATACAGGAATATATTCATTTTTTTATAGTAGATAGGTAGGTACTTATTTACTTTAAATATGTTAAGTTTGTTTCTTGACTTATTAGTCCAACCAAAATGGACCTTCAATGGTTTTATATTATTTGTATTTCCTTAAAAGTTATTCGAGTTCATTCAGCTAGAATATTAAATGTTTTATTTTCATTGGAAGTTTATGTGTATTTTGTAAACTTTGAGCAAATTCATATATTACAATATATGAAATTGTTTAGATGGATCTGATTAAGGAATTTTCAATGAATAAATCATGCAAAAATCATTTGATGGTTCATCTTATAATTTATACCAAGAACAATTCATTGCATAAATCATCTCTCTTGTTCCTTCCCATAATTCTCAGATGATGTAATCCCATATCCACAACTGCATTGTCATCTTCATTCTCTTCAAAATCCTCCACTCGAAGCTCCAAATTATCATTCTGCATAATACATATATTATGCAAAACTGTACAAGCAATAATGTATCTGGTACCCCAAACAATATCTTTCACATCCAGAAACTTCAGACAGCGAAATCTCTTTTTCAAGAGACAAAAAGCCCTCTCAATGCAACTTCTTACACTAGATAAACAAAAATTGTAATGCCTTTGGGCTTCTGTTAAATGGCCGTTATCCCTGTATGGAGTCATGAGGTGAGGCATTAGAGGATAGGCTTTATCTCCCACTAAATGTGAGTTTTCTGGGAATCTGTTATTTCCTGGCATACCAATCATATATTGCCATATCTCACTATTCCTCAAAACTCTCGCATCGTGGCATGACCCTACTTCTCCTGCAGTGGCATGTAAGAATTTTAACTGATGATCACAAACACCCTAGAAGAAAACAAATTATTAGTGACCTTGCAACATGTTTGAATATTGTAAAGCATCCCAAGCTAGTTTTCGATTACATATGCACAAAAGGACAAAATCTTACTTGCAATATAAGGGCTGCAAATCCTTTCCTATTAATATAGGACCTGGGGTTTTGTTTTGGTTCTGATATTTTCACATAGGATCCATCTATACATCCCACAGTTCCAGGGAAACCCAAGGCAGTGAAAGCTCTTATAATGTTTTCTCTTTCATCATTTGTTGGCCAGGTAATGATTTGGTTACTAATGTTTAACAAAGCATTGGTAACTCTACGAACTATTCTAATTGCTGTAGCTTTACCAACATTGAAACGTGAGCAAATTGACCTGAAGTATGTAAAGATCATGTCCACTATGAAATAATAAAAGTTATGGTGTGAGAATATCTACCTATAAGAATCAGGAGTACCAAATCGCCAAATTGCAATCAGTAATTGGTTTTTAGCACTACAGGTGTGCCTGCCAGTGGCATCTTCCTCTGTTGCAATTTCGTTTTCAATCAAATTTAGAATGAAATTGAATGTGCCCCTGTACATCCGAAAATGTTCTCGAAATTCTTCATTCGAATATTCGTCCACTACATCCTGTACAAAATTTCTCATCCTTGGTCTGAGAACTATCAAAGGTAAAATAATAATATTAAAAATCTGCTATTAATGAAAAAGCGAGTGAAGAAGTAAGATTCTTCACTTACCCAAAGGTCCTCTAATATCCAAGTTTTCATCTTCATCTTCACTGCTACTGCTACTGAGAAGAAGCTCATTCACCACAAAGTTTCTCAATCTGTTATTCATTTCTAATATTATTTTATGATTATATGTGGCCAAAAACCAAAAGCAAGGACCTGACAGCGTGATATCATTTTTGTCAGATGAATGTCATCGCTGGCATGTTGGTCCGTAAATAAACCGATTTTCATGCAACCGATCTTTTACCAGAGAGGTAAAGTGATGGTTAACCTGATTGACTTACGGACCATACCCTTAATCTTTGAGCTTGTACTTGTACCTACTTGATATTCAGCCGTCATTGGCTTGTACTGTTGGATATTATAGGATATCATCCTGTATACAATCGAAGAGTAGTTATATCCATTATTGATTTATATTGACTGTCTTTTGTTATTGATAAAAAATGTCATGTTGACTTTTTCTGTAATTTAATATATTGAAATAAAAACCTTTTCTGGAAATTTATTCAAAGTCTAAAAGGTTATGGGCCCAGAACAAGGTTAACTGGCTCTGTTAGGTATTGAATAACATACAAAGTTTGGAAGCAGAAAAGTTGATATTGAATAACAAACAAAGTTTGGAAGCAGAAAAGTTGAGGAAAGGAAAAATGAGTGGACTAACCGCCATTCGAATTGAAGCATTGAACAAAGATAATTTTGATACGTGGAAATTGCAAATAGAAGCTCTCCTCATCAAAAATGACAATTGGGATTATGTAAGTGGGAATATTGAACGTCCAGCGACGCAAGAGGAAGGAAAGAACTGGGATATTGCTGATAGAAAAGCCCGTTCTGACTTGATATTATCTATAAGCCCGTGTGAGCTGAAACAAGTCAAAGGCTGTAATACATCCCGTGAGGTATGGAATAAACTTCACAGCATATATCAATCAAGAGGTCCTGCCCGAAAGGCAACGCTACTTAAACAACTCACCCTGCATAAAATGAGACCAGGTGATGATATCCATGAACACATAGGAAAGTTCTTCGACGCTGTCGATAAGTTGAAAGATATGGAAGTTGATATAAATGACGACCTTTTAACAATAATGCTACTATATAGTTTACCTGATGACTTCGAGAACTTCAGATGTGCAATAGAATCTAGAGATGAACTGCCGAAACCTGATTTTCTCAAAATCAAAATAATTGAGGAACATATGCTGCTCCTGCTGAGAAGAAGAAGGAAGGAGAGGCTGCGTTCGTCGCGAAGAAGGGATTTACTCATCATAAATGGAAGACAGGTCACAACAAAGAAGATTTCGATTCTGGAAATAAAGAAACGGAACGATTTCGATTTAAATGCCATCACTGTCGAAGAATCGGTCACAAATCTTCAGAATGTTATTTCAAGAAGAAGATGGAAGAGAATGTTAAAAATGCTGATGAAATAGATGACATAAGTTTTCAAGTTGAAGTCACAAGTTATAAAGAGGAATGTACACTGATGGTCATGTCGAATTACTGGTGTCTCGATAGTGGATGTACTTCACATATGTGCTCTGAAAGTGATAAATTCGAAAATATGTCACCACTTCAAAACAAGAGAGTTAACATGGCTAATAATACATCGACAGAAGTTGTAGCTGAAGGCATCATCAAGCTGAATTTACAAGATATCGACCAAACTGAATCACTACAGTTGAAAAACACTCTGTACATTCCTGACTTGAGATCAAATTTAATGTCAGTTGGAAAAATGACTGACAGTGGTTTTGACGTTCACTTCACAAATACAAATGCATTCGTATTTGATAAAGATGGAAAAGTAAGATTAATTGCTGATAGAATACAAGGTTTATACTATGTTCGGGAAAATAAAGAAGAAAATGTGAAAAGTGTTCATGTCCAAGAAAAGACTGATCCTCTACAATTATGGCATAA